TAGTTTTTTTTTTCTCTGCTAGTTCATTTTTCAGTGGAGTGTTCAACACCTGTCAATAACTGGGAACAAATTTAGCTAACAGCTGACCCACAAAGCGTGGCTTAATTGAAGATGATTTCCAATATATGGGAAAATAATATACAAGGCACAAAAACCACAATGGTTCATGTTACTAATCATCTCAAATTATTATAGAAATCTGTTCAGTTATTACCCACAGTGAGTGCTGCTGGAATGTGCTGTCCAGTCGACTCAAGCTGTCTATGAGGAAAATGTCCAGCCATGCCAGGCTGAAGCTGAAAAAACATAATTCCACCCCAACATAACTGGTCCCAGTGTTCTGCCAAATGCCAGCGATTATATCCTTACCCTCCAAGAGCTGCACTGGGAGGGAGTCTACAACTTTTAGAAATTAATTTACTAATAGTGCCATGTTTTTGAAGCTGAAAAGTAAAAAGTCAACAATTATCATTATTTAACCAGGGACAGACTCATGCACTCACATGCACATCATCACCAGGCATAAAAGCCCTCCGCCCAGCTGTTGCCAGTAATGATCCTCCTCTGGCAGCATCAGTGTGTCGCTAACCAGCTGCAGTCACACCGCCCCCACATCTGCTTCTCATATTATGTACTTGGTACATCTTGAAGCACATTCTCTCTTGATCCCTTGCTAATAACTGTATACCTTTAGTCCATCCTGGATGTGTATTTTCAGGCCTGTGAATTGGATGCTTCTCCTTCAGTGAGAAACAGTGAAGTTAGGCAGAACAAACAAATAGGAGGAGGCCACTGATTCCTGGTCATATTCTTATTTAACAAGGACTTTTAATAATCAACTAGTCACCACTTATTTTGGTGATTAGTCGACTAATCGTCTTGTGAGTAAATTGTAACTTATCACACCAGCCTACAGCTTCTCTAATATAACCACCAGACATTTGCTTGCTGAGGTGGGCATGTTGGCTCTGAAACAGTTGTCCATTGAAGAGCAATGCCTTTTTAAACACTGATGCAGCATAATACAATAAAACATTAAGATTACATGACATTTACTGATATGCACAGTTCTGGTAAACTTGATCCCATCATTATGGTGTGTTACGTCAGGAATGATTGCAGAAAAGGTGTCAACAATGAGTCAAAAAGGTAAGATTATGTTATGTTTGGGTTATCGTAACTCACTGTTGATTCTGCTCATCCATCACCATAGCCGTGCCATAGAAGGCAAGTTCTACATGGCAGATTCTGCATTTCACATTCTTCTCTTGAATTATAAAATGCTCCCAAACTCAGGAGCTCTGTTGCCAGCATGCCATTGGACTGTTGTACGGCCTTTTCTGGTGACATTACAGCTGAGCCGAATGTCACTGCCAGCAGAAGTTACAGCGGCAGTTTGGAGAGAAAAACGTGATAAAAATAATTTTAAAAAATAAACTATGCTGCTGATTACTGCATTTGTCATCAACAATTTTGGTAGTCAACCTCATCGACATAATTTAGAAATAAAAGACTATTTGACTTTTTTTCTTGGTGAATTTGTGGTACTCAAACAGACAAACAAGAACAACCAAAACAGCTTTTTCATATGAACTTTCTGCAAAGTCAGCAATGTGTTTATTTAGAAAATGAGCTTGGAGTTGAAATCTGCAACTAGAAGCTGGCAGCATTTTGCCTAGCGACATGCAAACCACCACCTGCAGAACCCCTGAGACAAACACAACAGAACAGTAAACCCAAAAATAGAAATGAGGGTGGTAAAAAGATGAAAAGATGGTAAAATCAGGTGGGAGAGCTGACAAATCCCTCGTTTGTGGCAATCCTGATTGGTACCTAGAGTCATTCCCGGGTATTTCAGACTCATAAAATTTTTATACGAAGTTCTCTCATCCCTATACTATTCTTCCACTGAGGGATTAGAGTGGCAGGACTCAAAACAAAATGTAAAATGAGCGGCAGGAGGTTGCTCGGAGAGAAAGAGGAAAGCTGCCAAAAAGGAGAAGACCACCAGTGGAACAGAGATAATTGGAAAACAAAACCCATATGAATGTGAAGGCAGTAATGAGCCTTGGGTTTCTGAATTACAACTTGACTAAGCTGAACTTTTTCTGAACGTGTGTCCTAAATTCCTCAGTAATTCTAGTCAAGTTAAAAATTAGAGACTGGGAATGTAATTATGTCAGTCTATGGGACTGAAATAACAGTCTGTAAAGCAGAAACCAAATAACACTAAACGTAAAGATGCTGAAACACCTGTATAACTATTTCTAACTTAAACAAAACCAAAAGCCTTAAACGTATGTATCTTTACAAAATAAAAGACACACAAACTATTCAGTGCTGCAGTGCTTTACTAGCCTAGAAATCTATACAAACCGCAGGATTACCGACAAGTACTTGTTCTGCAGGTCAGTCTAACCACGGTCTATTGTAGCCTCAGCAAGTCTTCCAATGACCTGAGCAGTTCTGTGTTATGCCAACCACAGCGCTCTATCGGCTTGGTGGGCCAACAACAGTGTTCTATTGGTTTGGTGGGCCAAGCACAGAGTTCTATCGGCTTGGTGGGCAAATCACATTGACATACATATTTGGACAATGGGTTTCCATAGGCTCCAATTATAAGTTTTTGTACTAAAATGGGAGGTGGCCACCACCGCCATTTTGACAGTGTCACAGGTTCCGTCAAGCCCAGACATTTCCATAAAAGGGAAGAGAGGTGGAGCTGAGGGTGGGGCTGTAAGGCTGGGATCAACTGACGACACCCGGTCGAACTAGCTACAAGCTAACCTGAAGCTAACCCAAAGCTAATGCGGAGGTGGGAGCTAAGCTAACGGAGGTAGCAACCTAGCTACAACCGGAGTTAACTGTGCACAACACCAGAGCTTCTAAGTCAGAGATACGCCGGGCTGACCGCTGAAAACCGGGTGGAACACAGAGGTCTCCCGAAAGCTGCTGAAAGCCGACAGCCGCACAGCAGACAAGCACCGCTGCAATCTGAGATGCGCAGAGCTGCCGCTGGGGAGAACCGGGTGGAAAGGTTTCCATCCCAGAGCTCCACAAGCCGTCAGCCCGCGCAGCAAACAGAAGCCGCGATCAGACAGAGATGCGCCGAGCAGCAGGGAGGCGAGAACGGGTGGAAAACATCGGTCTCCCGAGAGCTCCACAAGCCAATAGTGGGAAGCCAGCTCCACCAACATGTTCTATTTCAACCCATTTTCTAAAGTGCAGTATTATGTTAAATGCACTGGGTTTTACCCTATTACATTTACATTTCATGGTTAAACAATACATGTTAAAATCTAAGCTCAGCTCGGCAGTGACCTAAAATACATAAATATAATTTTACTTACAGAAAAAATGAAGTGGAGACTCCTTGGACGCTCTATTAGTGCAATTAATGCCACAGCAAGTCATTTTGTCCAACAATTGCACAAAAAATATCCAAAAAAGAATACACACACACAGAGACTCAAAATCCCGGAGCAGTTTCCAAGCCAGACCGAGGCTCTACTGAGGCCTTTCCACGGAGCTAGCTCTGTGGTCACGTGGGTCTGATGCTCATTAATTATACAGAATTTTAGGCTTTTAATACACTTAAACAGAAGAGTGAGAAAAAATTCACCCCCCTCAGAGTTGTCATGAGTGTAAACTAGATAATTTAAACTAAAAACTTGTTTTGGTCCCAGGCTGTAAACATGTTTATTTCTGCTGTGAAATTGGTATTTTTAACATGGGAGTCAATGAGGATTTGCTCACTTCTGACACCAGCCCCCAGCGGATGAGGGTGGAACTGCAATTTTTGGTACTTCCGGGTTGAGACCAATTTTAGAGCCGCATTGTGGGGGATTGGCTAATCACAGCATTCCATCGGCTTGGTGGGCCAACTTCAGCACTCTATCGATTTGGTGGGCAAACCACAGCATTCTATCGGTTTGGTGGGTTAATCACAGCATTCTATCCGCTTGGTGGGTTAATCACAGCGCTCTATCGGCTTGGTGGGCAGGATGATGCAACAGAATGGAACAACAAAGATGGCAACAAATCCCTTGAAATGGCTTTGGCATCACCTTTGGACTATTTAGACTTGTGTTTTTATTTGAGTCAAGAGCAGATGGAGGTACTTACGTCCTATTTTTAGGAAAATAACATATTTGTATCTTCTTCAACAGTGTATGGCAGACTGCCCTGTTGATTGACATTGGTAATGGTGAGAACACACACGTTGTAATAGCATGTGGAGACAGTTTGGGAAGATAATCGTAGATTCCGCCCAATGACCGACCTCTGTCTATCACTCGTGGCCAGACTATATATTCACATATATAGGATGGCTTGCCATGCTAGTACTTTACATTTATCACATGAAAAATCTAAAGCACTATAAACCCATAGATTGGAAAATACATTGCTTTTCTCCACTGCATTATTTATGATAATCTTCAGCAACAAATGTGAGCAGAAATCCAAAATACTAAGAGCTCATCCACATCCCACAGCAGGTTATACAGTTTTACATTATTTGAGTGAAAAGTATTTCCACAAACACCATATTCCCTTTGTATAATTTCTAAGTGAATAAAATTAAAAGTCAACCTCATTCTGTACATTGTACCTAAATTAGGTAAATCAGCAGACCCCAAAGACCAGATCACTGTATGGAAACTTAAGACAGAAAGAACCAGACAGACTTGCTATAAGGACTTTACAAGAGTGCCATCATGTGGCAAAAACCTGTCAAACCATAAAGAGATTCACATTTGTATTTGGTTAAATTTGTCCTTTTATTCTGAAATTATTCAAAACACAGCACTGACCATCTACAACTGCTTGGGTAAAATGACAAATACAAACTAGATAAATTGCATTTCTTGCAGAAATGCTGATTGAATGCTGGATAGCTTAAACTGTTAGCTGAATCAGCTTAATAGCTGAACTGAAGCTGAAAGTAAGCAAAACTGAGGCGTTTACAGCATTCAAACAATAAAGGAGCATTTTCTTACTTTTGGATGAAGAAGGTGGAGTTTTCTTTGCTCTTGGTGAAGGTAACAGGGAGGAATCTCAGCGTGATATTCATCTTTCTGGCATGAGCAGCCAGCCTCCTTGCCTGTTCAGCAGAAGGAAGAATGAATTATTAGGAAAAGTGTTGAGTGGGAATATTTGGATTAGCTGATGTAACCAAACACTAGAATGTTAGATTTATGGAAACCAGTTAATGTTTGACACTGGTTTATGCTTTTAGAAGCAAAGAGAAAAGGCCAAATCTGGTAGAACATCTTAGCCAGATGTCATAAATGAACAGGTTTTATGTTTTAAAGAGACGTTGTTTAATTTCTTGTGAAATATTTAGAAAAATCACCCTTAACATAAGACGATGGTTGCAGTGAGACGGCATGGGACAGAACGCCCTCAGCCCTGACAGGACTTTGGATGTTTCTGTTTAATAGAAGACTCATGGGGGTTTCTGAATTTGTTCAGATGCTGAACATCTGATTTGCATCAGCATATCTGGCTGTACACATTTAATTAGAAATTAAACAAAAAAATGGCTTGAGCTTCTTCTCAAATCCTCCCATAACTCTAACCCAGCTGCTTGAAAACCAGGATTTGATCATTCTGTTTGGTTTCATAACTTTATATTAGTAATAAGTAGTGGTTTTAGAGTTTGTTCAATGTTGAGCACTTTCTAGAAGATTTCTAAGCTTGCAAAGCCACAAAAAAAATAATAAATAAATAAATAACAAGACTCTGAGTTGCTCACATTTATCTCTGTGTGAGTTCAAGCCTGGTTACTATGATGGAGATTTGACAAGTGTAGCTGTATAGGCCTCTAAAAAAAACAATAAAAGTACATAAATAGCTCAAGCCAGTGCATTTACATGCATTTCTAAGTCAATCTAGATCGATCTAAAGTAATAAACTAGGAGCCTTTACCCTAGTTTATCCAAAAAGCCAAAGCTCGTTCCACTCCGCTATATGGAGTATATGGAATATGCTGGTATCTAACACAAAATAAATACCCAGGATTAATTCTGCATGAAGCAGTTTATGCGGTTAAAGGGATACTTTGCAAAATTTTCATATTTTTAAATAATTTTCTTGAGCCAGTATGTGCTAAAATGACCCTCTACAGGGTTAACCCTTTAAGCGCCAGAGTCTAAGAATAATAATAAGAAGGAATATTTGGAAAAATTATGCATTCTAATATTGCAGCGGGACAACGTCATAATATGCAAACTAGATGTGGGCGACGGTGGCACAGGAGTTAAGAGCTCGCCCCGCAATCGGAAGGTTGCAGGTTCGAGCCCCGCTCAGTCCGTCCCTGTTGTTGTGTCTTTGGGCAAGACACTTAACCACGTTGCCTGCTGGTGGTAGTCGGGAGGGACCGGTGGCGCCAGTGCTCAGCAGCCTCGCCTCTGTCAGTGCGCCCCAGGGCATCTGTGGCTACATCGTAGCTCATCCCCACCAGTGTGTGAATGTGTGTGTGAATGGGTGAATGACTGATTGTGTTGTAAAGCGCCTTGAGGGGTTCCAGGACTCTAGAATGCGCTATATGAAATACAGGCCATTTATGTTTATGCTTATTTATTTAGCTGACGCTTTTATCCAAAGCGACGTACAATTTATAACCTATAGGGCATGTTGTGACCTGTGGGGGAAACTGGAGTCCCCGGAGGAAACCCACGCATGCATGGGGATAACACGCAACTCCACGCAGAAAGGCTGCAGCCAAGTTTCGAACCTGCAACCTTCGTGCTGCGAGGCAACAATGCTAACAACTGCGCCACCATGCATTTACCATTTAGATGGGTGAATTTTCTCCCATCGCAAACTTTGGGTCCATCTGAAGATTTTTCTCTTTTACAGTTTACCTTTATCTCTAACCATTTTCAAGCTACAACCAACTGAAATAGCCATGTCAAAATAGAATATTTTCTTGGAAAAAAAAAACTCTGGTGCCCAAAGGGTTAGTTAAAGACCACCCAGCTCCTATCGCCCCCGGTGGCCAGAATATTCCACTTGCAACTTCAGACAGGAAGGCCGCTGTGTTGGGACTTAGAAATACTTGGCGCTGCGGTCTATTTCCAGCATGTTTTAGATCATGAACACTGCTAATTAGTTTAATTTAGTGATGTACCGCTCCTGTAGACACTAAGGAAGGCTGGGAGACATTTCAGCTGTTAGAATCAGGTGTTAGAAAGCCGAACGCAGAGCGAGGTGATCGGTTTTGCTTTCGGTTCTACAAATGGACACGACGGGGTGCTAAAAGCAAGCCAAATCTGCCTAGCTCCCCTTTGAATGTCTTTGGGTTCATTGGTAAAATTATGCTACTAAAGATGTTAATGAATGTTAATGAGTCAACCTGAATTGACTTTTTAAATGCTTATAAAAATCAATGAATGCAACATTTATTTGATCTTACTTTGGCAGTGGTGCGAGGAGTTCGAATGAGATTGTCTCTGGTGGCAGAGTCAGAAAATCTCCCCGTGTCTTCCAGAAACCTGTAATCTACCTCCGAGACAGATGGGAAACCCATCAGGACAAGTTTCACATACAAAACAAACAATGAACTGACCAACTAGGTCGTAATCAACAGTCTCAGTTATCTGTTATACAGAAAAAGCTGTCGCCTCATTTATTATGTCCCCAAATTTGTTTCATGAGCCTCAAAAACAAAGTTTTCCAGAATCTGGATCTGAATCAGCAGCAAAGTAAAAAGCTTACCGCTGAGAAGAGCCATTTCATCAAAGTGTGACAGAGTCACAAACTTCGTTTTACTTCTAACCCCACTACATCCCGAGTCATCCTTGTGTTTCTTCACGCATAGCAAACTGGAAAATAAACACAAAGATCACAATTTAGGCTATTTAAAGGCATTTGTTTCAGTAGTAGGGTTAGTTTTCACAAACAAGATGGAGCAAATAAACCAGACTATTATAAAAACAGGCAAAAAGTAACCACCACTGTTTAAAGGTGCAGTTTGTAAGACTGACACCCAGTGGTCAAATCTGGTTACTGCAGTCCATTTTTAAGCCAAATTGTCATTTCCTCACTTTCATGGCTGTTTCTAGTTACGGTGTCGGTACCAAATCTGCTCGGGCTGCCAGATTGACTCGGGGTCCTGCTCCTGCTGATTCCAGCAAATCCACTTGGCTTTCACACTTAAGTTTTGGAAAGACATAAACAGTTTTGTTAATAAATTCCTGTTTGTTACCACCTACATTTTTTCTTTATAATTGTAATTTGTTAATAAAGCACCATATTATCTTTGTTTTGTAAAGAATGTGAAACTACATAAAGCCAACATCAGACTGATAAAAAAGACATAAGTTGTTATATGTGAAGCCATATATGTTTGTATTAATGTGGAATTCGTCTATATATTTCCCTAGTTCTTATGTAAATACATTCATTCATTCAAAATGTTGCTTGGTGTCTTTTCAATAAAGTTCTTATATTTTATTTTGCCCCATTTCATCTACATCAAGAGCTTTTGGGGGTCACCGTTTATCAGTTGATATATTTGCTTTTATTTAACATTTCCTTTGGAAATTCAAACATAATTTCTCCGAAAACTGTTGATTTTTGGACTACAGGACTACAACCGCTAAGACTACAACTATAAATTCATTCTGACCAATCAAAATCATCATTGTCAACGTGCTAATGTAACTTTTATGAACGTGGGTAACGTAACTTCCGTAAGTCTAACGTTCAGCCAATCATCTACCATGACGTAGCTTGCAGACGCAGGACCCTGAGCAGATCTGGTACCGACAACAGATCAGCAGCAGAAGATTCTAGATGACGAGCAAAGATGAGTTATACACAGTAAGTTGATAAATACCTCGTTATATCTGGTGCTAGCGCTCTTGGGCATTTTACAGTAAGGAGCACTTACTAAACTTTTTACGGTAATATTTTCTTGGCATTACAAGAAGTGTGGTTTTTAGCCATCTTGCTGTTATAGTTCTGAACGACTCAGTAAAAGAAGTAAATCTCCACAGGTGACTCATTATTCACTTCACACATACGGTTCACTATAATATTGAATTGTTAGTAACTGGTTCTTTATACAACTCTGGAACTTTTTGCCTGCTGGTGTTGAATTACAAATAACTAAGCTGCAGCGTTAGCTTGGCGCAGACTCATCGACCTCCCAAACTCAAAGCTTGTAAACAGTAACTATGTCCCTATTTCATTCTTTCGATAAAACTGACAAGCCCCAGCCGGCCAAGAATGAAATCGGTTTTAGGATAACCTTCCTCCAACATGATTGAGACATTAAACTGTTCTGTGATTATTTCACTGTAGAATTCTTACATATTGCTCCTTTAATGTTAACTTTTGTCACTTGACTTAAAATGAAATAAGACAACTTGTCAAACTGTTTAAACAGTTTTAAATACAATGTATAAAACAAAAAGAGTGATTTTTTTTAACGTATGAAGCATTATTTTACAAATATGAACAAAAGGCTATGTATATTACCTTTCTTAAATTCATGTAATATAGTGATAGCAGGTCTTGGGTTATTAAAGTCCTTTTTATGGTCAATAATGTTACACAGAGGGACTTGAGAACAGAAATGAATAACATTAAGTAAGGTAAGTGGGGTATCAAGTAGGAGAAAGTTAGTAACACCATGTCAATTTAACAAAGAATATACCTAGCAGGTTGATAGAGGTGTGTGTGTGTGGGTGTATGAGGGGGCGTGTCTTAATCCTAGCACAACCCGATCTGTGTTCAGCTCTCTGCTGACAGACGAGTATCTGGCCCATATCTTCAGAAAGCTGTGCAAAAAGAATGTTGCCTTTTGCCCAAAACAACAGGCAGCAACGGTAGCAAAACAAGAACTTTTGATGGCACTATGTGCCAAGTTTTAATGGACGATAATTTCAGGCTATTTTTAAATGCTTGGTATTTGTGTTATAAATACTAGAAACAGGACATCGATTATTTCCAGTAGCACACTGTTCCTGGCATGAATCAAAGTAAAGATCAGTCAGTAAAAACAAAACAACAAGCACGAGTGACTCATAAATATTAAGAGGTTTGCAGGCAAAGATGGAATTGCTTTTTTTTAAAGAACAGTTCAATGTGGCTGCATTACAGGTCAATCAGGCAACAATACTAATTCTAATTTTTACATCTTTTATTTAGACAAAATAAGCAAAATGACATGATGCCATCTTATTCAAAATAATTGTGAACAGTTTAAATTTATATAGTTTTTATTTTGTACAATATGTCAGCTTCTGTTGGATTAAATGTCTTCTTAAAAATATAAATCCTACAGAAACAATGAAGGCAAAACATTCACAAACTAATAACGGGGCGACGGTGGCACTGGAATTAAGTGCTCGCCCTGTAATCAGAAGGTTGCAGGTTTGAGTCCCGCTCAGTCTGCCACTGTCATTGTGTCCTTGGGCAAGACACTTAACCCTCTTTGCTTGTTGGTGGTGTTTGGATGGACCGGTGGCGCCCGTGTCTCTGTCAGTGTGCCCCAGGGCAGCCACGGCTACCATGTAGCTCATCATCACCAAGGTGTGAATGTGTGTGTGAATGGGTGAATGACTGATTGTGTTGTAAAGTGCCTTGGGGTGTTCCAGGACTCTAGAAGGCACATACACTGTATAACTAACATATATAACGCTATAACTCCAGACACAGAGTCCAGGTTTAACTTTGCTTTTGTTATTTGTTACATCCGAGCAAGGCTTAATGAGACAAAAAGTACAACGCCAACTACAATGTGGATTCCTCCTTATTGACGCCTAACCTTTACGTTGATCTAATGAGCACATTAAATTCAGCCTTTTCTTTTCTTTGAAGGTTTTTTAACGATCACACAGAGTGAAAATGTATCACTTTGTGAGGAGAAATGCTTACAGCTAAGTACGAGTGGGACCGTTAGCTGCTTTAATTACTACAATGCACTTTAAAATAATAAATGCATTTACTATTTGCTGGGAACATTTAAATACTGCTTATACAGAAAATTAAATGTCACCTGCAAGTGTGTGTGAGGCAGGCAGGACATCTATACTTCGCCTCCTCTGAATTACAAACTCCACAACTGCAACAGAGACAGAACAACCCGAATAAAGCACACATACTGGCATTTTCTCGTCTACAATAACATGAACAGTAAAAAAGGCAAACAGGAACAATACAACGGGACACATAAACATAAAACTACAACAAAAGTTAACCAAAAAGTGCAGAAAGCATCCAAACAACAATCAGATAAATAATTTAAAGGGAAAACTGGCGTGAATCTCACAAACTAAATTACCTTTGTTAAGCAATGTCGTTAAAAAAGCCCCATCTAGCCTAAATATATTAAAACATGTTTCAGCGATGTATACCTTAAATGCAAACTTTTACGTTTGAGTTTTTGAATTATAGAAGTCAACTTTATGACTTTAGCTTGTTTGGAAACTACAACGTTAAGGGAAAATCAAGCTAATCTACCACACAAACCTCGTGTGAACGACTTACTGTGAGAGAGAAATCTTTCTCTGACTCGCTTTCAGCTTCTCTCCTGGTTCACAGCTCTCTCCTGGACTCTCCAAATCCAACATTTTATTTGTTTGACGAAACAACAGAGCTACGGGAGGAGAACCGCTGCAGCACGCTGAAAACAAGCACGTTCGAATATAAACAAACGTGCTTCCGGGGAAAGTGGCACGTGGATATTCACTTCCGGTTGAGAGCTTGTTCTCGTGCGCCCTCTCGTGTTTGTAAAAATAATCTACAGCAACCAGTTCACACTAAATCTGTGTGTGGGTGGGTAGGTAACAGACACAAACCTAAACCAAAAACACAATAGGACTCATTTATGGCCCCATTTACAAAAGAAAATCAAACGATAAACATTTTTAAAAATTGGTTTTATTACTTTTTCAGGTTTTCAAATGTTCAAAGATGGAGGACGAGTCAAAATGAAGCTATTTTTGCTTCATAATTTGATAAGGGAGGAGGATCAAAGAATATGAATCCACCCGTCCATTATGTCTCACTTATCCAATGCCTCAGAGGTAACAGGTCCACAGCTACACCAACTGTTCCTGCGGATACCAAAGTGTTCCCTGGTTGGACGATATAAAATCCCTCCAGTGTGTCCCGCGTCTGTCCTGGAGTTATCCCCCAGTAGAGTCGTGCCTGGATAATCTCCAGGGTAAAGTGACAAGATGGCATCCCTGCCATATGCATGAACCACCTTTGCGGACTCCTTTTGATGTGAAAGTCTGTTTACCCGTGAAACTCCCTGGATGACAAAGCATCTAACCCCATCTCTAAGTGCACTAAGGAAACAAATTTTAGCTTGTATCTGGGATCTACATGATTTACATCTCATGACCATGTCACCCTTTGCAGCTCCTGCTTTAACAAGAGAGACGATATTAAAACCCTGATTGTTGAGGACACAAGCTTTGATCTCTCACTCCATTCAAGGCACCAAGATACCTGAGGTGGATCCTTCCAACACGGGCAGATCATTCCATCTTTCTCCAGTCAAGTACAACGGCCTCAGTGTGAAGATGCCAGAGAATAGATATCACTGACTTGCTGGTAGTGGCTAGTGCATCACCTGTAAATTCATAATCTCTGATAGCCAACCAAAAAATAACTAGTGGCATCTAATGGATTTTTATTTGATTAAACTGAAGTACAAGATTATTTAGTATTCACCGGTCTTTGGTAAGAAAGACCATTAAGAGCGACCCCCAACCCAACCCCACTTAACCAAAAAAATAAAATAAAATAAATAAAACGTAAGACGTCCATAATAATATTTTATTATTTGTTATGAAACTGGTGGTTTTCTACTGATCACAAAAGCACCAAACCAGTTGTGGATAAAATGTTCCATTTATTCTTTTGTCAAATCTTTTTATTATTTACACATTTGCATAATCCTCCACAAATGTTCTTGAACACTTTTTTGACGGGAATATATTTTTTATAATTTAAGAATATGGTGGCTGTTTTCCATATTTCATGACTATGGCTAACTGTAGCGGTCAGTCAGCAAACGCTGAGTGTAAAAGCAAAACGATAAACAGTCACAGGTGTAAACTCACAAACACACTCTTTAAACATAGATTAGACTTGAGATGGGGTCAACCAAATGGGGCTCTGAGAGTGTAACTTATTGTGGTACAGTGATGTGAATAAAAAAAATAAAAAAAGGATATAAATAAACATACAATGTGCAGTCATTATATACACAGGAAATATTGATGACTTGTTTGTTGCAGCACCAAGGGTAGGTTCAGAAAACCACCACATTAGAGGGAAAAGCTACAAAAATATATAATGTATCAAAACTTGGTTCATAAATTAGAAATGACCAAATTAACATATGTACTCATACAACACAACAAAGCTTGATGTAACCGGTACATACACACAACGTCAATAAGGACTAATTCCATGTTAGCAACTAGTCTAGAAAGCAAATAACCAGGTAGAGGTAGAGCACCATCTGTCAAGAGGTACAAGTCTGACTGGGCAGCACCAACGACCAAGAATAAAAGTAAAAACAAAACAAGATAAAATATTGCTTTAGATGAGATTGTTTTTAAAGCAGTCACAAATTATCCACATGCTATTGCACTTGTAAAAAGCCTTTGATTCAATGGAGGCTTAGCTTGATCCTTCGGGTTGGACCTCTGCCAAGGATGCTGTGTGTGTGTGTGTGTGTGTTGGTTTGTGTTTTGGAATTTTGAATAGGCCCTTTGTAAGGCCCTTTCCTGTGGTTAGGAATAAATATGGGTCCATATGCAGTAAACCTAAACACTGTAGAAACGAAGAACAAAAGAAAACTTAAACAACAGTTTATACATTTAAAATATAAAGAAGCGTTCTCCTTAGTTCTCCTCAGGCCTTGTTGGCATGGACGCCCTACAGAGATCGACTTCTTCCACACAGAGGTCTTCCTGCAGCTGAGCATTATTTTACTCTCACAAAGTCCCTCGATGCTTTTTGGTGAACACAACCAACTCTCACAAACAAATACTGTGTCTAGCTGTGTCTTTAGTGTGAAACTCCGTTTTAGCATCTGCAGCATTGAGTGGTTTATGTCAGCAGGTTGGTGTCAAAGAAAGCAGACGGGGCCAATTTCTATGTGCTGCTGACTGTTTAGCTGAGATGCAGGAAACTCATAAATGTCTACAACAGGTAGCTGGAGACTGTCCTGAGTGTGGAAGTAGAAACGAGACTGGTGCCAGCTGCCATCTTGGATCTGGAACAAAACAGATAAGTTAAGTTAAGATAATCCTTTATTAGACCGACAAGTGGGAAATTTGCATTCTCACGGCAGAAAGTGGACAGTACAGGTAAAAAGCAGCAAAAGTTTAAAGTCAATCGAATAAGAACAGTAGATAAAAACTATACCAACAAGCAGTACACTGTAGTACACTGGTTAAAGGTGCAGTTTGTAAGGATATGGTGAGAATTTTTCAGTGAGAAAATCTTAAAAGAGTCTAATGTTTCAGTCTTTTTGAAACATATTTCATATCCAGCTGGCTGTGGGTATTGCCAGTTTTTCTTCTTTCAAAACAAAGAAAGTAGGGACGTAACTACTGTTACTACTACATTTCTACATAATGCACCTTTAAAGCAACCTAGAAATGTAAATGTAAACATGCATGAGTGTGTTGAGAAATGTCAAGGTCTATGTATATGTATATGTATATGTAAACTTCAAACTTGATAAATGTATGTATGTACCCAGGGTATATGTATGTATGTATATATGTCCAGAGTAGATATATAAGTATATACATATATGGTTGGATATATTATATCAGAAAAATTGCACTCATGAAATATTGAAACACTGCACATAAACTAAGTTCATTAAAAATAAATTACATTTGCAGCGGTCTCTAAAACACACAAATGCCTTGTAAGTTATTCACTGAGGACCCTGCTGGAAAAAGCAGAATAGACTGGAATTTAATTTCATGTTTTCATTTATAAAGCCCCTTCCACAACCAAAGCGGATGCCCAAGGAGCTGAACACATCACTAAAATAATATAAAGCTATCAGATAAAATGTGACTTCATCATAAAAACCATCACAGATAATTAAAAGAAAAAACAGACAATAAAATGCAGCAAAGGAACAAGAGGCTTGGCAACAATACAGTGTAGAGTTTGTTATTGCTGGAATGCCTTGACATAAAAGTGGGTCTTCAGGCGAGACTTAAAAACCATCAATGAAGGTGACTGATGCACCACCAGGGACAGCAGTCGCACACTCCGTCCCGCAGTGCTCCACCGTGAGAGCAGGGGTGGGGTGGGGGGGGGTTGCACACGTTCCGCAGCTGTTTCTCACCAGTATCAGCTGATGGGGGGCTCTAGTTTCGTTGCGCCATTCATGTCAGCGGACACGGTAGGGGTGGGGGGTGGGGGTGGGGGGTAGTCTTCACACTAGGTGTTAAGGGCTAAGAACAGTGACATTCGTCTTAGCGTCATTCAAATGTAAAACATTTGCAGCCATCCACGAGAGGACATACCCTAAGGCATCCATGAGTATTGATATAGATCCATCACCCCCCCCCCCCCCCCCCCCCCCCCCCCCCCCACTGACGGGGTAGGTAGAGCTGACAATCGTTGGCATATTGATGAAAGTGCGCACCATACCGTCATGGTTGATCAAAGGTCACTGATAGGTATAGTTGCATAATTGCATAGGCATATTTGGTAATCACCATATGTTGTGTTTTGGTGCTGGTTTAGCTGGTGGTCCTATATGCTGCTCCAGGATGCTGGACCAGCATCCCAGTACCAACACATAACATGCTGGTTACCAACTACGCTTTTTTTCCTAGCCTGGCCAGCCATGCCAATGCATCCTTATGGGAAGCAAAGGACCTGAAAGATGTTTGCGCCGTTGCGAAACGCCATCTTTGAATACAGCTAAAAACCTACAGCCTCGTGTGATACAGTTGTCATTTCTGCCATTTTTGTGATTGGTTGTTTTTGAGCTGGCTTGTCCCCCCCTCATGGTGCTCTCTACCTCCGAGTATCCAGATTCGTCCTCCGTGTAGAAAAGACAAAGGGTGAGTCTGGCAGGCCAGGCTAGGTTTTTCCAGCAGGAGGAAAACAGCTCAGAATTGTATGTTAAGGACGTAGAACGCAACTGAAGTAGAAAGTAGCTTCAGACTTCTGATGGAGTCTTATTTCCTGGTATTTGAACATCTCGCCTCTGATTGGCTAACAGCAACACGACTCTACCATTTACTCCATTTGCTCTGCAACATTGATGTTTTATCTCCAAAAAGAACACAACCCTGAAGGAGTTCCGCCGTGTGGTGGAAATGCTAATGCTAACAGTTAGCTTTTACTAGTCAAGACATGCCCTGCACTATGCTGGATGCTAAATCAACAACAGCCTTCGCCATCGTGACCCAAGATGGGTGAGTCCATAGATGCTTACAGCGTGACGTAGATCTGTCGGGCTTTCCTAAACTGAGCCTTTTTCCATCTATTTTCTATTAGAAACTGATGCAGGACGTAGAAGATTACTTTCACATTCAGTTGCAACATCTCCTCAGCCTCTGTTGTAGGGTTGTCACGATACTAAAATTTCTAACTCGATTCGATACTTGAAAAAAAACTCGATACTCGATTTCGATAATATTTAAAAACACCAATTTAATTGAACAAGATTATTCAAAAAATAACATTCCTCAATTTATATTGCAAAAATTAAATGTTAAAGAGCAAGTCACCCCCTACAATAAACTTACTTCACTCCCACTTCATGTTTGAAAAATGCAACAAATGCTGTTGCTTGGCAGACCGAGAGGGCGGAGCCGCTAACAAATACACACACACACAGGCTCACAATGGCATTATAACATCATAATATACCAGATGGCATCATAGCATACCTCTTAGCCAATAGCGGTGGCAGATTTAAATTCAAATACAGTGCAGAATTTTTCCCTGACGACGGCACAACACTGACAGTTTTAGGCAGAATATTTGAATTTTAACCAAGATGCACTGAACTGCCAAATTAATGACTACACGTGTGTGCAGCATGATTAGACACTCCTTTATATAGTTTATCAGCAAAAAAATGTGATTTGGGGGTGACTTGCTCTTTAAGAATTAAGTGTATAAAGTGCTTAAACCTTTCAAGTATCAGCATTTTTTTAAACGTGCATATAAAAACTGGCGAAAGTTAACACTTTAAATCATGAATTGTCTCACTATATATACACTATTTGCAGAGTGATGTTTTGCTGCTTAAACTCTGTTTAAGGTGCATTTTTGTCATAAGATGTAATGCCATATGTTTTGTTCTGTACTTTTGAACAACTCTGTTGGTCAATAAAGGGAGAAAACAAATTTCTCCACAGTAGGACAAAGGTACATCTACCGGTAATCTTAATAAAAACGGACTGGCGCACGGCAGTGACGTCATTAAAAGCGCTGGTTAATTAGCCGCAGCTAGTCTATTTACGCCTAGAAATCCTAGACCCGCTCCAAACGAACAGGGGAATCATGTTAATGATTCCTAACAAAACCTTTCGACACTGATATATTTTGGTGCAGATAATGTCTTATTTCGAGGCTGCACCATGGGTGCCCGTCCGCACCCGTTATATGGATATACACTGATGGCAATTCGCCAATGGATCTAAATACCCCGGGGAATCCAAGTAGCACCAAAGTTGTCAGCATGAGTAAACAAACGTACTGCATGCTAGAAATTAAGTCCGGGTTGCAATAAACGGGAGTTTCCTTTAAGCGCATAAGCGTGAATATACAACTACGTGTCGGACTTGGTATGCTAATTAAGTTGGGCTGTGAAGCGCCTCCCAAATTCGCTGTTTATGTTTTTGTTTATTTATTTGGCAGACAAAACTTGGATCGGAGACAACTCGCGTGATAAATTCCAATGTAGCCATGCAGCGTCTTCTTCTTCTGTTTGTCTGGGAGGCGGAGGTTGCTTCACGACATCTGGCTGTCGTGCGTGTCGGTGTACTTGAAGAAGGTTGTGTATATGTGAGACTCCATAATATCGATACCACAGGGATGGAATATCTAATTTAGATACCACTTTTAGTATCGATTTATATCTAGGTATCGATTTTTTTGACAACACTACTCTGTTGATCATCATATGCTCTTTAAGACACTCACTTCAGTGCCTGAGCCTAGTGGGATGAGCAGCACATCTGGACTCAGCTGAAAATTGTGATAACTTTTTGAAGTTTTTTCTTGAGAAACCACCAACAGCTAGAGCCTCTCTAGATCATGACTTATTGTATGCTTCCCTGGATCCACCCCTGCTAACAGCTGCACTTGACTTTTTTCACCTGTGTCCTTCCATGATCTCATGATTTCCACGATGAGGCCCTCTGGCTCTCCACGTGGTACTCTCCCAGCCTGGCTTTTCAAAGCAGCCGCTCCAGTTTTAGAACCTCTGCTTCTGACTCTTATTAATGGCAGTCTAAACCTCAGCTCTGTACCCCAGGACCTCAAACACGCAGTGGTGAGACCCCTACTCAAGAAAGCCGGGCTGGATCCGAGTCTTATTATAGGCCAATCTCAAATCTTCCCTTTTGCTCAACTATTCTTGAAAGGGTTTTGTACAATCAGCTATCCTCATTCTTGGCCAACCATAAGATCCTAGAACCCCTCCAGTCTGGATTCAGGGCAAGGCATAGCACAGAGACCGCCTTACTAAAAGTTCTCAACAACGTGTTATTGGCAGCTGATGCTGGGGATACTGTGGTGTTGTTGCTCCTGGATCTAACTGACACTGTGGACCATCAGGTCCTGCTGAACAGACTAGAGCGGTGGGTGGGGTTCTCGGCAACAGCCTTGCATTGGGTGGAATCCTACCTCATGGGTACAACTTTGATGGGCACTTACTCATCGCATGTTGAACAGCTGACATGGGGGTTCCACAGGGCTCTGTTTTGGGACCCCTGTTGTTCTCTAATTATCTGCTCCCATTAGGGCAGATCCTTCAGAAGTACAACGTCAGTTTCCATCTTTATGCTGATGACTGCCAGATTTACCTGTCAGTGAAGAAGGGGCCGCTGAGCTCAGTTTTAGCCCTGGTGGAATGTGTGAACGATGTATACGCTCATAGCTGGCAGCTAACTTCCTGAGTTTCTATGAGAGCAAAACTGAAGCCATACTGTTTTCTCACAACAAATGTCAGCCTGATACTCTGAACCTCTTAGCACTGGCCCCCCTAAAGCAGGACCTGGTCACAGATCTTGGTGTCAAACTTGACTCAGCACTGATGCACAGGTGAACTCAGTGGTGCGGTCTTGCTCTTTTCAACTTCGGCGCTTGTCCAGGATCAAGCCCATGCTCTCTTAAAAAGAATTTAGAAATTGTAACATTTGTTCTGTCCAGACTCGACTACTGTAACTCCCTTTATGTCTGTCTAATTGCATCTATACTCTCAAGGCTCCAGATGGTCCAGAATGCCGCAACGAGATTCATCACAGGGATTACAAGATAAGAGAGTATCTCGGCAGTACTGCATGCTCCGCGGTGGTTTCCAGTTAGGCACCGCGTTGAAGTTAAAGCTCTCATGCTCACATATCAGTCTCTGGCAGGGACAGCTCCCCCTTACCTTTCATCCCTTTTGGAGAAACATGTCCCCTCAAGATCACTCCGCTCTGCTGCTGATGACCTCCTGGTTGTGCCGAGGCCTAAGCGCAAATGTCGTGGCGACAGAACATTTGCAATTGCGGCCCCCAGGCTGTGAAATTGCCTGTGAAATTAGGCAAGCAACATCCTTGGGGTCTTTTAGAACCAAACTGATACAGCATTACAGATGTCTGACGCCGCCCTAGAAGTATGTTTTACTGTTTTTTTTTTAATTTACTTTTAACATCTTGGATTCTTAAACTATTGCTAGTTCTCTTAACTGAATTTAAATAGATTTGTTTATGATAATTTTATATTTGGCATGTTAATTTAATCATTTTATTGATTGTATTTTATGGTGTTCAGCGCTTTGGGCTGCCTTGACTGGTGGTGGGATGGTGCTACATAAATCATTAAATGAATGAATGAATGAATAAATGTTAAACTCAGAGTTACTGATCATTTTAAGAATAATCAGTAAAAAAATGGTTTCTCAGTAAACCAGGGGCCTCATTTATCAAGCTTGCTTACGCACAAAACTGGGTCGGAAAACTGCGTAAGCAACTTTCCACGCAAACTTTGGGATTCATGAAAGAAAACTTAAGAGGAAAATTGTGCGCAACTTTAAGTTTACTAAGGACCTGGCTTACGCACATTTTGGACATGGAGAGCACCTGCAGTGCTGCTGCTGAGAAGGATAAAATTATGAAATCCTGCAGCATTATCACTTGTACTGCTTCGTTTTCACACACACACACACACACACACACACACACACACACACACACACACACACACACACACACACACACACACACACACACACACACACACACACACACACACACACACACACACACACACAGCCTGAAGTGCAGAATACGGAATGCAGAATATCAGCAGGGGACAGATTGAGACAGAATGTCATGCGTCTGTGACAGTGTGTGTGTCCTGTCACTGTGACCTGATCATGCGCCCTGGTAGCTTGGACAAGGGAGATCTCTGTTTGGGTGACTAGTTAGCATGTGTGACTTTCACCTGAGAGTATGGTGATCTGCCCTACCACCACTGGGCGTCATGGGCCGGTGTCTTGGCTGCTGCTTGGATCTGTTGCTGCCAGGGCAGATGGCTCCGCTGATGATGTGTCGTTCATTACCTGACCCATCTGAACTCAGCCTATTGTTTCCTCTGGTGTTCACGAGTGTGTGTGTGTGTGTGTGTGTGTGTGTGTGTGTGTGTGTGTGTGTGTGTGTGTGTGTGTGTGTGTGTGTGTGTGTGTGTGTGTGTGTGTGTGCATGGACGAGTGTGCGGGTGATTGTATGTCCACTTTGGAAGTTGGGTGCGGGAGGGGAACGTAATTGTTAATTGTTTTATGCTTGGGGAGGGGGGCTGGGATGGGAATATGGGATCTATGGGGCCATTTTAATCTGTAAAGCACTTTGAGTTGCATTTTTTGTATGAAAAGTGCTATATAAATAAAGTTGATTTGATTTGATTTGATCAAATCCTGATTGGAACATTTTTGTTTTATATCCGCCACAGATCTCTCTGAAGAATTCACAACATTGACGGCTTCAGCAACGCTGTGCCACTCCGTGGATTTTCTCTTATTTGATTTGCAAAAGCACTTCCTTTCATTTCTCCACCTCACCCACAGGTATCTCAATTTTTGCTTCAGTGAAATTGCGCTTCCTTGATCTACAGTCGCCATTGTCATTGGTGGAGCGCTGCAACAGCCGGCTTATGTATATGCATGAGCTCCACAAGGCACTTTGCATTGACTATTTATGGCAGTAAGTGGGCGTGGTGAGGGCGGGATGTGACTAAAAGCAGCTGAGAAACTTTCTCGTTAGTCTCAGATTCATGAAGTGGAGATTACGTGCAGCTGTGCATACTCCATGTTTGATAGATCACAAACCTACTTGGCATAAGTACATTATTTTTGCTGAGCTTAAGTACGGTTTTAGTAAGGATTCTATGCAATGTTTGATAAATGAGACCCCAGGTCTTCAAAAAAGAAGAATGTGATTCAATTGGTTCATTGTGGAAATATTTGCTACGTACTCAATATCTAATTTATTTTAAAAAGCCACCAACTGTAGGTGAACCTATGGAGGGACTAAGACAAAGGAAATCTAAGAATGAATGCTCCATCTTGCTCATTACCTGGCACTCATCTTGTATCACATGTGGTTCCAGTAGTGTGCCTTTCTCAAACATCTGTTTGTTCCAGCCTCTGAAGCGGATCCTGGGGTTCTCTTTCTGTGTGGGTCCAGTGGGGGTGTTTTTGATGCTGCTGGGTGGATCACCAAGGCAGTGGAATGTGATGCTTTGGCTTGCTTCGGAGCTCAGTAAGTGGAGAAACTTCATTTGGACTTTCCCAACACCAAACTCCGGCTGTTGGAGAGGACGCAAACAGCGTGTGCTAAGATCACTGTCTTATCAGAACCACATGGGAATAGTTCCTCAATGGAAAACATAGTTTGTTGTTCGCCATGCAAGAAAAAACTCGAAATTGATCTAAATATGAGATTTTTTCTTTTACAGATGAATTTTTCATTTGTTGTTTTGTTTCTTCATTGATACCTTATGAGAGGCCACCGGATGTAAGCAAGTCTGTCCACCTGCAGTAAAGTTGCAGAACACCTTAAAGGCATCAGATGTGCAACCCAGGTTTGGATCAACCCAGAACCAATCTGAAAGCCCCCCAGTCACATAAAGAGAACAAAGTGAGAAAGAGTCGTCTCATTTAAATGCACTAAAACGCAAAAACAAAATCCTTCCATCCACAAACACATACCATCTTTGAGGTGTAGGCGCTGACAGTCCAGAAGGTCTTTACAGACACGAGCAGGGTTGTCCCTTGTACCCAGAGGCTTTCTGATGCTCTCCATTACACTGCTCAGGTAATGAAGGGTCTTCAGTATCTCTGTATTCTGGTCTGGTTGGATGATTTCTGTGTTCTGATAACTCTAAATATGATCGAGAACAACGTAAGTGTCAAAAAAACGACATTTCAACAGGTGACCTTTAATCCGTGCACCAGCAAATCTGTGTACTGATGATTCATCCATCCCTCTTTGTCACATGCTTTACCTCGGCTCCGATGGCTGCATTGGAGTCAGACTGACTGTAAATCGCTGAGCCATCATAAACGCGCCTCTGTAGATTAAACGTCAGCACGGTTAGTTGACTCAAGACAACAGCAGATTCAGTTAGCTATAATAAACAGAGCCGTCTATTGTAGGCTTTTCCTGAATAATAGAAGAAATCAAAACACAACGTGTTTGCAGAAAAAACTTCTACAGTCAGAAAATCATTTAATACTAGAGATAAACAACGTAATAAACCTTCCATCAACAAATGATCCCATTCCAAACTCTCACATTCCCACTCTCAATATAAACACCGGCTATCATTTAGACGTCTATGGTTTGTTCCAAAGAAAAATAGATCAGGCAGCAGAGTGCTACACCATAACTGAGCACAAACGAGGGAACAATGCCACAAAAGGTTTACCCGTTTTCTCTCATATCTTCACAGAACACTAAGCATTTTCACACATTTTCTTAGATCAGTACGTTGAAGACATGGACGGTGCCCATTTCAGAATAAAGGAAAGGTGTATCATGATTTCTCAGTTTCCTTCCTCTTTGCGGTACACGTCGTCAACAATCAAGATGTCTACCATCAATTGGATCCTGTCTACCTCTTTACATGACTAATGCAAACACTCACTGTTGGACCAGGAGCACCAGGAGGTCCCTAAAAAGGAGGACAGGAAAAACAAGCAATAAGTTAAAAGCTGGTTTACTTTCTGTACTGAGCTGTTGCGTTTATGTTAAGATGTTCTCTGAACTTCACCATTACACAGAGACACTCTTGTATCGGACATATTAATTTATTGTAATGCCAGCAGTGTAAAATAGGCTTTATTACTTTGAATACAGAACTCAACATGAAAACATTCTACTAAAACGTGATGCTGAAGTAAACACTCACTCTGGGCCCTGGACTTCCTGTCGGTCCTCGAGGCCCCTGAAACAAAATAATATATATATATAAAGTTAAAGGTGCATTAAGTAAGAATGAAAGTCTGTAGTCAAATTGCAGTTCATGTTTCTGAACAAAGAGCGACTTTCTCACTCCCGTTGCGTGCGTTTCATAGCAAGCCATGGATCAGCACCAGTTTATTCTAGATGACGAGCGAAGATGTGTCATACACAAAAAGCTGATCAGTAGATAAATACCTTTCACTGTAACATCGAGTTTTTGGTAATTGAAAAAGTAGCTTGAGATGTCTTTAGAGCCGACTATTTGTCTCTAACTCACCATTAGCATTGTTAGCTCAACGTTAGTCTAGCCTGCTTAATCTGATATTAGAGTAAAACAAAAAGATGTTGTGGCTTCTTAGGGATACAAGAAATAACTTCTGGGTCACTCCTGTTTCTTCAAAGTTCAGCTCTGTGTCATGCAAAATTCATTTTGTTGAAAAGCTTTGTAAAACAAGGTTTGCATTAAAGTGACAGTGTGTAGTTTCCCTGGCAATATGAGGCAGTACATACCTAAATCAGTGCAAGCAAGCATTATTTTTGTGTTCAAATAAGACCTTTCCAACGGATGGCCTTTAGGGTCAAAAATCCCTGGGAGTGCAACCTCCAGCAAAATAACCAGAACATCAGACTCCCTTTCATCACTGGCAGCGAGTGAAGAGGAAAATGTGTAAAACAGCAATATTTAGTATTGGTGAAAGTTTTGTAACCATTTGTTACAAATCAGTAAATGTATTTTGTCCTCACAGACTTCCGTAGAAGGAAACATGGCGGCAAATATGGCGTCGCCCAGAGACTTAGACCCGACATTTATGAAACATTTACTACAACATTCTGATGGATATTTCCAGAGATTAATGGTAAAAACTATACAATGCCACTTTAACTGCTGTGAAATTTAGTGATGTGACCCATTTAAAGCAATAGATTTTAGTCACGGCTACGTAGGCCTAGCCGTTAGCTCATCACTCCTGTCGGATCTAAAACATTTTTTTTCTGAATTGAGGTTGTTCAGGAAGCTGGCCGCATTTGGTATGATGTTATTGATTCAGGCCCAACTAAGTATTAAGCTAAAGATCAAATTAAAACCTGGTAATGCTGGTGAAGGTTCTCAGTCATCCAGGTCATGGTAATCCAAAGGGGTTTGAATGAAGGCAACTGAACTTCTTTGGTTTCTTGAAGACATTTTGCTTCTCATCCGAGCTCATCAGACACCTACAGTTTACAAGCGTGGCGCTCCCATATTCCAGTCAGAATTGACTAAGCTCCTCGGATGAGAAGCGAAACGTCTTGAAGAAACAAAAGAAGTCCAGTTGTCTTCATTCAAACCCCATTAAAATGTGTACAGACGTGTGAAATCCTCTGTGTTCACTTCTCCTGCAGTGTTTGCTTATGTAGCTTATGAATTAATATCCCTAATTTTACATCTGCATTAAGAAACCAGATATCCAAAAACATATCAGTATGTGAACAGTCGGATGGGAATCTCACCATTTCTCCGTAACTTCCTTTTGGACCCCTTGATCCCTATAAGAAAATACATCAGCACAAGTCAGATGCAAAATAAGTTTTTGAAAAGTCTAAAAAGGTCAAAGATCATTGAGATGCAATTTCTTTTATGTAATTAAAACACTTGTAAAGGGAAACTCACAGGTTTTCCGACTGGACCGATCATTCCTTCAGGTCCTACAGGTCCAGTGAATCCCTGACAGTTAATGAGGTTGTGTGTCAGTTCTCAAAGTAAAACCAGCATCATCAATATTTTGTTTTTATTCCCATAAGCATTGAGAGGAAAATAACTCAGGTTTAACCTGAAGGCCTAAAACTAATGAACTTTAAGTATTAAGCTCCAATGAAAGACTTACCAGAGAGCCCACAGGTCCTTTAGGGCCAGGGATGCCTCTGAATCCCAACTCACCATTTGGTCCCTGTTTACAGATACTGGAAATTAATATTCTGTCACAATTTGCCATTTTTACAAACAAAAATTCTGTTCCAGTGTCCTACCTTTGGCCCTTGAAAGCCTTGTAAACCAACCATTCCCAAATCACCAGCTTCACCCTATAAAACAAGATTATTGTTACTACAAAATATGCTTACAAGGCACATTTTGTGTGTGTGTGTGTGTGTGTGTGTGTGTGTGTGTGTGTGTGTGTGTGTGTGTGTGTGTGTGTGTGTGTGTGTGTGTGTAAGTGTGTGTATACATATTCACATTAAAGGTGCAATATGTAAGAATGAAGTAAGAATGACATCTTGTGGTCAAAATAGGTTACTGCAACTATTTAAAAAAACAAACAAAGTTACTACTGCTGTTCCGTGAGTTTCATGGCTGTTGCCAGTTACGGATCAGCACCAGAAGATTCTAGAGGACAAGTAAAGACGAGTCATATTCAGTAAGTTGATGAGTAGATAAATAGATTGTTTTATCTGGTCTTAGCACTGTTAGGTGTTTTACGGTAGGAAGCACTTACAACACTTATTTCGGTAGTTTGTCTCCATCATTTCAGGAATTGTCTTATTTGCCGTCTTGCTGTTGCCGTTATAGTTTTGAATGACTCATTAAAGGGGGTAAAACGCAGCTATTGACTTAATATTCACTTCTCACATACATTTCATGGAAATATGGAGTTGTTGGTAATTGAAAAAGTAGCTTGAAGTATTTTTAGAGCCTAATATTTGCTTCTAATTCAATGTTAGAAATGCTAGCTCAACGTTAGCCTCAAGGCTGCTTTTCCCAATATTAGAGTAAAACAAAAAGATGCCGTTGCCTTTCAGGGGTACAAGAAATAACTTCTGGGTCGTTCCAGCTTACGAATTCCTTTGGTGCGTTTAGATGCACATCAGAAAACTAAAGAATTACCCTAAAAAGACTCACTGTTTCAATTTTTTTTATTGCATGTAAATGTTTTAGTTGGGCTGAAGGCGAACTGGTTCTAATCAAGCAGAAGCACAGAGATAATGCGGTAGTAATCTGATTACATTCTGCATGTAAACGGTTAGGGTTGGGCATCGTTTGATTTTGAATGATTCCGATTCCAATTCCTTGTTTCGATTCCAGTTCCTATAGATTCCTGATTCCGATTCTTTCAAGACAGGACATGCTTTACATGAGCCAGCTAACCACAGGTCCGACTTGATGAAATAATCTTAACTTCAACATGAGTTTTAATTCTATGAACAATAACATCACCTTCATTTAGACAAAAACATGTTTTGGAAAAAAAAGAAAGAAAAAGACTTGCGGCACAACCAGTGTGTTTGTTTCTGACCACAACCAAAGTCTGGAAGAAGCCTCTGGGATGAGAGGCTAAATGTCTCCAACATATCCAGAAACGTCCAGCTGTTTTCAGCCAAAACTCTCAGGATGATCATGTCCAGGATGACTGAGAACTACACCTCCATGCTGCAGCAGCATTCAGTCAGATCAGAAAGTGAAACCTAAATGTAGCTGCTGTCAGTAACAATCTAACAGATTTTGAACATTAAAACTCTCAACAGAACTAGTTCAGAAAGGAAATTAAACTGTTTACAGCTTTGTGAGTGATTGATTATTATTATTAAAATTATTTATTGTGGCAGAAGCTGGTGTGGTCCACCACAGAGAAGCTGCTCTAGCATGATGACTTTAAATATTCTACAGGTTATTGTTCAGCCTTCTGACGCTCACGCTCACGAGTGTTGGAGCGTGGCTGCGTCTGACTGCTGACGCTCCGTGTGTGTTTTTATTTCTGCAGTGAGACAAACTCACCTCACACCGTCCAGAGTTTCTTTGAAGCTTCTATTAAATCCACCGTGTTGACGTATTTTAACAAGTTTCCCCTACGCTGCAGGAATTAAAGTTTACATTATGGAGTAAAAGTTCGGCAGACGCGGTTGTTTATATATGGGTGGGGGACTCAGTGCTGCACAGAGACAGCTGGTGTGATCAGCTCTGAAAAGCGTTGGTCAGAATTTGCAGATCACGCTTATTTTTCACGGAGATCGGCCGCGGATTCCTCTTTGAACAATTCCGGGAAAAATGAACAGTTGGAACCGGTTTCAATCGATGCTCGATGCCCAACCCTATAAACGGGTCAGTCGAACTAAACGAGTTGGACACTCGTGTTCTGGAAGTGACGAGATCGCGGAAGCGGTCTTCTGACATCGTCACAAAGCAACACGCGTAACACCATAAAACAGGACAGAACCTGCGCTGCAGCGTTGTTCATTCCTTCAGCCATTGTGCATATCCTGTTTCAATTCTGTCTGCTTTACTCCCGCCAGCCTCTGTTTACTACTTGTGTTGCTTTAAGCTAACCGGAAGAATGCATTTACATGAAAAGGGGGCATGTCACCACCTACTGTACTGGAGTGGAACAAACTTTATTAGAGGCCGGTTTTCCAATGCGCATGTAAACTACGACGACTCCCAGCTCATTACAATAAGATCGACCTGGATGGACTTAGATGTCGGTCAGTGCGCATGTAACCGCACTGAGTCTAACCTTCCTTCCAACATGACTGATACATTAGACTGTTTTGTGATTATTTCACTGTAAAAAATTTTACTTATTGCACCTTTAAACTTTTAACTTCATATTTGCTCCACAAACAAAATCATTCTTGCATAGTCTAGAGAGGAATGTCTGCGTCCGGTTGGGCGTATGAGGATTGTCTGTCGTCCAGGTGTGCAGACAGATGTGTTTGCACAGCCAGACTTTCATAATCTTTAGACAGCTCCATTTCAAAATCACTGTCCCTGGCAGGAAATCTGCAATCACAGAAAAGTGTAAAGTGATCCTGCCCAGGGGTTCGACTCTCTTTTCTGTTTCTGTGGCGAAAAGTAGTAGAAAGAGGGCAGAGCAGGGGATTGAATGTTCTTTTTTTAATTTATTTTAATTTTTTTGTCTTTTTGGAGTTACATAAGGAACATGGAGCACCACTTTGTTCAGGATGTTAAAGCGAGTTGCTGTTACGTAACTCTTGCTGAATGCTTCCATTCCAGGTTTCGCCCAAATAATTTGTTGCTCGGACACACGCAGCTTAACCAAACACAGATCAGTTACATGGATCCCTGAAGCTATTTTTGAGGAGGCATTAGAAAAACACAGAGGCTTGGAATCCTGCTTTAGCGGGAACATTCCAGGAATGGTGTCAGTTTAACCAGGTCGGTGTGGCATGGCGTGTGTTTAGATTAGATTTTTCTTGTGTTTGCTTTTAAGCTTCTGTCCTGAACTTAGTCAGGATTTATATTTCCTTCTATCCCTGCATCCCATTCACTTTTCATTCTACACCTTGATTAGTTTCACTTATTGTCAAATTTAAAAGTTTTCCAGCCCCACTTTGTCTTGCTTCCCACTCCAGGCTCATGGTCAGTGACTAGATTATTTTCTCCACTTTTTAATTTCTAAATTTCTTTCTCAGAATATTTTTGTTGGCTGTTTTTAAAACTCTTTGTAGACTGCTGTCACACATTTGCATCAAATCTATTCTGCCCTTAAAAGTTTCCAAACAGAAGATTAGTAACTTCATCAGGAACCTGCCATATACACTCCTATACATGTCTACTGCCCTCTGGTGGATCATCAAGAAATGGCAAGGGTCAATTTTATTTCTTTTCATTGATTTTGGCTGTATGAAGGTGGTATAGAAACATTAGCAAATAAACAGTTTATTTTAAAACCATTTATATTGTTTTTAATGTTATTATTTAATATTTAAGGCTTTTAAGGTATAATGCCAGCTTTATATAATACTTATTTTATTTAAAATACGTCCTTCATGAAATTCCTATCATGCAGATTGTTTTAAATTCAGAATTTATCAGTACACATCTCATACAAAGTAGTTATATTAATAACTTTAATACTTTAACAGATGAAAAAAATATGTACTGAAGACAAGCATCTGGACAACCATCTATCCAACCATCCAGCATCGATGCCCTCTTATCCTTGTAGGGTGACGGAGGGCTGGTGCTTATCTTCAGCAGTCATTAGGTAAGCAGGCCAGGTAAATGCTGGACAGGTAGCCAGTCCATCACAGGGCTACACAGAAACAAACATGCATGTACACACTCACACCTAAGGACAACTGTGAGACCAATCAACATGACAGTCATGTTTTTGGACCATGGGAGGAAGCTGGAATACCTGGAGAGAGCCCATGCACAATAAGGACATGCAACCCCCATGCAACATGACCTCAGGTTCGGATTAGAACCCAGGACCTTCTCACTGCAAGGCAGCATTGTAAACAACTGCACCACTGACCAGTGCATCTGGATACTCATTCAAGAACACAATAGCAACAAAATGATGGTCTAAAATTAGATCTCAGGCTTTCTTCTAAAGAGAAATGGTGGAATCATAGTTGTTCAGTTAAAATTTTGAAAATATGGTTGTGTGCTATCTCATGCTGCTTTACAAAATCATATAATTAAGATAATTAAAAATGCAAAAGTCCATTTATGTCAGTAATTCTACTTAGACTGAGAGACCATCTAAAGCAGGGCTCCTCAACTACATTTGTTCAAGGGCCGGAGTTTTTTTTTCTTCCAGCAGACACCGCGAGGGCCAGATGCTCTTCTAGAATAAAATTCAAGTATTATTGTACCTTAATTTATAAATATTAATTTTCCATCTTAACTGTTTTGATTGTAGCGTTAGTTGTGTTTGGAGAACATAAACAATCATTGATATTTGAGACATGAATTTTGCAGCTAAACTTAATTGGGGGGCGACCTAAAGGCTCAAGAACCCTCTGCAAGTGTTTTAGATTCATTAGCTGATCCGAGTGTGACACTTTCTAAAATATTGAACCTTTTCAAAATATTCTAATTGTCTGGGACTTTGACTGTGGGGTTTTCATAAGCCGTAAGCTATAATCATCACAATTTTAACAAATAAAGGACTAAAATATCAGCCTTTGCAAGTAATGAGTCAGTCTCATATATTGTTTTAGATTGAATAATTGATATAAATGAACTTTTTCCACCATATTCTAATATTTTGAGTTTCATCTGTAGCTCAGTATCTGTAAAACGGATGTAATTAGACCCATTTTTGTGGCGTGCACCTTGCTCGTCCATGACTCATTCTGAGAGTTTCTCTAAAATCCCTCCAGTGGTTCAATTTTGCTAAAACTAGAAATACATAAACATACAGGCGAGGAAAGAACATTATCGCCCACCACCAAAGACAGGCAGTGAGAAAATTTGGAACAGAACTTAAATGAACATTTGTGATACACGATTGTCTTTAATTATTATTCTCTTAATATTTAGGTTGGTTAAGCACATCCAAGCACTCACTGGTTGCCCTTCAGAACCTGGATCTCCTACGCTGCCCTGGTCACCCGCAGCCCCCTCCATCCCTTTGATTCCTGAGGCTCCCCTCTCTCCTGGCAGACCAGGCTCTCCCTGAATCAACACATGTAAAAAATATGTCAGGACCATTTTTTTATCCACTCTAATGCTTCTGTCATGATGTTTTTTTGGCAGTTAAGAAATACATTTTCCAGATATTATTGCTTTCACCTTTTGACCAGGTGGTCCTGTTTCACCCATTGGTCCAGGAAGTCCCATTTCTCCCCTGAGACCTGGTCGTCCAATGGGTCCTTCTTGTCCCAACAAGCCTCGCTGACCCTGTAGGTGCAAAAGAGATGGTGACTAAAAGCGTTATTTCATTTATAGTAGATACTTCATTATGCAATGTGAACAGAGTTAACTGGTTTCAAATTAATTTCAACAAATTCGACCTAAAAAGTTTCCAGCTAAAAGCATATAGATGAGATCTACCCAAAAGGTGGAGAAACAAATGTCATAATGAAGAAAATAAAAAATGGTGTTGCTGTGAAATCGTTCATGGATAAACAAGTTAGCTAGTTTTCTGCCAATCTCTTCCGCTGGGACAATGCACTGCCAAAGTAAATGCCTGAAGACACCAGAACCAGTTCAGAAAAAATACCTTATTGCCAAAAAACATCTAAAAAAAAAAAGTCTGAAAAGGGATCCGAGGCTGAAATTAACCTCAGTTTTCAAAACCCAAACTGAAAAAAAAAACAAAAACCAGTACCAGCCTCAAAGGATGGTGGAAAACCATATAAAATATGTTTTTCTATGTTATGGCTTCCTCACATAATGTAAAGCCATTACTGTATATAACCTTGTGTAGAAAAGCCACACTGGGGCAGCTTGGTTTTCATACAAGCTGATGTATGAAAACCTCCCCACATTCTGCTCACGTTAAATAAACCCACGGCACTGCAACAGGAGAGGCCGATGGAGCCTAAAAAGGAATTTTTACCTCACATAAACTCACTCCAGGCCTTAAAACAACAGATCAGAGCAGCTCAGGTGTAAATCTGAGACATACAGGAGGAAATAGGAGGAAAAGTTTGGGAAGATGAGTCGTTTTAAAGTGATCAAGTGAAGCCACTCTATGCGGCTCATTGTATTCCATCAGGTGGGTCCTTGTTGTGCAGTAGTTGGTTACACGTTCCAGAACATTCATGCAGGGTGTCAAATAAAGATTCATAATAAAAAAAAAACTATTATAAAAATATGTTATGATCTATAAATGACCTGTCGGCCTTGTTTTCCTGGTAGACCTGGTGAGCCAGTCAGTCCTGGAGGACCATCCGGACCTGGAAAACCCTTTAATCCCGTAAGTCCTGGAAAACCACTCGGGCCCTGGAAAAGGACAAAATCATTCACACTGACCATCAGTTTTGTCATTCAGATTAAGATTTAGGTCCAGATTAAGTTTCTAATTAATTGACTAAAGTCATCAATTGCATTTTCCCAGTCCTGGGAACGAGCTCCCGCACCTTGAGAGTAAACATCACAGCTCTAAAACTGATCTCCACCCATGTGTGTCACACGTCACGTGATCAGGAAGCAGAAAATCCACGAATTAGGAGATCGTTTTGGGACGCTGCTGTGAAAAAAGCAAGGTGATAACCAAAAAAGCTTCTACAGCTTCCACAACGGATTGTGAAAGAACGGAACCAGCTAGATTCTTCCTGATGTAAGAAGTGGGTAGTTTTAGTGTTTACATGGTGATAGAGCACAATATTCTGTGACTCTTCAAAACAGTAAAAATGCTCTAAATGCTGGCAGTTAATGAGCTAAGAAGCAGCTGAAGACTCTTATTTAAAACTGTTTTTACTTAAATCTTTGTGTTTTCTACATTTGTATAATAACCCGCTGTGATTTTAATGATCTTTCATTTGTTTATGATATCTTGTTGTATAGTTGTTGGGATGATTTGTTTTGTTTATATTTGTGATTTTTCTGTCTGTAATAAGAGTTAGGGTAATAAAAAAACGTTACCTACTGATATTTGGACTGCTCGTCTCTGATTGGCTAACAGCAACACGGTTCTACCTGACTGTTGATGTTTTATCTCCACAAATAACACAAGCCTAAAATAGTTCTGCTGTGTGGTGGAGTCGCTAATGCTAACCGTTAGCTATTGCTAGTTGTGATGTTCTCTGCTGTTTCCTAAACCAACAACAACCTTCCCCTGTTGCAAGTCAAGATGGGTGACAGAGTGATGTAGATCTGTCAGGCCTTTTTAATCCTAATCCGTCTATTTTCTATCAGCCTGCATGTTAAACCCAGAGTGACAGATAATTTAGAAAAATAGTAAGTAAAAAATTGTTTCTCAGTGGACCTGCTCTTTAAAACATTACGTGTTCAAATAACCTTTGGATCACGGTGCTCTGTGTTCATGGTGTACCTGCCAGCAGGAATCCCAGTCATATAAGAAACAGAAATAGTTGTGGACAACAATGCAACTCACTTCTGGTCCAGCAACTCCATTCAAACCTCTCGCTCCTTTCTTTCCAGCTGATCCCTAAAACATGTGCACAAAAAGAAACAAAAATAATGTATCAAATTCAATTCAACTGAATTCAATTCAATTCCATACAATTCAATTCTATTCAATTCAAAAATACTTTATTAATCCCAGAGGGAAATCGATTGCTGTAGTAGCTCAGAATAATAATAATAATAATAATCAAGTCATCAAAGAGTTATTGTATATTACAATGGCTGTTGGCAGGAAGGATCTCCAGTAGCGGTCAGTGTTGCAGCGAACTGAAGAAGCCTCTGACTGAAGACACTCTTCCGTTGTCGAACAGTCTTGTGAAGAGAATGCTCAGGGTTGTCCATAATTTTCTTGATTCTCTGGAGAATCCTTCTTTGCATCATCTCCTCCAGTGGTTCCACAGTCATCCCCAGAACAGAACCAGCCTTCTTTATTAGGCTGTTGAGCCTTTTCATGTCCCTGCTTCTGATGCTACTACCCCAACAGACGATGGCTGAAGAGATTACACTCTCAACAACAGACTTGTAGAAGATCTGCAGCATCTTGCTACGGACATTGAAGGACCTAAGCCTCCTCAAGAAGTGCAGTCTGCTGTGTCCCTTCTTGTAAACGGCTTTGCTGTTCTTTCTCCAGTCCAGTCTGTTTTCCAGGTGAACTTCAAGGTATTTGTATTCCTCAACCACCTCCACTTCTTCTCCCATGATGGAAACAGTGTTTGACTCCACCCTGTTATTTCTGAAGTCTAAAATCATCTCCTTTGTTTTGTTCACGTTCAAGGTCAGATGATTGTTTCCACACCATGCCACAAAGCGCTCCACCAGCTTTCTGTACTCAGCTTCCTATCCATCTCTGAAACACCCAATGTTACGTCCTCTATTGGTGGATAAGGAGAAGGACGGGGAGTAACACGGAGGCATGTGTTTCAGGTGTGGAAATTGTAAACATTGATTTTATTAAAAGGACTTTAAAATGACAAAAAGCTCCAAATCTGAAAGTGCTTAAAACAGTGTTAAAATTGCCATGGGTTTACATTTAAAACAGACATTTGAATGCTCCCTAACATTCACAAAACAAAGTCCACTGACTTAAACACAAGTTTGGGAGCCAAGAGGAACCCAGCACTCTGGTCCCTCGTCTGTTAAAAACCTCTAAAAGTTGTTAGGCTTCACCAAGCTTAAAACAACTAAAACCCATTTAAAAGCCATTAAAACACAAACAAATGGAGCCCACGAGAGAACTGGCACAGATCCAGTCTTTCCCTTCCTCCTGGCAGCTCTCCCCTTTATGCTGCTCAGGAGGTGATCAGCCCAAGTGAGTGCAGCTGTGCAGGTAGGAGGAGGAGGCAAAGCACTGACTGTCGTCTGCAGAGTCAGCTTTCTGGGACAAAACATCGACAGCTGTAACACCCGACAACTGCAGATTCATCTGAGTATTTCTGTAGATGACAGGTCTCTGATTTGTACTGGAAGTCTGAGGTGTACAGGGTGAAAAGAAATTGTAAGAGTACAGTACCCTGTGGTGCTCCAATGTTACTGATCGCCTGGTGTGATGTGCAGTTCTTCAGCCTCACAAACTGTGGTCTGTTTGTCAGGTAGTCTTTCATCCAGGTGATAGTTGAGGCCCCCACCTGTGTCTTCTGGCAAAGTACATCAGGCTGAATTATGTTAAATGCACTGGAGAAATCAAAGAACATGACCCTCACAGTGCTGCCTGCTTTGTACAGGTGACAGTGGACTGGTTGAAGCAGCTGGATGATGGCATCTTCAACTCCAACTCCATGGTGATAGGCAAACTGCAGCGGGTCCTGATATGTTCTAGTTTGCTTATTCAGGTGGACCAACAGGAGTCTCTCCAGGACCTTCATGATGTGGGATGTCAGGGCAACCGGTCTGTAGCCGTCATTAACTGATGGGCGAGTTTTCTTTGGAACTGGAACAAGGCAGGATGTCTTCCACAGGACTGGAACCTTCTCCTGGGCCAGGCTGAGGTTGAAGAGGTGCTGCAGAATCCCACAGAGCTGCTCTGCACAGGCCTTCAGTACTCTGGGGCTGACACCATCTGGACCTGCAGCCTTGTTCCTGTTCTGTCTCTCCAGCTGCCTCTTCACCTGACTTCTAGAGACAGATTGGTGGGAGGGGGAGGTAAATGGGGCAGCAGCATCTCCTGACTTGGTTGAAGACAGATTTATAGAACCAGAAGAGTCCATGACTGTGTTAGAGGACAAAAAAGCTGGCGTGTGACAGGAAAATGTTGGATCAGAGGAGGATGGGATGTCTGATTGGTTGGGGACAGTCGAGGAGGATGCTGGGTTTGTTCCTGAACTGAACCTATTGAAGAACTTGTTCAGTTCTTTGGCTGTGTCCAGGCTGCCATCTGTGCAATCCTTCCTCTGCTTGAAGCCTGTGATCTTCTTCATCCCTGACCAGACATCTCTGATATTGTTCCTCTGCAGTTTGTTCTCCAGCTTCTTCCTGTATGCCTCCTAGCTGTCTCTGATCTTGATCTTCAGTTGCTTCTGTATACTCCTCAATAATTCCCTGTCTCCTTCCTTGAAGGCTCTTTTTTTCTCATTTAGCAGATTCTTCAGTTCACTGGTGAGCCAGGGTTTGTTATTAGCAAAGCATCTCGCTGTTCTAGTGGGTATGATGTTGTCCACACAGACGTTTATATAGTCAGTGACACATCCAGTCATGGCATTGATGTCCTCTTCATATGAAGAATCACACAAATAAAAATGGCTATAAAGCACTGCTTTTACATTTATTTATTTTATATTTCAAACTGTGTTTTCAGGAAAATGACAAGAGTGTATAGAGATTATTGTATAGTTGTTATCACATTTATTATTAATAATAATAATAATAATAATAATAATAATAATAATAATAATAATAATAATAATAGCTACAATTTAGGTTATCCCAGTCTGATGGGACATCAACCATAAATGCTTGTAACGACCATCTGTAACGACTCACTGGAGATCCTTTTTCTCCTTTTGGGCCCGGTTCTCCAGGCTCGCCAGGTGATCCCTGCACAGGAACAAGAAACACAACTATTAAATAAATCTCATCTGCACCGACATTGTCCACACATGAACTCCACTGTTCTATACTCTGAATGCACTGTGAGTCTCAGAGGTAGTAACCTCAGGCCAAACAAGAAGTTACTTGTAAAAACAGAACATGTTGCATGTTGCTCAGATTACACCTGGATGTATGCTAGTGGAACTACTGCTACACCTTTGAGGAAAATCCTTTAGATGTGCATTTCACTTTACTTACTCTATGGTTGGCATGTATTAGTGTGAGAGCAAATCCACTGTTAGTAATGATTTAATAGATGCCGTTTGTGTGTAAATTTGATGACTTACAGGTAATCCTTGAGGTCCAACGTTCCCACGAGGTCCAGTAGGACCAATGTGACCCTGAAACAATCAACATATAAATACGTTTAAAAGAACTCAATCATTATACATGTTAATGATGAAGTATAACAATAACACATCTAAAAGGAGTGTGAGGTGGTCATTAGTTACATTCAGGAGGAAACTGGCATTCATCAGTTTCTAACAGCAACTAATTTTCTGTCCACACAGAAAATCAGTGAAGTAGCAGAACTGGATTTTTATTATTTCATTTCTACGCATAATTAAATGTGAGTAAACTTCATGTTTTAGGGGAGATAATCTCTACCTGCAGTATCCCAATTCTGCATGAAGGTAGTGAAATTCAATTGAGCCATGAACTGATTTTCTGTCTCCAATCCCAATTTCCTTTTTAGATTGGACAATTTTGACCAATTAAAGCAGCTGGCGGTAAAAGCCAGACCTCAACTTGCATCACAATTTGATGATAAATAAATGAATACTCTCAGATATTTTAATTTAAAAATAAAACTTTCCACGTGTGATGTCATCATTCCAGGTGTCTAATCAAAAAATGCAGAGAAAAGATTTAAAGTTGGCTCAAAACAAGACTTGGAATTTTTGAAATTAGTTAATAAAACCTAAATCAAAATCAGAGAAGTTAGTTGTTGAACTGTACTGTAATGAAAAACTCGTCGGGTGTAATTCATGATGTTATCGTGATGTATCTTTTCTGTTAAAGTGACAACCAAAATAAAGGATCAATCAACCAAACCTCCTAAAATCAACTAAGGGCAATTATTTCTGGGACCAAGCATTTAAGATTAGTTAGAACAAATTGTGATTGGAATAAAAGTACTTTTCACTTTGCATCTAATATTTGGTTTTCTACCATGTATCCTTCGTCTCCTGGCTCTCCGCGATCTCCTTGTTCTCCTAGAGAACCCTGTAAAGACAACAAGACACAAAAATAAAAACAAATACAAAATGTACTTTTTTATCTTTAAAGTCTAACAATGACCTCAATCTGACGAAATTTTTATAACTTCAACTAAGCAGACACCTAACCATCCAACATAACTAAAAGGTCTATTACATCTAACACACAACTCTATACACAGTTAAGTTTTCTGAAGTGAAGCATCTCTCTTCTTTTGTGACATCTTTAACATGTGCATCTTTGAATATTAAGTGGAATTAACTTTGTATTTAAGATCGTTCCAAAATCAGAGTTTAAAGGAAAGCAAGACCTACTGGTTCACCTAAGGGCCCTGGAAGTCCTGGAGTCTTATTGTCCTCGCCTGGATAGCCCTGAGATAGAGCAAAAAAAAAAAAAGTTAATAAATAAAATAAAACCACATTCAGAAAGGCATGAATTTACTGAACACATATTGTTTCACTTTTGTAACTAAAGCTACCAAACAAAGGTAAGCACAGCATTTTTTAAATCTCTTACCTTTTCACCTTTGGGTCCTGGTGGTCCTACAAGCCCAGACTTGCCAGGGTGCCCCTCAAGTAAGAAGAAAGTTGATCATTGTACTTAAAGCTGCTTGTTTGACAGACACATGAAGGTGGTAATGACTAGATGAGCAGAAATGGCTCTAAGGCTGAGCCTGCTTGTTAATTTGCAAGAATAAATATAGGCAATAGCATAAAAATGTGTGTTTGATGTATGTATTCAGCAATAATAATGAATGAATCAATAAGCCAATTATTCAGTTTAGATCATGATGCATAAATAAACTCACTGGGTATCCTGGGAGTCCTGGCTCCCCTTCCAGCCCCATGATGCCAGGCTGGCCCTGGATGCACATTGAAAATGCAAAAAAGTAATTAAAAGAACTAGTCATGGCATGAACACAGTTTTCGTTGGGGGGGGGGGGGGGGGGGGGGGGGAAGCCAACTTGAAAGAATGGGAATCAGGAACCCGTAGAAACTGGAGTCGAAATGAGTAATTGGAATCGGAATCATTCAAATTCAACGATGCCAAACCCTATGGACTTCACACATGTAATCTAGCATTCACATGTTTGAACTATTAGCCATGACTTGAATCACATTCATGCTGTAATTCATTTTGGAAGATAAACAATTACGTGTGTTTCGAATAGGTCTGTGAAGTAGTTTAAGATTTATTAGCTTGTGAAAGTTGGTAATTAAAATATTACAAATAAGAAGTTGCCCCCCGTACAGCTGCCGCTTCAATTTAAGGACAAACTACCAGAGTCCCCAAAAAACTCCATTTGGAGTCAACAAAAGACACGTGAATGTAGAAAATGGCAAATGACTCATTTCCTCTGGCGTTTAAATTTTTATTCTGTCGAAGTACGCTGTAATTTAATCAAGTCAGAGGACCGGGAGTGTCTTGTGGATTATGTCATTGGGGGGATTTCTGCTGCATTTTGCAGTGTTGGGAGTTTTAAAGCAGCGTGAACACTGCATGTTTTATTTTCCTTCCATTCCGCTTCACCAGCAACTCTTCAAATTTCACTAATGTTGTTTTAGTGATGACTGCTGTTGTCATTTCCTACTGAGCTACAACCAATCAGTGTGAGTTAATCACAAGTTTTGCTCAGTGATTCTAACTGGTCATTTTGAGTACCTACCCCAGCTCAGATTAAACTGTCCTTTTGGATGGTCCACTGAAGTGGAGCTACGTGCATACCACTAAGTTAATGCCGGTAAGATTATCCTGAAGTACTGATGGTGGGAAAGGCCCTAATAATTACCTTGCTCTTGTCTACCTCTCACATAAATGTGGCACCAACCAAAAACACTCAAACTTAATTTTTGGATCATTTATAGGTATTTCTATAACAAAGTAAGAAGAAAGAGAGGATAAATGGGAACTAACAGGTGGGCCTCGAGTTCCCCTGGCACCTTTCAGCCCCGGCTCGCCTGATTGGCCAATGTCTCCTCGAGAGCCTATCTCACCAGCAAGACCAGGAGGGCCCTTTTCTCCCTGAAAAATCAGCAGTGAGTATTTTTCATGATAACTTTAGAAAAAAAAAAAAAAGAGAAAATATACAAATTCCTAACAATTACTTCAGACCATCCTTACGGTGGGCCGTACCTTTTTTCCATGTCGTCCTCGAGTCCCTGGGGCACCCAGTTTTCCTTCGGGTCCCTGTGAAAAGACACATATTCGGTTAAACTAATTTGCATTAGTTGATCTGGTATTGGTGGTGAATGGAGAAACAACAACAACAACAACATAATAATAATAATAATAATAATTCATTTTTTAGAAGTGCCTTTCAAAAGACCCAGGAACACATATCCCCCTAGTGACCCAACCCAATTGTGTATTTGTCCTAAAGAACTCATTTATTGTTTGTTATGGAAATTTATGTTTATTACTTCTTGATCATTGACTCAGTCAACTGAATGTAAATGTATTGCTCTATGCCTCTTTGATCATGCTCACTCATTTAGACACACCCACACAAGCCACTCACACACACACACACACACACACACACACACACACACACACACACACACACACACACACACACACACACACACACACACACACACACACACACACACACACACACACACACACACACACACATTCTTGACTTTTGAATGTTTTAGCCGGAAATATAAACGGAAGTAAGCAGATTTCTGGAATGCTGTTGTGAGTGCACCAGTGTGATAACTGAGAGGTGGCGAAGTGAGAGGTGGCCTGGCTCGTGAGCGTTTAGCCTCTAATAGAAACGCAACTCCAGTTGTCATCGTTGGTTGTGCAGAGAGAAAGATAAACACATTCCGGAGATGCTGTATTGGCTTGGGTTTTTGAGCGTTTTTGCCGAAATATAAATGCAACCCTGGTGTGATAACTAAGAGGTTAAATTGGTTTTTGGAACAGGAGCCATGTATTACTGTCAAGTAGGTCCATGGATGTGAAATTAGCCTTGAAATAAGAAACCCTACTCTAGTTATTTGTGTTGTTGTTTGTTTTCTTAGATGTTGTCTGCTTAAATTGTTGTTTGGATAAATGAGAGAGTGTATGGATTGCTTTGTACATGTGGTATCTAGGAAGCACAGAGCGGTGGAGAGGAAAAAGGGTTGAAGTTGTGAAACAGAGAGAGCTCAGCCAGGCTCAAACAAAAAAAAAAAAAAAAAAGAAATTACCCAAAATAACGGTTGCTGTGCTCTAAGCTAATAAGGTCTTATCAATTGAGGCCTGAAGGTTATAACTAGAAAATGAAAATGGAAAATATAATTTGAACAGATTCTCAAAATTGTTATGTATTTGTTTTTGCTGTTAAGCACAGCTGTTGAGTACTTTATTGCATTTCAGACCCTCCGTGTGGACTTCAGTAAGTCCAGTCAATATATTCCATGTTCAGAATGCACGCTGTCCACAGAGGTGGACATGTAGTAAAATTCTATGCAAATTATTAAATGTTACAAAGAATATTTGTTGAAATTTGTTTAATTCACACCTTAAGATAAATGAAAGACATTGTTAAATAATCTTGGTTGAATATTTTATAATTCATGTCCCAAAAACCAGTTTCCTTGTCCGGGGATCGGACTGCCAAGGCTCCCGCCTTGGTCTGCCACCCAATCCACACTGCACCGGACCCTTCATGTTCCTCCTGCGGGTGGTGGGTTCACAGTTGGATGAGCCCATGTATCCGGTTCGGGCTGGGCCCGGCCGGACCCCATGGGCGAAAGCCCGGCCACCAGGCACTCGGTCACGGGCCCCAACCCCAGGCCTGGCTCCAGGGTGGGACCCCGGTAATCCTCCGGGCCGGGTACTCAGACTCTTTGATTGTAAATCCATAAAAGATCCTCTAAACCGTTCTTTATCTCACCCTTCAACTAAGACCAAGTTGTCATGGGAGACCCTACCAGGGGCACAAAGTGCCCCAGACAACATAGCTCCTAAGATCATTAGGGCACTCAAACTCCTCCACCACGATAAGATGACGATTCAAAGGAGGAGTATCTTCAAAAACACTATTTATTGTAGCTAGATGGATTTTTAGGTTACCACGGGCTTTGTTATGTAAATACCTCTACCTTGTGTTAGCCAATCTATTTCGTTTCCAAATTAATTGTTTATGTAATCAATATTGAACTCCTCTTGTGTAGGTTAGTGAATTCTTTCTGTTGTTTTTGCAAATCTTTACCTTGTCCCTGCTTTGGACCTAATCAGATCCACTTTCTTATCACCTTCTTAATTCAACAAGGACAGAGCAGCAGCTCATTAGACAGCTCTTGCGCTTGACTTCATCATTGTTTTGTTACTGCTAGACAAGTATTATAAGATGACACTTGCCCTAAATGACCCTTAGATTTGATCAGTAGTGTGATGACCTGAAAGATGTTCCTTGATGGTCACATTGTTTTGAGAATCACCTGATTACATATGCATCTAGTGGTTCTTATGTTTGTCAGTCTTTCATTTTGTTTATTTTGTTTACTTATTGCTGTTTTCTAAATATAAATACTTTAGTTGTTATCCCTCTGCTTGATCTTAAAAATAAATTATAGCTCTTCCTCAGAGCATTTTATACAGTGTACGTTTTTACAACTTACAAATTACAACTTACTTCTAATGTCTTTTCCTTTACTGAAAAATTATCGTCCTTTCAAACACCTTTAGGGTTGTGTGTATCTAAGAGCGCCATCAGTTGTTTTATTTTTGATCATTCACTGTCTCTATGTGACAGATGAGTTTTATTTTCCCTAGATAAATCTGTTGTCCAGTTTCACTTACGGAGTTTTAATTTAGCAGTATTTATCTCCTGTTGACAAATTTTACACATATTTGAGTAGCATTGTTGATGTACTCTGAAGCAACCTTACCTTACTGAACCTATGTGGAGTTGAAATTTTATTTTTCCAATTAGGACTGGGTTCGTTGTTAGTTCATTCCAGTGTTAGAAGCGAAGAGGTTAAATTAAGAAGTCACTAGAGGTGAAAGTTTCTGGCATAATGAGAGCAAACACATAAAGTCTATGATATTTTTATTTTTTACCCTTTTTCCCAGATGGGTTGTTTCTTTTGATTCCATTGGATTACAGTTTTTGCTACAATTCTTTTACTACAATTTCTCCAGTTACTCTTAGGTTATGTGAATCACTTTTTGTGTTCATTTTCAGTTTTCATTACACAGATTATGGCATTTGTTAGTTGTTAGTTACCATACCATACCATATTTATTTATAAAACAACATTTCAGAAGAGTTGGGAGATTCTCTAAGGGATAGTACAGAGGTGAGGACACTATACAGTTTCTTCTGGTCGTTTTTATGCCTAGTGATTCTATTTGCAAAATATCTGTTTCTAGCTGAGCAGACAGCTTTCTGATAGCGGGTCAGAGAATCCCTGAATAATTGGTAGGAGATTTGCAGCTTGTCCTTCCGCCACCGGCGTTCGCAGACCCTACATTGGCGTCTTACAGCACGAGTCTCCTCATTGAGCCAAGGGTCTGCCACAGTTTTTTTATGCCTGTATCTTAAGAGGAGCAACTGCATTTAAAACAGCTGAGCAGGTAGAGTTGAAAAAGGTCAGCAGCTCCTCAACTCCTACACAGGTGGAGTCAGGTTGGGAAGTGGATAGAGTCTCAGCTAGGCTAGATGCTAAAAGATTGGTGGTGGAAGGGGAAATTATTCTTGTAAGGTGTTGATTATGTTGCCTAGTGGATGGCGGCGTCAAGTCACATATATTAAAAATAATAGGAGGATGATCAGAGATACATGCAGAGTCAACAATCAGATCAGAGATACAGATCCCAAATGACAAAACCAAGTCTAAAATGTGCGATCCTGAATGGGTGGGTGACTGGACCTGTTGCTGGAGACCAAAACAATCTAAAATGTCTAAAAGCCACCAACAAGAGGTTTGTCAGGGCAGCAAACATGTATATTAAAATCACCAAGAATAATCCCACGGTCATATTTTGGAAGAAAGTCTGTTGAAAGATCAGAAAATTCCAATAAAAGTTTGAATTGTACTTAGGTGGGCGATAGCAGAGAATAAACAGCAAAGGAGGACTAAAGTCCACCTCAAAAGCCATTAACTCAAAGCTGGTTGGAGTCACTGGTATAGTAAGATTTTTAGGATGGAAAGAGGATCTGAACATGGTTACTAATCCACCACCACGACCAGTGAGCCTGGGCTCGTTCAGAACCTGACAGTCTGAAGAACAGAGCTCTGGCAGTGCAGCTGACTCACCAGGAAGAACCCAGGTCTCATTCATGCAGAATAATGTCACCTCATGCTGGAAAAAGTAATCCCTTAAAATGAGGGTTTTATTCCCAATTGACCGGGCGCTTAGGAGAGCTATCCTGAAGATCGGTGGAAGACCCGAATCAGCTGACCGGGGTGACTGGGCTGCTTGGGCCACTGTAGGATAGCAAAGGTTAGCTTGGTTGACGCCCCGGTGCATCCACAGGTTGGTGGGTGAGGCATTCCGGCGACCGGATTCCCCAGAGAATCTTCGACAGAGCGATGAAATGCAGAAGATCTGATGATTTCCATGTATCAACTCTGGTGGCAGGTGAGGTTTATATCCCATGTACTAACGGCCGGAGGAGGCTCTGAGCCGCACTTTGGAACCCCCTGCGTTTGCCACGTCTGCGGCGTTTCCTTGGTAGCCACTTGTTTGGGTTTGTTTTGTTGTTTTATGCACACTGTGTTGCACGACTCTGTCCCTTGCTGACATGAACTAGTAATTACAAGTTCCTTGGGATGGGTGTTTTATCACATGTTATGTGAGGTCCAATTTTAACATCGGATTGGCGCAATGCTTGCCAGTCTCGGACATTTTTGTTTATGTTTCGTTTCTGGTGAGCCATGAGTTGCCTCATGCCTCAAGAGGAGGGAAGGCTGATAACAATTTCCTCACATTATTACACTGCCTGGATGGAAATACCTTAAATATTAGATGATAAGGATTGTTGATGAAAGCAATTCAAAATCAACAATGATCTCCCAGAATTTTCTTGTGCTTTTTCGCCACAGGTCGTGAAACCAGGAAATTGGGTTCTGATGAAGGTGCTGAAGCGAAACAGATGGGGCAGCCAGAGGTCCATTCGAAGTACTCCTCATTACTCCTACTGCTGTGAAGATTGCTGAGAGGCCATCTTGGATTCATCTATCCCACTGCAGCTCATCAACGACAACTAACCGCTCTAGCCCGGCAACGAAGTCCGGCTACAAAGGGGTGGACCACCACTAGGGTGCCATCTCTCAAACCCGGTGAAGATAAGATAAGATAAAGATCTGCTTCGAGCTTGCTGGTTTCACCAGATTGTTGATGTTGGTGGTCGCACTCATGGCCCTGCACTTGGGCCGCCTCTCAGCACCTGATGGAACAACTGAGACAGCAGCATTTGAGGAGGTACTAAAACTGGAACTGAACGACTGATTGGGGCTCCTCCCTGACCGCGCACCTACAGGACAATGTAACCTGCATTCACCTACCTCGGCTGAAGACCCCCTGGACGCAACTACAACAGGACACAGCGAAGAAGAGATGCTGGGGAAGGATAAATACTTCAAGCACCTGCACCCAAATCTCCAGACTGGTTTCACAGCCAAGGACCTGTAGGACCTTTTCGGGGACAAGATCAGCTCCCTGACAATTGGACAACCGCCTTGACACGCCATGGAAGAACCCTGGTGTCTTCCTATTGAGAAGTTGAACCTTACGCTTCATGTTCCGACCTACGTTATTACGCTGCGGACCTGGACTTCAAGGTACTCATCAACGTAAGACTGAAACCATCCTGATCAACGGAAGAGGACCCTGACTTCCAAACCCTATTCTCCAACCGGGACTCTCAGTCCAAGGACAAGCCCTTTGATGAAGAACACCTGGTTTGCCTCAGCTCTGCCATAGTTAGAGCTGCGAAATTAATATTACACCTTCATTTTTCCTCCTTCACTGAAGACTTGTCTGCACCTTAGAGTTTCAATCTAAATTCACCTGATGTTTCCATACACGGAACTGATGTTTTCTGTGTATTATATGGTTTTGCTGACCCTTCCCAATCTCCTTACAGGAACTGCTATAAGTCGTAGAATTGTTCATCACAGTAAATTCATTTCAATATGTATGAAATAGTTTTCTCAAGGTTATAATTGTAATGATTTAGCAGATTCTATTTTCCATCTCTGTGAACTGCTGTCAGGTATTATTGTCAGTTGTGTTTGACTTATTGTGTGTATTATTTTATTTGTTCTTATTATTATATTGTATTCTTTGTATGGAATGATTCTTTGGACAAGTTAACAGGATTGGGAATAAGATCCGCAATAGACAAATGATTGCAGTCATCATTTGAGTCAAATCTGAACTCACTGAAGATCCTTAATCAGACACAGTTCACGAAGTAAATACCTAAAACAGCTTTTTGTTATAAATTTTCGACCAGAATGCATCCAAGTTTTTTTAAAATCTTAAACCTGAAGTGTCATGAGAAAAAAGTATAGCAAAAACAAACAAACAAACAAAAGAAACCTACACGGAAGCCCTGTTTCCCAGGCTCTCCAGCTGATCCTTGGGGTCCAGGGTCTCCCTCTATCCCCTTTTCCCCTGGCTCTCCAACTGGTCCCTGATCACCAGACTCCCCCTGACAATGTGATGGACACAAATAATCCAAAAGTGAATGATTCACGTGCAATGCAAGTTATTGAAAAAGACAAATCAAAGTGAAGCTACAATTGTTTATTTGTTTTGATTAAAGCCCAAGTTAACTTTTTTTATTTCACCTTAGGTCCATCTTTGCCTTGTGGGCCATCTTCACCTGGAGGGCCAGGAGGACCCTATGAGAAGATCACAACAACACATCTTAATTATTGAAATATTCTGACAGAATAAAATATTTCATTTAACAATATAAAACCCAGGCAAACATAAATCAGATGATTTTTTTCACTAAGCTTTTCAGATACTTGATTTTTAGATTATAAAACTAATTTGGCGTTATTGAGTGAGTTGAAGTGGTTCTTGTTCTCATTGTGGTTTTTACATTTGTTTTTTGGGAAAGGTTTTTAGAGTTCAACCAGACATATTTATGGTGTCAAGTTGGTTGTTATTGCATTATTTGGTTCTCTTTTTAACACAGAAAAGAGTAGTTTTACAGTGTCGCCCTCTGCTGCCTGCGCTCTCCTCGCTGATGACACAGATCCATGTGTGATCCAGTGGGTAGACCCCATCGTCTCAGTTCCTTATTAGCGGCTAGCTCTGAAGAAGGCCGCAGGAGTGGTCGAAAATGTCAGCAAAAATGGGTAAAACAACCCTTCCCTGTGTTAAGAATAACTAAATAATGCTATCAGAAGAAACACACAGAAAGAATACACCAAAAAAAGTTGTTTGTTATGTTGTGGACCAGGAGCTAAATTATCGCGTTTAAAAGCAAAGGCATCAGTTCAGCTGCGGATGCCAGGGGCTTGTTCCTACCCATGTTTATGATTGACAGTTATATCCCCTCCACTTTTAAAGACCTAATGTGGAATTCCTTTCTAGCATAGAGCTAACATCCTCTTGCATTCCCAGTATAAGTTCTGTATTATACAAACTGACTGGAATTTTAACAACTCCATTCCACCACCTTTTACAGCCATGCCTTCTTTTGCCGCACTTAGCTACTAAAATGGATTTGTATTTATTTGATTTCATTATTAACACTCTAACTGTGAATAAAAATAAAATCATAATTTATGTGTTAATGAATTTTTCAACATTTCAGGAGGTGCTGGGAAATCTGTTCCATCCAGCCAGTCGTCAGCGTGCTAGCTAACCCCCTACTACTGTTCATTTTAAAGTAAAGTGGGTACAGATTCATTATTTAAATACATTTGCTGTGGTCTCTAGCATGGATACATGCCTTCTTAGTTGTTCTCTGTGGAAAAAAATCTCTGGTGCTTCTGTTTTCAGGAAGTAGAAAAAAGTTGGAGGAGAAAGGGGCCAAAAACGGACTTCCTGAGAAATACAACTCCCTCACTCATCAGTAAGCATGTAGGGTGCAGACAATGAGGTGGTGTATACCTTTAAGTAGCTGGGTGTTCACCTCAACAGTAAACTGAACTGGTCCAACAACACAGGTGCTCTCTATAAGAAGGGCCACAGTTGCGTCCACCTCCTGAGGAGGCTGAGGTCCTTTGGAGTTAATTCCAATCTGCTAAAATCTGTATATCACTCTACCATGGTTTGTTGGGGTGCAGGCAGCTCTGACTGAGACAGAAGGAGACTGAACAAGCTAGTTAAAAAAAACACTAGGGCTGTTCTGAGCTGTCAGTTAGATTCAGTTGAGGAGATGTATGAACGAAGGATGGTGGTGAAGATGACCACCATCTTGGAAAATCCCTCCCACCCACTGCATTCTGCTGTGGAGACCATGAACAGCTCCTCCAGAGGCAGACTGAGACATCCCAGATGTTAAACTGAACGCAACTGTAGGTCATTCATCCCTTCTGCAGTAAGCACATATAACTCCTCAGTTTAACTGGTCCTGGCATTATCCTGGTACACAATAACATCAATGTAATAGTCTGGACATGTTCAATACCTGTGAAATACCTGATGAACATTAGAATGTCTGTGTCCTTTATGCTGTATAGTTCTGGAAACACAAGTTTCCTTTTTATTTGTTGTAATTAGTGATTGAAGTTGACAATAATAGCTTACTGCCTTTGTGTGTTTACCTGTAATCTTATTATTATTTCCTTTTTCCTTTTTTCTAAGGGTATGTGCTGCTGTAACAAGTCAATTTCCCCACTTTGGGATTAATAAAGTCTATTATATTCTATTCTATTCTATCCTAAAGCATAAATAACATTATTGTTTTATTCAGGAAAAACACAATGTATACTCTAGACTTCACAGCCAGAATGAAAAATGGTGAAGTTCAAGTTCAATTCAATTTAAGTTTATAGCACCGAATCACGACAAGAGTCGTCTCAAGGCACTTCCCACAGTAAACATTCCAATACAGGTCAGTTCATTAAGCCAGTCAGTAAAACGTTTCCTATATAAGGAACCCAGCAGGTTGCATCAAGTCACTGACTAGTGTCAGTGACTTTACAGCAATCCTCATACTAAACAAGCATGCAGCAACAGTGGAGAGGAAAACTCCCTTTTAACAGGAAGAAATCTCCAGAGGATCCTGGCTCAGTAAAAGCAGCCATCCACCATGACTCACTGGGGATCGAGAAGACCGAGCAGACACACACACACACACGCACGCACACACACACACCACACACACCCGCACCCGCACCCGCACACGCACACACCCAAAGTAAAGTAAAGTAACACTTGGGTTAAGTTTAGTGGATAATCTGTAGTCACTCACCCTGGCTCCCTTCTGACCCTGATCCCCTTCAGCCCCTGGAGGTCCAGCTTCCCCCTAAAATGAAACGGACCACAACACATGACTGTGTGAACATCAAACTCATTTACAGAAACCACAGAAACAACAGAGACAGCCTGACAGACAGAAACATATAAAGATGCTGACCTTTGACCCTGGCTCTCCAATGGCACCTGGCTCCCCCTCGGCACCCGGAGCACCCTACAAGAATTGGACATTTTCTTTAGTCTGTAAACATAACAAGCATAAGGCTGTTGTCTCTAAAGCTCAAAAACAAATGGTAAGTTTTTCTGATGTTGCAGTACTTCCAGTCCTTGCTCTCCATTAGGTCCAGCCTCTCCAGGGGGTCCTTTAGGTCCCTAAAAAACATATGAAACAAACACAATGTGCATTTGATGCCTACAAAATCTAACTAGTTACAAAAAAACAAACAACTTCCTTTTCTATCAGTAAACCTGAAGCGTACATAAAAAGTTTAAAACCTTAAAGTCTGGCAAAGGAAACACTAGAGGCATGAATGTCTGGAATAAAAAGATTGAGAAGCTGCCAAACACAAGATGAGACCCATCGCGTTAACATCGCCTCCAGCTGATCCCACCCTAATAAATACCTCCGTCTGATTGTTTGACACTTTTCATGCCCCTTGGTGGAGCAGGGTGGGATTGGTGGACTTGCAAGAACATCAAAAATTTAAAAATCCGATCCAAGAAATAAAAGAAGCATTGAGGTGTGACGAAGTGTGAAAGGGACCACCTATTTCTACCATAAACAGTTATGATTTTGGTAATGATTCACATCAGAGTGGTTAAGTGTTTAATAAACATCTCCAACCCTTCCAGCTCCCGCTTTCTGCTACTTTTGTAAGCAATTACGGTTTTGTGAGCATTCTCTGCGGTCATTACAGATTCCAGACATGCTGGTTTACAAACGACTTACTGGTTCACCTTGAGGGCCTTTCTCCCCGGTGCTCCCTGGAACGCCTGTTTTACCCTGGGAACACACAGGAAATCAAACTCAGTCAGGTTTTATTCTTAAACAAGCATCCTGTCAAAATCAAATAAAACATGTGGAACATTTAGACCTTTTATCATCATTATCATCCATACATCCTTATTAAACAAGTCTATGAGGAAAAAATACTGCAAAATGTGACTTTTGGCCTTAACCCTCTCAGGCTCAAAATAAAGACGAACAACTAAGTCCTTCAGAGGTACTTCTGAGTTAAAAACGCTCATGAAATACGTATGTGGAGGAACCAGGTAGCTAGGTTTTAACGTTGCAAATTTGCAACGCCTGCCTCGAGAGGGTTAATTCATTATAATGTCATTCATAATAATAAAGATAGCAACCAATGCAAAACATCAATTTAATACATTTTATGACCAGTGCATTTAATTTAATTTCCTAATTTTAACAAATTATATTAATTTCCTGAGAAATTAACCATTATTATTTTCCATTTATTACATTCTTAAAAAAATAACAACATGAACAAATCCAAATTACAAACACCCGAATGAAAAAGAGCAGATAGAAGAAAATCCTATAAATAATCTGCCCCACTCAGACCAATAATTAAATCAGTAATAAATAAAATGTGTTTAACTGAAAATTTTAACAGAAGGACAGCTGCGGACAAAAACCTGTCAGTGATTTACAAACAAATACTTCATTTGCTGTTCCTGAAACATCATCCACGGTGAAACAGTAAGAAACAAATGACAAAAAAAGACCAAAGAACAAAACTAATAAAGACTGTTTAGATTTTTTTTATCATTTTGTTTTTAGCAGTCTTTTTAAACATTGTAATTTATTTTGCTACTTTCCTTTCTGACTCCAGATTGTTCCATTGCTCCATTACTTTGGTCCTGAATTTTGGTTTTATAAATATTTTACAGCCTTTCAAAGTATGTTCTTAATAAAAGATCTGTGGACAAAGAGCAGAAAAGAGGACACATATTTACAATATCTGTGTACTTTTTAAACCCTTGATTCTGATGTTTGCTTGTTTTTAAAGAAATAAAATGAGTTTTTGGTTGCTTGGCTCTCAAAAATTGAGCTTTTTTTTTTTTACAAGCTGGATGCAAATTCAAACCAAAAACAGCCTGAAGTCCAAATCATGAGCATGAAAGCCGGTGGGAACGTGCAGCTTCACAAGTCGCTCAGCTGTGATTATAGAAAGAAAGAAAACAATCGTTTATGTAGCGCCTCTCAAGATAAAAATCACGAGGCGCTTCACAATAGGGGTTGTATCAACTAGTCGGCTAGTCGACTTTACTGGTCGTTGGTTCGTAAGTCATCTTTATGATTCGGTCCATGAAGATCACCGTGATCAAACTATTTGACCCGATGATAAGACGAGGTTTTTTTCATTGAAAATTATTTAAAAATGTGGGGTCGTCTTATAATCGGGGTTTAAGCTTTCACACATGCTGATGTTTGTCTGAGGTCATTATAGGTCCAAAACAGCAGAGGGCGTCAGGCTGTATGTTCTCAAGAGGAGGAAAAAAGTGGAGACGAGAAGTCCGGAGCAGAGTGGACCGAAAGTGGGGCAAGTTAACAAGCTATAAGGCAGAATTATGCAAATTTTAAGATGATGGTGGTCCATCCAGCAGAGGCATCAAACATTGCATGCATGGATACAATAGATGGCAGCGAGGATGATGTGGGAGAAGCTGGCAGGTGTAGCGATCTGATGGTACACTGGGAACGCAGCAGCATGAGAGTGAGCACAGCGAGTCTGAATAAAAGCCTCATTTGACTTTTGATTTCACATGTCAGAAAAGTGAAGAGAACTGAAGTGAACTCATTGCACTGTTAAGTAGGTTCAATTGGAATGTTTACTTTTAAATTGCCTTGAGATGACTCTTGTTGTGAATAACGACGTACCTGTATCAGCACGGATAATTCAGCTGAAGGAGAAAGTAGCTTCAGACAACAGGATTTGGAGTCTTTTTATCCTGATATTTGGACATCTCTACTCTGATTGGCTAACAGCAACACGACTCTACCACTGACTGAATTTTCTCTGCAACGCTGATGTTTTAGCTCCACAAATAACACAAGCCTGAAGGAGCTTTGCTGTGAGGTGGATACGCTAAAGCTAACAGTTAGCTTCTACTAACCGAGACGTCCTCTGTTGTTTTCTGGACACTGAACCAAAAACAGCTTTCCCCGTCGTGAGTCAAGATGGGTGAATGCATGAATGTTAAGTGACAGTGTGACATAGATCTGGCAGGTTTTCTAGAGTTTCATCATCTATTTTCTATCAGAAGCTAATGCAGGAGATAGGTGTAGGAGACTATTTTCATCTTCAGCCTGCATGAAAAACAGTATTTTTCAGTGAATTTTACATTGGTGAACAGTTTACAGACTGAACAGGACTGGGATGATTAATTCCCAAAATTGGTTGATGATCAATTGATTAACTGATATTATGATGGTCTAAATAACAACTGACTGAACAAAGGGCATTACTGTATGCTAGCAACCCAAACCTCAAAGGTCTTTAAAGATATTCCATTCAATTGACCAAAAAATATGATTTCATAAGCAAGAATATCACATTACATGCCAATGCAAAATAAGAAAAAAGAAAACTTTGTAATTTTGGTGAAAAATGAAAACAAACAAAAAGTGATTTCTTTGAAAAGCGATAACTGCATCTGTTCCATTTTCACTTCACTTCACGAAGAAGCTTTTACAGCTGGCTTTTCCTACAGACTAGTGTGTAGGATCCACCTTCAGACACCAGATGTCGCCCTGACCTCGTAGGTAGACAAAGACAATGTTGTGTTTTATGATGGTGGACATGAGATGTTGCAGATAATCCTAATTTATCACTGATCAGCAGGCTCGACCACAATAACTAATTAAAAAAAATGGTACAAAAATGTTTTACTCAAAGGTTTAATATAGAACAGTTTAATAAAATGCTCTATTAAAAAAATAAACCTTCACGGGGCGATTTAGAGGTGTGCAGGATGAAGGTACAATATTCCATTTAAAGTTATATTTTAATTGAAAAAATAATGGAATATTTATTTTTCCAGGCACGACACTGGGTTAATGTTTACATCTGGCAGCCAATAAATGATTAACCTAATCGGTTAGGTAGATTACAGGCTTGTCTTGAGGACATAAAAAATTGGATGACTCTAAATTTTTTGCTTTTAAATCAAGACAAGACTGAAGTTCTCATCTTTGGACCAGAAATCCAGAAAAGGAAATTGCTTAGTCAATCACCTGACCTGAATGGCGTTACATTAATCTCCGAGAACAAAGTAAGGAACCTTGGTGTTATCTTCGACCAGGACATATTCAAATCCCAGGTTAAACAGGTTTGTAGGATTTTCTTTTTCCACCTTCGGAATATTGCTAAGATTAGAAGCATCCTTTCCAGGAGTGATGCTGAAAAACTAGTTCATGCATTTATTACATCAAGACTGGATTACTGTAACTCATTACTCTCAGGAAGTCCACAGAATGTAGTTAAAAGTCTTCAGCTTGTCCAAAATGCTGCAGCTAGAGTTCTGATGAGAATTAAAAAGAGAGATCATATCTCTCCTGTCTTAGCTTCCCTACATTGGCTACCTGTTAAATTCACAATAGATTTTAAGATCCTCCTTCTCACATATAAAGCTCTTAATAATCAAGCTCCATCATGCATCAGAATCTGATTGTTCCATACGTTCCTAACTGAGCACTTCGCTCTCAGACTGCAGGTCTACTGGTGGTTCCCAGAATATCTAAAATTAGGATGGGAGGCAGATCTTTTAGTTATCAGGCTTCTCTCCTGTGGAACCAGCTCCCAGCCTTAGTCTGTGAGGCAGACACTTTGTCTACATTTAAGACTAGGCTTAAAACATTTTTATTTGATAGGGCCTATGGTTAAAATCTAATGTTAGCCTAGATCTGGACAAGTGAGGGAGTAGAGGGAGGTGGAGTGTACAGTCGGTAAAGGCGGCTCTCCCTTGCCCTGCCTCCAACATGCCTCCATCTGAAAAGGCTAGGTTATCCAGAGTTATCTCTGTAGTTATGCTGCTATAGGCTTAGACTGCTGGAGGACATACTGACCACTTTTCACACTCGACTACTTTCTTCGCTACGATGATGTTCTGCTGAGCTGTGGTGGCCTCATGGAGGGGGCCATCGTCTAGCACACTGCTGCTAACCACTTAAACATTCTCCCTCTCCTGATAATAACTGTTTGCTTTCCTTGACGTAGGATGTGCTACTACTAGTTTACCCGTTTAATTACAGATTCAATAGGATAAATACAATAAAGTTTATCTCTCGCCAAATAGAATATTTACTAAGAAATTACAGTGTAACCATAGACACATTGCTTGGTGTGTGTGTGTGTGTGTGTGTGTGTGTGTGTGTGTGTGTGTGTGTGTGTGTGTGTGTGTGTGTGTGTGTGTGTGTGTGTGTGTGTGTGTGCGTGTGTGTGTGTGTGCGTGTGTGTGCGTGTGTGTGTGTGTGTGTGTGTGCTCTGTCTTCTCAATCCCCAGTGAGTTGTGGAGGATGGCTGCTTATACTGAGCCAGGATTCTCTGGAGGATTCTTCCTTTTAAAAGGGAGTTTTTCCTCTCCACTGTCACTAAATGCTTGCTTAGTATGAGGATTGCTTGATGCAATTTGCTGGGTTCCTTATATAGGAAACATTTTTTTGATTGGCTTAATGAACTGACCTGTATTGGAATGTTTATTATGTGAAGTGCCTTGTGACGACACTTGTCGTGATTTGGCGCTATATAAAAAACTTGAATTGAATTGAATTAAATTGAATTGAATAGAGGGCACCATTGTGAATTGCCAAATGTTTACACAGTCTGCTCGGCACAGCTAGGCTGGCACTGTGGAAAATGGTGGACTCGACAAGTCAAGCCACAGCTTCTGAACCCAGATGTTCTAATGTGGAATAATCTTGTGTGTAGTTTTTTCATTTTGATTTTGTTTTTTCTTTATTGATCAGCAATGATTTATAACTAATGTGTTGAAACTGCATTCAAGTATTGTTAGCTAATTAGTGGCAAGCTGCGTGGCAGCTGTCTGAGTCATTTTTGTTAGTGAGTATATATATATATTTTGCTAACGTGTGAATGGGGAAGACTACATATAAGATTTTCTTCTATCTGCTCCTTTTGTGTAAGTTGTATTTGTTCTTTATTATTATTCTGTAAAGTTATTATGCTTTTAAATGAAACAGAAATCGTTAAAAAAAAAGTTAAATACTGTAGTAAAAATGAACCTACTAGTAGAAATGAGTCCTCACCCTGTGCGATTTATCGATGGACATGCTGCTATCTGCTCACTTCAGTATAAGCAGCGAGCCCGGTATTCTGATCTACCGTTCTATTGTTGCAACTACAACCTGGATGTCGCTGTGGTGTTCGTGTTCCACATTCAACCTTTAATTTAAATGTGATTATACAGCTGCAAACATCTAGCCAACAGAGTGAAACTAGAATAAAAAAATCGTATTTATCAACTGAAAATGAAACCAATTACTGACACAAACTTCACTGTAAGAAAAATTCTGTTGGTTACTCTTCAGTTGTCATCCCTCAGATGGCACACGTGTCTCTGCTTTTTGTTCATCTGTTTGATCTTTGTTTGCATCTTTCTTCCATCTGTAAAGAATTGGTTATTTTATCCTTCTCCAAACAAAGAAGCATAAAACTACAAGCTATATTTTTTTGTCATTTGTTTTTTTATGCTGCAAAGATGGAAAATCAAAGGGTTTCCTGGAAATCATTTAATCAGAGCCGTTTTCTTTTCTTCTTGTATAAAAATAGCATTATTCAGCTGCACTGCATTCACTCAAGGTTTATGCTAACAACAAATACAGCCTGTTGATGACTTACTTCAGTCTAATCTACTGTCTTGCAAAGTGATTTCATGATGAGCTCGTCATATTCACTTACTGCCAAGTTCTCTTTTATTAAGAACTTCCTCCTTACAGGAATCAAAAAATACTGCAGAAAAAAGGCTGTAATCCTGTTTTACGAGTCTGTTTTCCCTCTGCAGCCATAGTGATGCATTCTGGTAAAGTGAAAATTATAATTAAAGCTCAGAAAGTGAAAAATAACTACAGGTAAAGGATTACTTACAGGCTTCCCAGGAGGACCTCTTTCTCCTGGACTGCCAGCCTTGCCCTTTAAAGAGAAAAATCCATATTTGAAAGATTAAACACAGTCTAAATGAGCTGAAATGAGCTTGCTTTATCAAGTGGAAAAACACATACATGTTTGCATGCGGGATGTTGCTTTAGGAGTAATTACATCATAAACTTTTAGTTTGTGAGTATTTTTCCAAGATGTGTGCAAACTGCAGCTATTGCCTGGAGGAAAAATGAATATAAATCAATACATCTGAATAATTTTAGTGTTTTTTTTATCCTAGTCTGAGTAGCTAAAACCCTGGCGTTTTAGGAATTCTTTGTTATTCTGCCTTTTTCTTATTAGATTAAGTTAAAAAAAAGTGTCTTTAGATAAGAGTGTAACATTATCAAGTGTTTGAGTTAGTAACTTGATACTTATGCACGTATGTGTGAATGGGGTTTTGCCGATGCACATATTTAGCTGGTCTGCATGTAAAAACTAAACTCCAGTTACTCCATAAATACACACACACACACACACACACACACACACACATATTTATATATATATATATACACTTGGACTAAATGCACCAACAAGAATGGTGGCAGAATTGAAGAGGTTTTTGGTGTTTTTCTGCAAATGAGAATCTAATGAAATAGTCCTTCATCCTTTAGGAAATCACATCTGGGTATATTGTGATTTGCAAAGTTATGAATCTTCAATGTTAAACATGATAAATTCCTAATTCTCAATAATTTTTCTAAAATGAATTTATTTGAAATTATAAAGACTTAAATTGTGTCAGACATAAAACTGATAGAGCTGTTCCAACAGCACTACTCAAGCGTGACTCGGGCGAGTGCGGTTTGGTCTGGCCACCTTTTCCAACAGCATGGTTTGTTATTCCTCCCGACTTTCCATCTACTTTTCAGTCTCTGCTTCCTTGAGTTTCCGAAGCGCTGACCTGAGCCGGCATTGCGACTGTCGGCCGCGGATTGACTAGGGGGTGGAGTCACTGGCTGCCTTGTTGTCTGCAGCTATTTCTGGTTCAGTCTGACAAAAAGCCGTAAAACTGAGAAGAATGTTCAACATCACTGCCATTTTTGTGCTGAATAGCATACAGATCACCTCATGTGGTCTTTGTCTCGAGTGAAGGTGACACTCCCCCTCCCCTCCCATAATGTACTATGAGGGGCACTCCCACTTCCTGTCACAGAGCTGGCAGGGAGACCCAACTACTTTGAGGTGAGCTGAGTTAACCCATGCTGGACCGAGCTGTTTCACGCTGAATAGTGCCATTGGAAAATCCCCATCACAGTACAGATAAATATTTGTTTGTATACTCACTACGAATCCCGGTTCTCCCTTTGGCCCAGTGTCACCCTTTTCACCCTGTAAGGGAACAAATCTTTTTTATGAACCATATCACATAAAGTGTAATTAAATGGAATCCATGTGTCCTTTTTAGAATAGAATAGAATAGAATAGAATAGAATTGAATTACTGATCCCACAGTGGGGAAATTCACTTGTTACAGCAGCACCAACACTAAAGAGGATAATTTGAAGAAACATAATAACAAACGTACATGTATATACACATAGGCAGTAAACTATTATTGTAACCTTCGACCACTAAAAACCAAAAACAAAAAAATGAAGAACTTGGCTTCTATAACTATGCAGCATTCTGTAAGGGACACAGGCATACTATATAAATCCTGTATTGAACACATACTGAGTACTGCATTGATGTCATTGTGTACCAGGATAATGCCAGTGCAACTTCAACTGAGGAGTTATACACTCCTACTGCAGAGGGGAGGAAACGGTACGGTAGATTTTAGTAGATTTTCGATTGTAACCAATAATTCTTTAAAAAAAAATAATGTTTGCGTGAAGGTGGATGTGATTTCTGTACCTGGGTGCCCTCAGGTCCTGGTTCCCCCAGTGCGCCATCTGGACCACGAGGCCCCTGCACAACAGCAACATGAGACAAAGACTCAACAGCACATTCTTCATCAAAGCACCCGACACGAGTTTGCATCCTGAACAGAAACAACGCCACCAACAAAGTAATTCGTCTGTATTCTTTGTTGAAAGCTGCTGCCAAGAACCCACACACACATTCCACTGGTTTACACGGCTGCGGTACCACCACAGCATGACAGATGCGGTCTGAAAACGCATCCGCAGACGGACCAGTCTTTAATGACTTACTATCTGATCCCAGATCTGTCTGAACTCTGAGTGCATCTGTGCAAGCTACACATCCAGTATCAAACTACTTAAAAACCTGCTCTTTCATGAGTTTATTTACTATTGTGTTTGTGGCAGTGGTGGTGCGTGTGCGTGTGTGTGTGTGTGTCTGTGAGTGTGTGTGTGTGTGTGTGTGTGTGTGTGTGTGTGTGTGTGTGTGTGTGTGTGTGTGTGTCTGTGAGTGTGTGTGTGTGTGTGTGTGTGTGTGTGTGTGTGTGTGTGTGTGTGTGTGTGTGTGTGTGTGTGTGTGTGTGTGTGTGAGTGTGTGTGTGCGTGTGTGTGTGTGTGTGTGTGTGTGTGTGTGTGAGTGTGTGTGTGTGTGTGTGTCTGTGAGTGTGTGTGTGTGTGTGTGTGTGTGTGTGTGTGTGTGTGTGTCTGTGAGTGTGTGTGTGTGTGTGTGTGTGTGTGTGTGTGTGTGTGTCTGTGAGTGTGTGTGTGTGTGTGTGTGTGTGTGTGTGTGTGTGTGTGTGTGTGTGTGTGTGTGTGTGTGTGCGTGTGGAGGGGCACATTTATTATTCTTAATCCAAATATGTGTGTGTTTTTGTTTTATATTAGACAGTTCATATGATTAGAAAATGTTATATGACTATTTTAAAAAAGAAGGTAGAATTCCTGGGTGTGAAAACACTGCAGGATTGTCAACAACAAGCTGAAGAGAGGCAGTAATTTGCATATTATTCTAATTGTATCATGTGTCTCACTTAAAAAAATGTTGAGCAGAGACAAGAGGAAATGTGGAAGAAAAGATTAGATTTATTATAGAGGAGCTGATTCCTCTATAAAGCTCCACTAAATGCGAGACCATGGTCTTGAGTTAGAAAAGCGTAGAATGCCTTCTAAAGGTCAAGTTTACCGGTCGATCCATGTTCCTACCCTCACCTATGGACATGAGCTTTGGGTAGTGACCGAAAGAACGAGGTTGCTGATACAGGCGGCCGAAATGATTTTTGTCTTTAAGGGTGGCTGGGCTCTCCCTTAGAGATAGGGTGAGAAGCTCGGTGACATCCGGGAGGGGTTCGGAGTAGACCCGCTGCTCCTCCACATCGAGAGGAGCCACTTGAGGTGGGTCGGGCATCTGGTCAGGATGCCTCCTGGGCGCCTCCCTGGTGAGGTTTTATGGGCAAGTCCAACTGGGAGGAGACCTAGAGGAAGACCCAGGACACGCTGGAGGGACTATGTCTCTCGGCTGGCCAGGGAATGATTTAGGATTCCCCTGGAAGAGCTGGCACAAGTGGCTGCGGAGAGGGAAGTCTGGGCTTCTCAGCTTAGGCTGCTGCCCCCGCAACTCAACCCTGGATAAGAGGCCAAACATGGATGGATGGATTTATTATTAAAAAAAAATAAAAAAACAATTGTGAGATCTCAGGCAGACTTTTTGTACGTATTTCTTCTGATGTAACCAGTTCCTCATGTAGAAGCTGGCTTGGTGATAAACTTAATTCTGATTCTGATTTGTCATTTAGAGAAGTAAAGCTTTAAGTATTTAATTTAGCCAGTGTGTCGATTTTGTCTTTTGTTTGTGTTGCTATGCTTGTGAAGGTTCTCGGTCATCCAGGTCATGGTAATCCAAGTGTTTCTCTCTCTGCTGGATCACCTGCAGGTGTCATTCTCCCCTCAGCCCGGCCAGTCCCACAACCACAGACATTGGTCAAAAGACTAAAACTACATTCACATTTTTTGTGGAACACTGTTTGGAAGTCAAAGAGTAACCAAACCCCAAAATAACATTTCACTATCCCATGCTAATTAACTGTATAACTGGGTCTTTACAAATGCAATCTTTCTGTTTCTGTGCATTTTTTGACATGTTTGTGTAAATAAATGATAAATGACCCACACTTGTATAGCACCTCTCAGAGTAAGAACTCCAAAGCGCTTTACACTACAGTGTATCATTCATCCATTCACGCACACATTCACACACTGATGGTGATGAGCTACAATGTAGCCACAGCTGCCCTTGGGCGCACTGACAGAGATGAGGCTTGATTACTTGATTAAATCCAGAATCTAGGTCTAAAAACGTCTCAGTGCTGCCCCCTGTGGCAGAACAGCGGCTACTGCATTTTAAACTTGTGATTGGCTGTGGCTGGTACAATTTCACGTCATCGGTACAGTCTCCTCCCACTCCCCCTCCCTCCCAGGATGGAAATTCCCCACACTTGGTCATGCCACTCTGCGCCTCCTGGCAACACCTACTTTTATGGCATTTTTCAAATCTTGACTAGGGGTGAAGTTACATTTTTTAATAGTGTGCAGTCCCTCTTTAATAATGGCTGATGTTTGGCTCAAGTGGAACATCAAATATACATTTTTTGTTAAGTACATTGTAATGTGAATCAAATAACCCGCTGAAAGGAGCACAAAGTCACATAAACAAACCAGAACAGGCCTCACCCTTCTGCCCTTTGGTCCAGCGATGCCTGAACTGCCCCTCTGGCCCTGTGGACCCTGCGATAACAGACAATCCACGCATGTGATACAAGGCAGTGAGAGAACTGGATCATGAGACAAGTCTGTATTTTATGTCTTTTTTTATGTCATTGTTGTCTTTTTAAGACAATGATGATCTAATCATTCTAACACTTACAGGTGCACCTTGCATCCCAAAGTCCCCTGGACCACCTGGTATTCCTGGATAACCCTGTTCCAAAGCAAAAAAAAAATAAATAAAAAATATATATAAAAAAAAAAAAATAAACCAAAACAGGAAGTCATCTTTTGTTAATAATCGGAGCATCCGAGCTTCAGAACCTATCCATGAACTGCAGTGCAGAGTGAGATCACGCAGTAAAAACGTGGTTACATGTGCAACTGGAAAGGATTAGGTGTGTCCTGTAAACGTGTTTTATGTTACTTTATTGTGTTCCAAGCCTTCCAGGAGAACAGACGCTGCTCTGTGCTCAGCCACTTCCCATGATAAAACACGGTCATCTCCAAAATGAGTGGGAGATTTCAGAAAAAAAGGTTTATGACATCATCTCTGTGATGTGTGAAGAAATGCTTGAATTGTTTCAAACTTCAGATCTTTCATTCCATTCCTCACACGATCCTATTACTTCATAATTATTGTTGGTCATTAACTTATTCATCTGCACATGTGCTTGTTTTTACTTCAGCAGCCACTGTCGCCGGCCAGAACCTGGCTCACAACCTTAGACGTGATGTTAGTCTGAGATAGCGAGGGATCCAGGCCAGCCCCTCACAAAGTCCTGCAGCACAACCATTAACGGCAAAAATCTGGGCAGCAATCATGTTTAAACAGGGAATTTCCACTCTACTACTCAAGCTAGCTCTATAAAAACAACTCACTATTAATGATTTTGCTTATACATTAACCAGATGTATCCTTGAGCACTTTCTGGTGACACTAAAACCTTTTTTGGGATGCAACAGGGCTGCAGTCCATTTCTAGCAGCTGAAAAGCTGAGAGGCTGAGAACTGTGCTCCTTCAGGCTTCACAAGAACTGTTTTTAATGACCTCCTTATGCAAAGAATTGTGCATTTGTAACACATCCTGGCATTAAAACAGCATTTAGATCAGAGTTATGCTTCTTACTATTCCAGTAAAAACATCCAGCTGATTAGGAATGATGTTCCTGGAGAATTTTACAGTCATCAAACGGGCTGATGGTGTTCTCTTTCTCCCGTTGGTTGAAACGTTCAGAGGCTATTTTTATACGAGGTGTAGATTTTAACGAGTCCCTTTGGTTCTTAATAGCTTTTTTTAATCTTCAAACAACTAGTTTAGAAAAAGTTCAAACACTCTGGAGTCTGGAGTCTTTGACCTCTATGACCTCAGCTCTTCAGCAGCATCTGTCAAAACTGCTGAGTCACTTTTAGCATTCTAAAACTTTAGTTTATTATATCACCATCTGATGGTGGACACGCCACTCACCCTCGGTCCGTTCTCTCCTGCTGGACCTGTTGGACCCGGTGGGCCCCGGTCCCCCTGATGAAACACAATCAAACACACAGAGACCAAACATGAAATCAGACCTTCATGGGTATAAACACTGATTCAGAACACCAAACACACACACACACACACACACCCCAATCCCAGTAAAGCTGCACACGTCTTCCACACATGTGTAAGTGATGAAATAATCTGACTTGAACTTGGCAACGTTCACGACTCCTCAACAAGTCTTGATGCATTTCTGTCAAATGGCAAGTGGAGCGTTTCAAAATGATGCAGTGGAAATACTAATGAGTAAATTAAATATAAATCATGTATGTAACGAGAAAAGAATTTGCCGGCTGTCAGGGTACGACTGGAGCCCACAGGGTGAATCGGGAGGGCAATTTTGTGTTAGAGGAGTTGGAGGGCGAGCAAGAATCTGACAGGCAGATGGCTTCCCGTCGCTAGAACATGTTCTGACAAACGGGCCTTCTGGATAGGAAAGACAAGGGATAGAGGGAGGGAACAATAGAGATGAAAGGTAAAAGGTGGGTGTTCCCTTGAAAGGCCTGTCAGTGATCAGCAAGGCTGCTTCCAAAACCGTCATCTACGTAATAACCTGGGAAGCTAAATAATGTCTCAATATTTATCTAAATATTTTAATGTTTCATAAAATGAGCAGCTATCAAAATACTGGCTTTCATACAAATAGCTCATTTGAGAGGATAGTCGTGAGTCAAAAGACGGTAAAAGTTACAGTTTAACAGTATTGTTTTTGATGTGAGTGTTTACACAAGTGTGTGTGTTCCGGGAGCCTAAAAGGCCTTGAGTCCAGGCTGCTTAACATAGGTTTAATTATAGTGGTCTGCCATTGACGGGCAAGCAGCTGATGCAGTCTGACAGAGACACGTGTTTTACCTTTTCACCGGGAACTCCCATCACCCCAGCGATCCCAATTAGGCCGAGTGGACCCTGGAGAGGAGAACCACAGTGTTAAACACAAACACGTCAGGAGAAAGTGGTAATTCCCAACCTGTCAGTGACGGCTGGAACACCAGAGACTGAAACAGGAATGCTGGCATCAATGAAAAGGAGGAGTTGGTGGTTTCAGCTGAAATGAGAGAGATCTACTTAACTAGACCTGTCACAGTATCAGATCAATTATGAGTAATTTATACTATGCAACTTTTTTTCATATTTTTTAATCATTTTCTTGAACCAGTATGTGCTAAAATGATCTTTTACAGAGTTAATGAAATGTCACTCAGACCCCATATGCCCTCTGTGGCCAGAATACTGCATTTGCAACTTTAGAGTGGTGGGCAGCTTCCTGTTGGACTAATGGGCCATTCCCATCTGTACCGGGTTGGCCCGGGCCGGGTAGCCCCAGTCGGCCCCAGCCTGGCCCGGTTGATTCCACACATCCTTGTCTTAAGCCCATGTGGGCTGATTCTACCCACCAATCAGAGGCTTGCTCTAATGGAAGGTGTGACTTTGCTGTCAGCAGTGGGTGTGTTGGCCCTGGTTGGCCTGAAGCAGACCCCCTCGAGAAGAGGGCTGAGAATGATCCTTGGTTGGCCCGGAAAAATACCAGGCCACCCAGATATGTAAACAACCTACGCTACCCGGCCCGGGCCGACCCGGTACAGATGGGAATGGCCCATTAGAGCTGACATGCCAGCGCTGGAGTCTGCTTCCAGTATGTTTCGCTGCAACACATTCTCACACCCAAAATGTCTAAAACTGATGAAGGGTGACCAAGCATTTCTTTCCGACCCGCTGGGGTTCCCAACGTGTCGGGAGGTGACACACTGTGCCAGTGTCTCTTTCCGACGCCCGCGGTAAAACGGAGATATCACTGACATTTAACCTCTAACCTCTAGCGATTTAACCTTCCCCTCACTCCCATCCTTACCTTAACCCAGTTTCTTGTTCTAAATTTTCCATTAACCGTGTTTGAGAAGAATGATACAACAAGAAACAAATGTTTGCATGCGCATGGGTAAAGGTTAGGATGGGGGTGAGGGGAAGGTTAAATTGCAAGAGGAAAAAGGTCGCAGTTCGCTAAAATCTCCGTTTTACCGGTAAGAGACGCTCTGGCATAGCGGGCACCCTTGGTCATCCTTCGTCAGTTTTAGACGCTTTGGGTGTGAGAACGTGTTGTTCCTGCATGTTTTAGATCATGAACACAGCTGATTTGTTTGATTTAGAGATGAATCACCCCTGTAGACACTAATAATGGCTGAGGAGACATTTCAGCAGTTAGAGTAAGGTGGTAAAAAGACGAAAGCGCAGCGAGGAGGACTACGGAGCATTCCAGATTGGTGGTTTGGTCTGGGACAGGGAACGTGGTTTGGACCATTGTCAGCATCTCTAGTGGTCAAGGTTCAGGAATAATAATCCGGTTTATAAGTGGCTGGCTGCAGGATAATGAACATCATTTACATTCAATGTTATTGCAATAATTGATAAAACTGCCTGGCTATTGTAACGACTCCGGGGATCAGGCTGCAGCACTGGACACACTTTTACTGTTTGATTTAAATTGTTTGTACTAAACACACTTAATATGTTAACATGATCATTAGTCTTACTATCAACATTACTTATATCATTTTTCCACATAACCCTCTGTGATCCTAATTTAGAGAATTAGAGGTGTAAAAGCAAATGTCTTCTATAACAGACAAGAGAGAGAGCACGAAGATAAACAACAGGAAACTTTCTTACCTAACTCAGCTAAAATGGCTGACAGATGTAAAGTTCTGTTCACCTTAAAGGCATAGTTTGGTTTTCTTAAAGGGTATTTTTGTGTTGAGGTTGTGAGCAGTCAGTGGGGGTTTCTCAATGCCAAGGAACCTCGCCTTGATGTCTTGGCCAGACCCGCCTCCGTTGCCTGGGAGATACGTCATCAGGAACCGCCAAGACGTGTTCCAATGTTCATGTTCTACCGAGGCGAGTGTTCACCATTTGTTAGCCGTTTAGCTAGCTGAGCAAGGATACACGGGAGGTGTCTTGTAGCCTGGCCTTGGCCAAAAATTACCCAGAATATACAGCGGTATTTTCAAAAGGACAGCGGATCAGAAGCCAGCAGCTACTTCGAGGGCAAATTTCAAGTTTAAAAGTAAGTCATCTTATTTAAAATGTTTTTCTTTTTTGGACCCAAAGAAGTTAGCTATATAAATGGTAAATTGCCTGTAATTGATGTAGTGCCTTCTAGTCATGGGACCATTCAAGGCGCTTTACAACACAATCAGTCGTTCACCCATACACACACACATTCACACACACATTCACACACTGGTAGGGATGAGCTACGATGTAGCCACAGCTGCCCTGGGGAGCACTGACAGAGGCGAGGCTGCCGAGCACTGGCGCCACCAGTCCCTCCGACCACCACCAGCAGACAATGTGGGTTAAGTGTCTTGCCCAAGGACACGACAGCGACAGACTGAGCGGGGCTTGAACCTGTAACCTTCCGATTACAGGGCAAGCTCTTAACTCCTGTGCCAGCCATGGTTGGTTAGTTAGCTTAGTATTGCAGCTTTGGTGGCTAGTGGGTAGTAACTCACTTAAATATTTAATTTAACAAACATATACACAATTTAAAAAGTAGCAGTCTCATTATATATCTATATCGAAACTAATACATATGAAATATAACATTATCTCCCGTGTCACGTGATGTTACCGCAGCAGTCACGTGATGCAAGTCTATTCCATTTAACCATTTTCTTTGAACAAGCAAGGACAGTGTCCTCGTAAGCGAGGTGCCTGGCCTCGCAAGACATCGCCTCGCAAGGCCAGGCGCCTTGACATTGAGAAACACCCTGTGTCTTACCTGCAGAAGGCGGCAGAGAGAACTCTTGATTTCTCACCCCACTTCACACTGGACAATCAGCGCCACAGAATGGCAGCAGAACGTCTCTGCTTTAAATAAAATCCATTATATTCTATGGGGGGATCCAAACCAGATGGAATAAGGAAGTTTTCAGGTGATTCCCAGAAGGAGCTCGACGCGCAGTTTGATTTTTACTGCAAGCCACTTCTGGGACAAGTTAATTTCTGCAGTTAACAAAGGGCTAAACACAAAATTACACACGGTTTCAATGTTTTCAGTGTGAATAGGTCAGTAATTTTAAATAAAAGACTATTGCAGTGATGCAATTTCATATCTAGTGCTGTGGATCAATAGTTGCATCGTACGTAGGAAACCATCAAAGGTGAGATTCCATAGAAAATATGAAATCTATTTGATGTATCTTTGAAAATTACTTTAAACAGAAGATCGGAACTTTTTATTGCAGGGATTAGGTAACATTTCATATTAACCCAGAGTCAAAAGAGAGAGACAAGTTTTAAAGTTTAAGAAGATTTATTTCTAAACAATTTAAAAAAAGGTTAACTAACTAAACACTGTGTGATGAATGGATCTAGAGGTGAATGAGGCAAGATGGATGGTGTAAATGTGGAATGTTATCAGAACTCTCGTTTCCAGAGAAGCATTAGTTCTGTGTGGGAGCAAATGTTTTTTCTCTAAACTACAGTCGGAGTTTCAAAACCCACATTCAGACGCTATCTTGCCGTTCTACATACCCTTGTGGAGACCTCCATTGTAGATCCAGAATGCCAGGCCCTCGGACCCCCCTTTGGTACCGGAGCCGGTGAAACAGCGTACGGTACGACAGACTAGTCTTGGGATTGCCTCCAGGTAAACGACAGTTGTTTGACAGCGTCAGCGGGACCCTGAAGGGTCAGTGAGTTCAGCTTTTACTCTGAAGGAGCGTTGCATCAGGTGTAGCTTGCAACAGGTTTTATTTTCCAGCTCGTCAAGGTTCTTTGTGGTTAAAAAGTTACGAGTGGCCAGCTCGCAACTCTAGAACGTTGAACTGAGCTAAGGGTGACGTGGGAATTAGTTTTATAATTCAGATGTTTTGATTTATGGTCGAATCAGAATTTGACACCAAAAATAAACACTGCACAGACCAAGCCCCACGTTAGAAAGGAAAGCTCTGATTGGAGAGACAAAGGAAATGTGTCATGTGATTTTAACATTACATGTGATCAGTCTAGTGTGTAGTTTAAAGTTATATTACTTATTATATACTATCATAGGATTATAATATCAAGTAATTAATATTGTCATTTCACAGATTGATTTAACATTGACTTCACATGATTATTTGGACTAACAAAGTAATTTGATTATTATTTAATAGAGTTCTTCTGATCTTCTCTTGAGCTGTACGGGGAGGCAAATAGCTAGTTAAAACAGTTTAGATGCAGAGGCATCAAAGGCCTTGAGCAATATCTCAAGGAGATTAGTTCTTCATGAGGAGAGAGGAAAATGACCTATAGGTGGAAAACAGTTCCTTCATGACGCTACACTAGATTACGTCAAAACATGTGACCTAACGGCTTGTTTACTCCCAGCATCGTTGGAGAAGAGCGACAATGTGTTATCGTGGCTTTAGTCCTGGTAGCGGAGAGGAACAACATCATATATTACATCAAACAGTGATATCAAATGTGATTTCCTTCTTTTTGGTTTAATGGAGGATGGCATAAGCAAACTGTGAACTATGAAGTCTCGAGGGCTTTTGTGATCTCACGAGGAGAACGGCAGAGAAGCTGCTTTCCAGCTGAGATTCTCGCGGTGTGTGTACTGGTAGGAAGCTAAGCTTGTGAGTAAAGCGTTCCACTGCCATTCCGCACAGCTGATGCTTCCTGTGTGAGGTAGAGGTCAGACTGGGCTCTAAAAATTAATGCATTTAAAAAACAACTAAAATCCTGAAAATTTCAATGCATTTTACCCAACATAAGTTTGACATCAGATATTCGCGGGAATTCAAATGTTCCATTTTGAATCACTTATTTGTTGCTACAGACAACAACAAATCTATCCTTAAATGATAAATGGGGAAAAAAGATTTTAGATAAGCAAAAACAGATGCTTGCTTGGATCCCAGATTTTTACTGAGGGCACCGCCTAGAGGTGAAAAAATGTATTGCACCTTAAGCCCATCTCCGTACTTCTGTGATTTTGGCTGGAAGTAACGCCTCTATAGCTGGCCAACAAAGCTCAAAAAGATTGTTTGACATTTATTATTGTTATGATGTTTGCACAGAACGATTCAACAAAAAAACCACAAGTTGAGCTGCTGACATTACTGGTGTTGGACAAACTACAAAGGACACACGAGAAACTAGAGAAGTACCAGGGCCTCAAACATGAAACTTGAGAAAGCCTGGAGAGAGAAGACATCGGTGGTGCCCGTGGTCATCGGGGCACACGGTGCAGTAACCTCCAAACTGTGGGGAGTGGCTAAAACAGATACCAGGAAAAACGTCAGACCTCTCAGTCCAGAAGAGTGCAGTTCTAGGAACAGCTAAAGATACTGCAGAACCCTCAAGCTCCCAGGCCTCTGGTAGAGGACCCGAGCTTGGAAGGATGAGCCCACCCATGGAGGGTGAGACGGGAAATTTTAACGACTTACTTCTCCATAAGAAAGGTTGCTAACTCTGCATCCGTCGAGGTATTTCAACAAACACGTGCACACACTCTGTCACTGACATATGTAAGCGGATGTCTAACGCTACTGGCTAACACTAAACAGCATTCAACTGAAATTGCAAGGGATTCTACGGGACAAGGAACAGGCTTAAGAAAAATGTATTGCCTACATTACCACCATATATAATTCCTTAAAGGAGGAAAACTCTGGATTTCTGCTTCAAAATTAAACTTTTAGTTCAATTTAGAAAAAAAATGTTTAAATTTTTCTAGTTAAAAATCTAGAAATTCCAAGTTGAATGAAGAAGACTTGAGTCTGACACGTGTGCAGCATTTCCAAGCTGACTTTGTATAAATGCTGCCTGCTGAATGTTTTATATGCTGTGGACTAGAGGCAGACATGAAAATGGAAATCTGAGCAGCAGATCTAAATTGGCTAAAATGGACCTAAGCTCCTAAAACCTCCAATTGAAACAGTTTAAAGGAAACAGGTGGATTAAAGCTTCAGTGCATCAAACCCCTTCTGAGTTTCTTTTACATCTTATTTATTGCAAAGTGAAGCAGTGACATTTATTAGGGCCTCCACATGTTTAAGAGTTTTGCCTCTCATTGCATAGCTCCATGGTTCCTGTTTGGCTTCAAAGGCCTGACTGCTTAATGCCTCTCATATGTGTGCTGCAACAATACAGCCTGAAAAGGCCCCATCGGTTGCTTCTTCTATGCATAGAATGCAAATATTAACTTTAGGGGCCTCCTAAAATTCTCAGTCTTCCTCTAGCGTTTACCGCAGTTGTGTGCATGAAGATTTCAGCAAAACATAAAGTATAGTTTATTTGTAAGGATTTTTGAAGCATTGCAGACAAACACAAATGTAAAAATACCATAAAATGTGACAAACATAGGAAGGTTTGGAAGCAGTTGTATAATATGTTGATAAACTTAAGACAGCATGCAGTTTGATTAAGAGTTATTGTTACAACCGATGCCAAACACTTGTGTAAGGATTAAAAGTCAGAAGTAGACTTGGACGGATTCTGATTCTAACTTTTCCTAGAAGTGAAAGTGGGTCAGCAAAGCAGCAAGAAGTTTCTGTGTAACTTCCTGCTGCTGCTGCTGCATTTAATTCACTATGTAGCTGTCTTCTAATTAAAGCTGCAGAGTAATATCACAAAAACTTCATAAAAACTCTAAAATTCACTTAGAAAATCCTGTGAATGTGGGGGTATGGAATCAACCTACCTGCGGTCCGACTTTTCCAACATTTCCCAAGTCTCCTTTCTCCCCCTGCAAGCAGTAAACATCAAACAGTTTACGGGTTGACTTTAGTAATCAAAGACATTTCCACAGTCATCCCGCTCTTCAGCTTGTGGTGAGCTCACAGGATATTAACAGTGTAAAAACGAACACACACACCTGCACGCAGACGCACATGCACACACTCGCACACACACGCACACACACACACACACACACACGCAAAGCTTGGGGCTGCTAATGATTTGGAGTTTCATGATGCACCTCATCATGATGGCCATGGAGGAAGCTATTTTAATTAAGATCACAAGACAGTTTAAGAATTTAACTGGGTACAAATCCTAAAACAGGAAAACCACAAAACCGTTATTCAGAAAATAAATCTTGAAGTGTTTGATGCAAAGATAATGAAAGTGCACCAGTTGATTAGGTTGAGGAGGTAATTAGAGCCCTGCTGCTGAAAACGCGGTCTCGTGCATGTATTGAGTGATTTCAGTCTTTACAGCAGTTTTTAGAAGCTAATATTTTTTTAAAAAGTTGCAGAAAGTAGAAAAACAGGCTCACGTTCAAACCCTCGGGGCCAGGTTCACCTGTGTGACCTTTCCTTCCGGATCGCCCCTTTAAAAAAGAAAAAAGAAGCAAAGTTAATGGTCAAAATACAGGGAAACATTTATCTCTATCTCTTCCAGCTGCTCCCTAACAGAACATCTAAGTAAATGGTTGCGCTTTCATATAAATGTGCATGTTTGTGCATGCTTGTGTGTTTTCTAAGTGAGGATGGAAGTTCTTACAGTTGGGCCAGGTCCACCAGGTGGGCCGAGTGGTCCTTCATCACCCTGCAGAAGCACAAATATTCACAAGTATAAATACAGATATGTGCACATTGTTAGACAGTGTGTGTACTGTTCTATGAGTCCAGTAGCACAGAAAGACAGGAACGTCAGAATAAACAAAAGGTTGTCGTAGGTACCTGTCAGTACAACTTCATGATGAATTAACATCTTACCAGCTGTGAGACGCTTTTTGATGGACCTCAGTTCAGAGAAACAGATCAGTTCTGTCTAGTAATGAGCTAATGGCTCGTTTGAATAGGGCCTGTCTGAAAACAAATCTACCTTCAGGTTTCATAGCTCACGCAGTTTTCATTCATTTTTCTGCTTATTTCTGACTAGAAACACAGAAGGCTGGTGACTAACCAGACAAGAGGCAAGGGACACCCTGGACAGGTCACAAGTCCATCACAGGACAACACATTTAGATAAACATGCAGGAAACTGAAGTACCTGGAGAAAATACATGCATGCATGGAGAGAACAAGCACACAGACCTGGATTTGAACCTATGACCTTTTTTCCTGCAAGGCAAGAGTGCTTGCTTGTGCTAACATTTTTCCATAAACCTTAACATGTTATTGTGCTTCTCATTACACGGTTATTTCTGCAGACCTGTTGTCAGATTGTTCCGGAAGTGTTAAATGCTAAACAGGAAGTGCTATTTTCCACATTAAATAACCACAGAATGACATGTAAACAATTGTATGATGTAACATTATAAAACATTCAAAGTTTATAAAACAGAATTGTTTGGAAATGTGTCAGAATAGTTGTTTTAGGACGGCGGCACTCCACTTAGTCTTTTTTTCCGCACTACCCTACATGCTAGCTTATTCGTCTGATTAGAACTAAAGTCTTTTTCTCCAAACTAGAGTCGTTTAAAATGCAAATATGATATGAAGGGATAAGAAACACTCCAGAAAAACCAAAGGAAGAGATCTAAACAGTTTATTTTAGTAAAACTTTGGTAGCAGTGCTGAAACTCCAGCTTTAAGAACATTAGCATCTTCACTGCACGCCCCTAATCTTCGTACATACCATCAACACGGATATGGGCGGGTTTATATGTGAATGACAGTGCTTAATTTTCTCTATGAAGTGTCCTGGAGGGACTTTTGTTGTGACCTGGTTCTGCATTGATGAACCAAAATACTGATCAGCTGTATGATTATGCCTAACGTGTGTGATGGGGGCTGCACAGTGATGCAGTAGTTAGCGCTGTTGCCTTGCAGCTAACAAGATTAGGGTCTTTCTGCATGTTCGCCCCTGCGCACGCGTGGGCATTTTCTGGGTACTCCGGCTTCCTCCCACAATCAAAAAATGTGACCGTCAGGTTGATCTCTCAAAAAATTGTTCTTAGGTGTGAGTGCATTGTTGTTTATCGTGTGTGTATCTCTGTGTTGCCCTGCAATGGACTGGTATCCTTTACCCTGCCTGTTTGCTGGAAGACTGCTGAAGATCGGCCCCAGCCCCCTGCGATCCTGTGTGGACAAGCGGGAATAGAAACTGGAGGGATGTGTGTGATGGTAATTTTGCCAACTATAACTGTGTAAAAGTGATTTTTGTTTTACTCAAACAAAAAAAGGGTGCAGTTTTGTGTATTTTGTAGCTTCCAAAGGCTTCTTTTTCCTTTATCCAGGAACAAAAACAAAAAAAAAATCTTGTTTTTATGAATGCCCAATCCTAACTTTGCCTGATGGAACATGTTATGGGACACTGCAAAGAAAAATAAAAAAAAAGCTTCCACTAAGATTGAAACGTGAATGTTTAATATATGACTATTTATGACAGAAGCATCACCACATTAATCAATCTGGCCTTAATCTAATGATCACCATAAAATCCTTTCATGAGTAATATTTTATATGTGGCTGCAGCAGCGAAACAAGAACCGAGCAGACATGTTTTATGACTCACGCACTCATTTTCTTTACCACCTTTTCTTCACTAGGGTCCCGGGGAGCCGGTGCTTATCTCTGGCAGAGAAGTGGGACACCCTGACTAGGTCACCAGTCCATCATGGGGACACGTTTATCTTTACTCACATGCATGCTGTTGCTTTGTGAGGATGTTGGAGCACCCAGAGACAACCCATGCATGCATGCATGCATGCAGAGAATATGCTAACTCTACACTGAGAGGCTAAAGTTGGAATATGAACCTGCAGCTCCATGTTTTATTTGAAATTATTTGCTTATTAAATTATCTCACCTGTGGTCCTTTAGGCCCTGGGGGACCTTGGGGCCCTCTTGCACCCAGCAACCCCTGAAACACAGCAAGTTATGTGAATACAGTAGGACAGGGCTATGAATTCTGGGCCTGGAGGGCCGGTATCCAGCACATTTTAGTTTTAACCCTGCTTCATCACACTTGATTTCATTCATCAGGTAATTAGGCTCCTGTCAGCCTGAGAAGCTGCTGCTCAGGTGAATCAACCACTGAATCTAGTGTGTTGGAGAACAAAAACCACTACAACGTGCTGGATACTGGCCTTCCAGGCCTGGAATTGAATGCCCCTGCAGTAGGATGAACATGTAGCGTGTGTTTTGGTGGATAATCAAAGGAAAAGTTGCTACCTTTGGTCCAGGTGGACCGTTGGGCCCTGGAGCACCGATGTCCCCAGGAAAACCCTTGCAAAATCCAGAAATAAACATTTTTTACTCTTCTGTTTTATGTATTTAGACACTAAATAAAACAGAAAAAAAACTCTTTCAAAATAAACCCTTTTATGTTTTGACGTTTGACTTGGGTTAGGGTTGGGGTTGGGGTTAAGGTTAGGGTTGCTTGTGTGAACAATATTTAGCTCTGCAGGTTGGTCTAGCATTGAAGCCTCAGCAGGTCTACCATTGGATTTGCTAAGTATAGGCCAGGCCAATCACAGCACTTTATGTTCATAGAGAGATGTTGGACAGGCTCAGCACCATTAGGGCAGAGCTCATTTTAATGATATGATGATGATAGAGCTGGAAAACAACATTGTTGGTGGCTCAGGAATGGCTTTGACATTAACTTTGGATGATTTAGACTTTTGCATGAAACATGAGGAGATAGAGGTACTCCTTCTTTGACGGTGTATGGCGGACTGCCCCACTGACTGATTTCCATTCGTATGAATATGTGACATTGCTCATTGCTCTGACTGGTTCTAGCACTGTCCAAAAGCCCTCTGAGAGTTTTTGAAAGACAACTGTTGATTCCTGCCCCAGGACTGAGCTCTGACATGGGTCATTGCCGGACTATTTATTTACACATACAGTACAGAATGAATTGCCAGGCTTACGGTGTACATTTTAGGACATTTTCAGGTACCAGATGTCAAACATCAGGCCATAGAGAAAAAAGCCTCAGGTTTAATTCAAAAACCCATTAGATATCTGCCTAAACAGTGTTAGTCAAAAAGGTCTCAGAAAAAAAAAACATTAGACAAAAAGGAATCAGGGAAAACTGCTTCAGAAAAAAAAGATGTCAAACCTAAAGCTGTCAGGAAAAAAGGTTTCAAATCAAAAAACGTCAGGAAAAAAGTTGTCAACCCAAAACTGTCAGAAAAATAGTGGTCAAACCAAAATCCTACATTTGGTTGAAGCTGTTATTCCTGATTCTTTTTTGTCTGATGGTATTTTTTCCTGAGACCTTTTTGACTAACACTAATCAGTCAGAGAGTTGATGGGTTTTTGAACTAAACCTGAGGCTTCATTCTCTAATAGAGATGGGGAATTGTGGGATCAACAAGTGATCTCCGTGCCCTCCATGCCGTGTTTTTCTTAAGTTCAGCAACTAAACCAGGTGATTTCAGTCAGCACAAGCTAGCTTTGTAGTGAAGCTGAGGTTTGACTGGTAATCAAACTCTCCATCCAACACAACAACAAATATTGTCCATGGGAGACTCAGAAGTATGATGCCCCTATAGTTATAAAAAAATCATTTTATTGTTGATTGTTCATTGAGGAACTATCAGGCCAGTCTAACGTCTGCATGTTTGGTTTGGTTTAGAGATGGATCTGGAAATTTTGACCTGAACTGCAAGGTTAGGGTTAGGGTTAGTCTGTATCCGCTCGTACATGTGTGTGTCGTAAGCTGGTGTTATGCAATTTTCTGCAACCATCCGATTTCGTGATTATAGGGGGGCTGAAGAAAGGTCGTCAGCCCTTTAATCTTTTTTGTCTGTTTGTTTCAAAATGTACCCTAATTGAACTGCCTGTTCAAGAAAATATACTGTACCTCAAAAATGAATTATTCAATTCAATTCAAAAATACTTTATTAATCCCAGAGGGAAATTGATTGGAAGAATAAAGTAAGAATGACATCCAGTGGTCAAATTAAGTAACTGTAGTCCATTTTCCTGATTAATACAATTACATTCTAACTTCCATTCTGTGAGTTTCATGGCTATTGCCAGTTACAGATCAAAGACGAGTCATACACACTAAGTTGATAAGTAGATAAATAAATGGTCAAATCTGGTGTTAGCACACTTGGATGTTTTTCAGTAGAAAGCATTTACTACACTTATTATATAAAAATGATTAAATATCTCTCTAGTATTACAGGAAGTGTGGTATAGATCTGAAAAACTCATTAGTATACCACAATCATTCACTTTACACACATTTCATTGTCAAATTCAGTTGGTGGTAAATGAAAAAGTAGCTTGAAGTATTTTTAGAGCCAACTATTCACTCCTAATTCACCATTAGCATTATTAGCTCAATATTAGCCTCTAGTCTGCTTCACAAGTTATTAGAGTAAAACAAAAAGATGCCGTGGCTTCTTACGGGTACAAGACGTAACTTCTAGGTCGCTCCGGTTTACTGGCTTTGGTTCTCTAAACAGCTATTGAGCTTTTTGCATGTTTGTGTCAAATTACAATTGCTAGCACTACAGTGTTAGCTTGCTGCAGTCTTGGCAACCTCACAAACTCAGTGTAAACAGTAATTACATCCCGCTTTTGTTTTGTTTTTAAAGGAGAGAAACTGAAAACCCTCCAGCTTGCTGAGAATGAAATCTGTTTCAACATAACTTTCCTTCCAACGTGATTTAGACTGTTTTGTGATTATTTCACTGTGGAATTTTTGCTTGTTGCACCTTTAAAGGTGGTGTTTACTCGTTTAACCAATACATTTGCAGTAGTCTCTGGTAGGAATGCCTTGTCGCACTCTGGATACAAAAAAACCAGTGCGCCTGTTTCAGGATCTAGAAGATTGTCGGATCAGAGGAGAGCTATACGGCAGGATTTAGTCTTATTTCCCGATATATTGGATCTCACCTCTCATTGGCCAACAGAGAGGCGACTCTACCACTGACTCCATTTAATTAGCAAAATTTATGTTTTATCTGCAAGAATAACACAAGCTTGGAGGAGTTCTGCTGTGTGGTGGAGTTGCTAATGCTAACAGTTAGCTTCTTCCAGCTGAGACGTTTTCTGCTGTTCACTGGACACTAAACCAACAACAGCCTTCCCCGTTGTGACTAAAGATGGGTGAGTCCATGAATGCTAAGTGACAGTGTGATGTAGATCTGTCAAGCTTTTTTAATCCTGGAGTTTCATCGTCTATTTTCTATCAGAAGGTAATGTAGGAGATATGTGTAGGAGACTGTTTTCATGTTCAGCCTACATGAAAAACTCAGACTGACTGTTTATAATGAGAAATAATGATAAAAAAAATTTTATTGAACCACACCTTTAAAGTTTATTGAAGAAATAGATTCTTAAAAATAAAAATGTTTTTTAAAGACAGTGCTTCATCTACATGAAGGGATAAATAATTATTACTGATATTTTCAAAGAAACGCAGAGGCATGCATGAGTATAGGCAACAGAATATGGAGTTTTATGTCAAGTCAGCTGCAGAGGAGATCAGGGACCAAGATCAAGACTCTTTATTGTACAATACACATAGAAAACACAAACACTGTAAATTTTGGGTTGTTGGCAAAGCATTTCCTACCTCTGGTCCTGGAGGTCCAGGAGGTCCTTGTGCCCCCGTGTCTCCAGTTTTTCCCTGGGCATTACAATAGTAGAACAGGTTATCTAAATAATCATTGATCTGGTCTGAAATTAAGTTTAAGAAAAGTCTAACAAACACAGCATAATCTCACAGTTTTTATAGAATTAAGATCAAAGCTCAACTCGTTTATGCCAGTCTCTAGCAACTAATCCCTCGACAGGGTTTGTGTATTTGGTTGCTGAAGGGCAAATTCAAGTGTTTTCAGAATCTGTCACTTCTCCCTAACAGAACAGATGAATGATGTCTATAAAATGTGCTGCGAGCATCTCTCTAGTGGGTCTGCATCCTCTCTTCTAGACATGTCCTGAAACGTACCGATGGTCCTGGTTTCCCTCTGGGTCCGGGAGGACCCGGTGCACCAATGGCTCCCTGAAAATCAGAGGATACAACACATCTGATGACTTCATTGCTCAACATCTGAATGTATTTGAACACGCATGGCTTCTCTGGGCTTGTTTTGATTTATACTTTATTTGGTGGATTATCTCACAAAGGTTCATTTTCATGTTATAATTATAAATGAAAGAAAAATAAAATCAGTTTTAGAAGCAACACCACAGTATTGTGGATGCTGGAATGTGACCACTTTAAGATTTAAGGTTATTGAGACTCACCTTATCACCTTGGAACCCCATCTCCCCTGCATCGCCCCTTTGTCCCACTTCACCCTAGATTTTATAACATCGCAACAAAGATATAACACAAGACTACCCTGCTGATGGTGTCAGAATACAGCAACAGGTTGGAGAAAGACACATCTTTACCATTGAGTATTTTATACTACATGTGCACCATAAAGCAAAAATGAGTGATTCATCTTATCACACATATCATTCTAGGTAGAATACATAAAGTCTTACATCAAAGTTAGCTGAATAATCATATTAGTCATTATGTAGATGGATGTTTAAAAAAGCCCATAACTGTAGAAAAGCAAAATGATTTTATTTTGAAATTTGTTTCCATTTGACACTTGTTTTTAGGAGTTTGGTCTGATTTCTGCTGACAAATGGTGTTAAAACCTATGTGCATCAAAAATGTCCAGCTGTACTGGTGACAAATAACACACGCATACGCTGCAATAAGATAAATATTTAGATCACCTTATCACCTTTCAATCCAGGCAGGCCGGTGTGTCCTGATGGGCCCTGTAAACGGAAAAGAGAAGAGAAGGGAAAGAAAGTTTTGTGGCGTTATGGTGTTAAATCAAAGAATTGTATTTAATATGCTATGCATGACATTCTCCTATAACATCCACAGCAGCCAATAACTAGCCTACCTGAGTTCCCGGCATACCAGGCAGCCCCCGTGGTCCCTCCGGGCCCGGGTCCCCCTGTTAGGAGAAGAACACAATGGAATTTATGTTACAATCACTCAAGAGAGCCGCATGCACATACTTCTGATTGTGCCCTGAGGTGATTTCTAGACATTGTATAGAATTGTTGGCTCCAAATCAGTCTGATCTTTTGTGAGCTGCATTTTTACGTCAACACTTGTGCTTTTTTTCTCCTAAACGGAACATTCCACCATGTCACAACCTTTCAACAGAACTAAACACAGATAAAAGTGTATGAAGTTGTTTTGGATGTGCGTTGCCAGGCTCACATCTGCAAGCCAAAGCCAAGGCGAGAAAGATGAGAAAAGCCGGAGAGTGATGCTGGACTACAGCGAGCCCTCTGGAAGCTGACAGGTGAGCTATGGACCAGGATGCATTCTTCAAATCTGCCCTCATTTTCAGTGTTGATCACACAGTAAGAAGATGTCCATGATAATATTTGAAACTTTTCTAGGATTTGTCCTTTTTACTCTTCAAAATAAATGCTATGCTTAAAGCCTTTGGGTAGAATCCAAATGTGTGGTTGTTATTTCTAGTAACTTGTATGGGACCGTAACATTTTGAAAGATGTGGACAATCATTCATCTTCCTCCAATGATTTGATCTGAGCTCCTTAAATATCTTTTTCAAGTTTGTCAAACTGTTTTATTCCTCATCCAAGTAAATCAGCGATGGACTCTGGTCTTTACCTACTGGTTGTGCAGCACCAGGCTAAAGATCAAAGGTAAAAGATCATTTGCTGCTGTGGCCCCCCAACTCTGGAACTGTCTCCCCCTGAGCTTGAGATCAGTGGACTCAGAGGTCTCCTTTAAAAAGCAGCTGAAGACTCACCTGTTCAGGCTGGCTTTGGTGTGACCTTCACCACTCTCTCTTTATTCTGCTCTCCCTACCTACTTCACCTTCCTCAGGATCCACTGATTTCCCTCTTTCCTGTTCACTCTCTCGCTTTCTTTACATTTTTTAATCACAATTGTCTATTTTTGCTCATTTTTAACATATTTTTAATCATTTTCTAAATTATTTTTATATTTTAAATTATTTGTGTTTGTGAAGCGCCTCGTGATTTTTATCTTAAGAGGCGCTATAGAAAAGATATTTTCTTCTTCTTTCTTCTTATTATTTCACAGCCTGTGGGCATGCGTCCGACTCTTCTGTGAAAATTGCCTGGTCACACTGAGCACTCGTGCTAGTGGGAGCTACACAGACTGTAACAAGCCTGTATCTTGTGCAGCGATGAAAGCAACACAATGATGATTTTGTGTTTTGTAATGGTATGTGTGTGTGGATTCAGATTGTTGGTATGGAACATTCAATACGAGAGAGACGTACACTGAATTCCTACATGGTTGCACATAGGGATGCAACGATACCACATTTTCCCAAGCCGATATGATACCGATACTTGGGTCTGAGTACTCGCCGATACCGGTACCAATACTTCTGCCACACAAAAAATGCAATGAAGTGGAACACAGGTTTTCTTTTCTTTTCTGTTCTCAACAGGAAAAGACTGTGAGGTAGATAAAAGGTAAAATATATGAATAGAAATCATCACAAAACTAAAATATTAGGTGAACAGAAATGACAAGTTACAGTAAAGCTACTTTCAAGCAACTGCATTGGTATCGGTTAACTGTTTTTCGGTGCCGATACTGATTCCAGTATTGGTATCGGTATCTGCACCGATACCAGTATCTGTATCAGTGCATCCCTAGTTGCACACATTAGCCATTAGCCACCAACACAAACAGCTGTATCCAAATTCAGGGACTGCATCCTTTAATAACCTAGCCAACATGCTTCACGTAGGTTGGTGTCAGCATCAGACTCAGAGACCTTCATTGACTGGAAACACTGGAAGTGAACGGCTGTGAAAATGGATGGGCTTACCTTGGAATCTGTCCTGTCACCTAGCAACCGTGACAATGCTAAACGAAAGTTCAAACTAAACTTAGCGGTATACAAGCAACCTCTGGCCCTAATGAGAGAATATTTTCTTCACCCAGAGACATTTTAACTGCAACAGACCTGTTCTTTCAGCAGACCATGTGGACAAGTACATTTTAAAAGGAGAAATTGAAATAGTTTCCGTAAAGAAATGCCCCAGAGCACTGCTTTCTGTTTGTTCCAGTGTAGAAAGCCAAGTTGGCTTCTAATTGCTTAATTTATATTTTGTTTTGTATGACATCAACATGTGCTCACCCCTAAAATAAGATGTTGTGACGACCAAAAGGGTCAAATTTCACCTATATATTGATCAACATAATAACCTTTCATCTACAGAAATAAATCCACTTTCTATTTGGTCTTCCAGAACCAGAAGGTTCTGCTCAGCGCGTGTTGACATTCCATGAAGACAAAACATTCAAACAATCGTTCTCTCCCAAGGTTCTACACTCTCTGCATGAAAGTCAGATGGCAACATTCTTCACTCTAAACAAGGGAAGACTCCATGATTTTACAACTCATAAGCTTACAATAATCATATGTGATGAATGAACAAGATGTTTAAATGAAATGTTTGAATAATCTGTGCTTAAACCAATGAATTTTAAATGAATGCTGTTCTTACAATGATCCATTTATCTTACGAATCACTATGTGTTTGATTTAACAAGTTAATCATCGTTTACACTCATACACATTACATTAAGATACATGCCAAGGTTAAGAATTTTGTATCTGAAGGAAGGCGTGGCTTTCTGAGGGATGTTGGTAAATACCCAGAGACATGGCACATTCTGATTTGCCAGAATAGCCAGAAATCATAACAAAGTAGTTTAAAAAAACAGGATTTACTTCCCGAGTAATTCAGTTTCCAGCTGAGCCCCGATTCGGCCAAATCGGGAAAGAAGCCTCTTTTGAAACAAACTCCTTTGACCTTAAGTCAAAAACCTTTCTGCGACACTGCCATTGATTACAGACACAACAGCTCTTTTAAGAGCTACTTCAACTCTCAGGCATCCACCTTGGACACCTGATCCGCAGACCCCGGGATGCATCTCATGGCCAGGGAAGCCAAACTCAGAGGAAGCTACTAATCTCTGAGAATCGTGGTTTCGACGTCCGGTGACCTCACCACTCTGACCGCAACCCTCCGGACCGCCAGGAGCAACTCATACCAGGGTATCGTAAGCCTGCATACTGGTGTCTGATGAGGTTTCAAAATAAACAACTCTCTAGTTTATAACAACCAATAAATTCTTTTACACCCAGATTTCACAATTTCTCTCAGACACAAAGAACGGTTGCTACAACATCTAGCTTCCATCACAACACCTCACATCCACCACATCACATCTCCTTGTTCATATCTTGTCGTGTATCATTAGTTTAGGAAAAGGAATGAAATTCATTTTATAAACTATATACTGACTTTATCTGAATTAATACGAAGTGTGTTTATGGTCCCTGAATAAGCAAATAACCCTAGAATCTTCTGATTAAACATTCAAAGATCAATCAGATTGATATTTCATATTTGTATGGAATCATCACATCTTATTGGTCATAATTAATATGTATTAAAAGCTACAATGCTAACAAATGACTTTCAAAGGAAGCAGACTGGGTTTTCCGGTAATCGGAAGGTTGCAGGTTTGATGCTCATTCCCAGCAGAGAATTCTGCTGTTGTGTCCTTGAGCAAGACACTTAACCCACCATGTCTGCTGGTGGTGGTCAGAGAGACCGGTGGCTCTTTGCCTCTATCAGTGCACTCCAGGGCAGCTGTGGCTACATCGTAGCTCATCACCATCAGTGTGTGAATGTGTGTGTGAATGGATGAATGATACACTGTAGTGTAAAGCGCTTTGGAGTCCTCTGACTCTGAAAGGTGCTAAACAAGTGCGGGTCATTTATCATTTAAATACTTAGATTGTGAAAAAGCAAATCATACAATTTTTCCTTTGGTTCTGCCAAAGCAAATTAACTGCAGCGTTGCATTTTACGCAATTAGGCAATAAGCTCCAATCTGGCTAACACAAAGGGGTAAACTCAGTGACCCCAACACAACATAATAAGAGATTTCCTGAATGAAATCTAAATCACAACATTTCTTGTACGCACATGAAGTTCTTTCCATAAAGAAAACTTTGAGAATTGTTTAATAAAACAACTAAATCTGAATGAGACCGGGACAAAGTGTGCACAGAGCGTCCATGTGGGTGATGAAGTCTGCACATCTGTGTTACATCCTGTTCCTTACAGACCACAGATAACGAGAACATCTGAACGAACACATCAAGCTGCAGGAGGACATATCTTATAAAAATAAGTTGATTATAAAAAAACAGGAGGGTTTTTTTGTCCATTTTTCTACTTTCCCGTTATAAGCATAGCTGCCATTTTTATGGGAAAACACACTACCTGTCTGACTGTGCCAACAGCAGTACTGTGCAACTATTAGTGAAGTTATGTGTCTAGTTTGTGTTTCACAGTGACATCTCAAATTAAACAATAAATACACTCAAAAGAAAAAAATGTGTAAATGACACTTGACAAAAAATAAAAGGCAAATCTCAATAAAACTCTTTTAGGAACTAAAAGCTTGCCGGTTCTTCATAACAACGTTTATGCCATCCAAACAAGAACCAGCGTGTTTCTTGTCTAATGTAAACTTTAAAAAAAGGGGATAAATGTTACCATCATGGTTCAGACTCACCCTCAGACCAGGAAATCCATTTATTCCAGTCCCACCAACCGGCCCCTGTGAGGCGACACAACAGTCTCAGAACACTGAAAACATGTTTACCTCATTTTACAGAAACTTTACAGTTTGAATGAAGAATATAAAATTGTTATTAAAGTCCCATAGAGTCGTATTAGTCACCATCACACAATGGTGAAATTCATGTCCGCATTTGACCCATCCCCCGTGGGGAGTGGTGAGCTGCAGCTGTGGCTGCACTCGGGAACGAAGCAGGGAGGCATTGGGTCCCTTTTTTTTATATCTAAAAACCAAGATGGTTCCTTAAAGAGGTCCTTATTTTAATACATTTGCAGTGGTCTCTAGAAAAAATGCCTTTTAAGTTGTTTTCTGGGGGGGAAAGCTCTGCTCGCCTTTTTCAGCACAGAGAATTCAGCCAGAGTAGCTTCAGACGACAGGATTGGAGTCTTATTTCCTGAAATTTGGACCTCTCACCTCGGATGGGCTAACAGTAACATGACACTTCCACTGACTGTTTACTTTGCTTCGCTGATGTTTTATCTCCATAAATAACACAAGCTTGGAGGAGTTCAGCTGTGTGGTGGAGTTGCTATTGCTAACTATTAGCTTTTACTAGCCGAGACGCTCTCTGCTGTTTCCTGGACACTAAACCAACAACAGTCCCCGCCACAAGTCAAGATGGGTGAGCTCTGTCAGGTGTTTCAGATCCTAGTTTCATTGTCTTTCTTTTTTTTTACTTTATTTAGTAGATTTACAAACAAACATGGCACTTTGACAATGTTAAGTCCAAAACTTAAATTCAAAAGGAGCAGTTAACATGCTTTAACATTAGTAAAAATAAATAAAATAGACAGCAACAAGAGACGAAAACGTCTTTTTTTAATCAGAGGCTAATACAGGAGATAGGTGTAGGACACTATTTTCATATTCAGCCTATTTACTAGAAAAAACTAAAATAAAAGATATTTTTTACTTTATCAACTGTTTCTAAATAATAAACAAAGGTCTAAGTTGAAGAGGATACAGTATTCTAGTGCAAGAAGCCAGAGTTCATTTACGTGGACTCAGGGTCTCAGGAGGTTAAACTCAAGAGTGAAGGATCATTTTCTAAATTAATGAGTAAAAAATGGTTTCTCAGTGAAGGACCTCTTTAAAACGTAACATTATAAATATCACTAATGGTACTTAAAGGTCCTATATCATGAAAAATCAGTTTTTTATTGCTTTTGGTCATGTTATATTATTTCAATCAATCAATCAATCAATCAAAGCTTTATTTATAAAGCGCCTTCCGCAACCCTGTCAGGAAGCCCAAAGCGCTTTCCTCATGAAACACACCCAAAAAGCAGTTTTTGGCTTTGCACATGAATTTTCCTGTCTCAGCTGCTTATTTCCTGTAGCTCCGCACATTTTTTGCATTTTGGATGAGTGTTTGCTGCGTCATCACAGCCCCTCTTTCCCATCCAGGTAGTCTCAAATCCAGATCCCTCCTCCCCGGACAGCAAATTCTGAGAGGAACATGACGGCATGAATCTGCGGTCTCTGGATCCACAGCTGTGTACTAGGAAGGCTGCGTTTCATTGCGAAAATAACTTATATTTCATATAAAATGACTATCTTTGCTCTGGGATGCTATAGCATGATAGAGGTATTTTAATATTTATTATAGAATAATATTAAACTACTTTCTAGGTGTTCAGTGATGACAAAGTATTGATTTTGTTCATTATCACACTTTAAAAACACACTTTAAAAAAAATCCATTAAAAAACTAAGACAGTAGTATTAGATCATGAATTATTTTTGCATTATGATTTTTGTACAAACTAGATGAGTAAAATTAAGGCAAACCCAAACGTGTTGAGTATGTGACAAGTATCAGAGGAACATGGGGCCTTTGTAAACTAACCAAAAAAGGCATGAAAGTTCTCACCTGGCTGCCATCTGGTCCTGGTGGCCCCCTTTCTCCTACATCACCCACCACCCCCTGTGGGAAAAGTGGACCCACATTTGATTAATAAAGCTTTGACAAAGATTTTTAAACATACCTTTAATTTACAAAATGCCCACAAGGTAGGAAAGTAAATAGGGAGTTTAGATTTTTACTTGTTTGTTCAGCTACTGTCACAGCCCTCAGATTTATAATGAAAATAGGTCCAGAATACTCAACTACTACTGAATTAGAAAGAAAATAGAATAATAGTGAATTATTACATGTCTGCCTTTGGGGCCGGGTTTTCCAACTGGACCAGGATTGCCCTAAAAAAGAATAACAAGTGAGTATTAAAATGTGGCGTACAAATCAAGAAAAAATGGCATGACGTTGTGCAGGTTGGAATAAAAAGATGATTTTTACATAAATGACAGTAACTAATGAAATCTGTTATTATCACATGTATGGGGATGAATGCAGAAATCTACTTTCCCAGAACCACAATTGAAAACTGGTCTTTTAGTCTCTGTTTAACATATGAAAATTTTGTTGGGGTTCAAAAAAGGCCCAGGAGCCCTGATAAGTAGCCCCCCCCCCCCCCCCCCCCCCCACCACCACCACCACCACCACCCATAATAAAGCCCTACAGAAGCCTCATGTACAGACTTGTAAACTATCCAGATTACTCAATAGACAGGCTTTGGCTCTATCTGACATTCATTCAAAGTCTGGGTATTCCCAGTACATCTAGGAATGTTACATGTGTGCTCTGACATTTTTCTTTGTTGTCTTCTTCTCATTCAACAAGGACATCAACACTAAAGCCAAGTGTATACTCCCCTGTCAGCAGGTTTGCACTCACACATACGTATTAATGGATATGCTTTCCTTTTATACTTCTCTATTGGTGTCAGTGTTGTGAAGCAGTTCTCTGCCAGGACAACAGCCCTTTTCTGGGGTGTCTCGCCATCATTGTAGTCACGTCTCTAGTGTATTTACTACTGTGTGTTTGTGTATTTCAGAGACTTTTCAAAAAAACTAATTTGTCCCTGATCCTCCTCCACCTCTTCATCCAGTCACCACTTCCAAACCCACGTTTCTCCTCATTTCCTAACACAAATAAAACGTTTGCTGCTTTGTACTTCTTTAGTCATGGATGCATGGCTGTATTAATGATGATATCATCAAACTTTTTCTGCAAAATGTTCTTCAATCTGCTCCATGTCTGCCTCTAGGTATCCTCAGCTCTCATTTTATCTTTTTGAGGGGTGATGGCAGTGCGGTTGAGGAAGTTAAAGGAAGGCATGATGACCAATCACAGGTTTGTGGTCTGTCTCTTTTGACAGATAGTGAGAAAATTGGGCACTACTTTTGTTATAAGGAGCCTAAGTCTCCTCCCTTTCCAGTCGGCTCATGGGTCCCCGGAAGAACGAAAAAATGAATGCAAGTCAAGGGAGCTAAAAACGCTATTTTCTAAACCGCTTTGCCTTACGCCCTGGATCACACATATGTACCGCAAATTAAATGAAAAGTAATGATGGGTGTTTCGACCATGCCAGTCACGTACTTTGAGATTTATCAGCTTGTAAAAGTTCGTAATTAGCATGACTACACACCAGAAATCGGCATGTCGCCACATAATCTCTTACAGCCATTTTCCCTCAGTTTCCTCCATGTCTGGTTCGATGACGTCACTTTCGTGATGTGCATTTGTAGTCCTGGACTTATTTTCACACAAATCCAAAAACAGCATTTACCCTGTCCGAAAATAAGCGCGTTCTTGGTGTCAAAATGTGTGTTTAAAATTCACGGACATCACATGTGAACTCCATGGCACATAACAAGCGGAATTAGAAAATAGCGTGCTTATCCGCATTGGTTTGCATTCATTTATTCGTTCTTCTGGGGACCCATGATGCGGATGTAGATGGCCGTGACTTAGACTTCCCATATTCTTTCTGTGTTCCTTTTCAATCTCTATTGTTTTTTATTTAATTGCTCAATACACAGCGTAGCAGATTCTTACCTTAAATGGCTGACAGTTTTGGCATCACAGATTCGCCATCTTCAGAGCCTCACCCTATGAACGTCAATCACACAGTCGCATCAAGATGGCGACTGTGTGACACCAAAACTGTCAGTGATTTAAGGTAAAATTTGCTACGCTGTGTATTAAGCAAGAAAAAAACACCACTCTATCCATCCTTGTGTGCCTGTAGAAGAGCCGTTGTGATCATGCACCCCCTGCAGATGAGGAAGTATCAACTAGGCTTGAGCTAAATTTAGCATTAGCAATAGATTGGGCTAGACTTGTTAAGTGATTATCATGATTGCTACTAATGTTTATGAATTGCTGATGTTAAAATGGGTTGGGACTTGCACATTGGGGGGGGGGGGGGGGGGGGGTCTCAGCTTATGATGTTTTAAACCAGCTGTTGTTCGTGGCCCTTACTACATCACTAATTCACATAGGTATGGCATGCAGCCTTAGATACCCCAAGCTATTTAACAACAAGGCAACTGTGTTAGGAATTCTACAACCCCTTTATTATGTGTGAACAATGACTCATTAGTTAAATTTACTACCTTCAAAGTGAGAGAACAAACAAATTTACTCAATTTTGAAACATGTAAATAAAAAAAGCTGTTCATCTAGTCAGAGTTGTGAGTCCAAACACATAAAGAAAATAAAAATGTCTCTCACTTTCTCTCCTTCTGGCCCCGGTAGCCCAGCAACACCTGGAGGCCCAATAAAACCCTAAAGAGAGAAAAATTCAAGATCAAAATATTCCTTGAATATAAAAAAGTTTATATTCACATTTGTTTCCAGAGTAAATCGGAATAATACCAAGGAAATCCCTGCACAATATTTCTCATTTATGGCAGCTCTGTAACTGGACCCAGCTGTAGTCATACATAACCAATAAGAAGCGTTTATGAGCATTAGGAATTAATTATTTTAACCACGTTCAGCACAATCATTCCTACATGATCTTGGTCTGGATAAAACAAACCTCAAAAATCCCATTCACATTTATTAAAAATGATCTAAATCTTATTAGCAGGGATGTTCCAAACAAAGAATGTCATAGTGATACTTCAACCAAAGCTGATGATCACAGTTGTTGGCCCACTTTCTATCATTTACATCAGCTGTGCCGTAATAAGACACCAACTCTTTGCTCTTCTCAAAAGCTCTGGGCTGTAAAATACCACACTTACGTATAATGGTCTGCTTTTTTCAGGGGCTGGATGCAATAACAGAGCTACATTTCAATTCTCACAGTCATTTCCACTTAAGACTGCAATGACAAAGCTGCTAAACAAGCCAGCTTATAAACACAAACACAGTTGCGGAACTCTCCCCCCACTCGTCAGCTATCAGCCCTAGGCCACACCCACCTGACATGGGAATGCATTTAGCCACAGTTAACAAGAGAGCACTAAACACCCGTCTCCGTTTTCTAGGTCCACGCGTCTTTTGTAGTCCGAGACTTCAACTGTGTTTTTCTTTTTGGGACTCTGGTAGTTTGTCCTAAAGTTGAAGTGGTAGCAGCCGGCTGTTTCTCCTTCTCTGATGCTTTGGAGTCCTTACTCTGAGAGGCGCTATACAAGTGTGGGTCATTATCATGTTAAAGAGCGGCGAACCTCTCACACCAGTGGTGTTCTGTTGCTAAATACATGAGCGCGTTATGAGTAGAAGGCCCAGGGAAATGTGGCGGTTCGGTGAGACAGACCACCGGATGGCCCAATCGCTGCTTTCGGACCAAGCCGTGTTATTGGCTGAGATTTGTTTGACGAATGAAAGAGAACCGCTTGAATATTTTTCTTTTTCTCCAAAAAATATTTATCGCTATATCAGATTAATGTTGAGAGACATTAAAAAAGGTTTTAAGTTAGCTTGTTTTGCAGATTAGCCATTTTATTTTTGATTCAAGGATAAATCACCCACTTAAAACTAAATGGGAAATTAGATTAGCAGGAGTAGTGTGTCTTTTATCTTCCAGTAACATCATAAATGAGGAACAGAGCCCATATAGAGCTGCTTTCAGCTCGGTACGTTTATATTAATAACAGCAGTTTATATTTATGGACCGTTGTTGCACGTAACTCCTGTCCACGTGAACATTAAGACAAACCCAGTTATCCGTGTAAATATCCTGTGATCAGCACAAGCGTTGATTTAAACGACGTAAGTGTTGCATTGTGACTCGATTTCCAGAACCGTGACTGTGATATGCCCTCTTATTGATGTCTACTTCTGTAGATTTCTGGAACACCTGAAGCTGTGAATTATTAGATGTCATTAGAAGGTGTAAAACTTTTTTATGCCTCCTAATGATAAGCCTTAAAGGGTTCAGGATGATCATTTAACAGCATAAGAGCTGCACCAACATTAGGAAAACATACAAAACCTGCAGCTGAAAGAGGATCATTAATAACAACACAGAAAAACAAATACCTGCTTTTCACTCTCTGCTCTTTTTCTGTTTTTATGTATAAGTCATTGTGTCTCCTTGTCTCACCATCTCCCCTCTTACTTACTCTTACTTCAACCTGATCAATGCTCTTTCTGTCTTTGTGGCTCCTTTTCACCATGCCAGCCTCATCCTGACACAGTAATCCCAGATATCCTCTTTCTCCCAGTTGCACATAAAGTCCCTTCTCTCACCAGCTCATTTAACCCCCTTCTCTGTGCTTTCAGACTTTCTCTAATCTGTTTTCCTCATTTTTTTTTCTTTTCAGGGGGCATTCCTATCTGAAGAGCAGTGAGAAGAACCAGTCAGCCTTCAAAGTGACGACCCAAAGTCCCCCTAGAGGACTCCACGAAAGCACAAGCCTTATCCCGATCAATCTTGAGACTGACACGTTTGATCCTTTCAGGAAATGAAGTGTTTAATCCAGAGCTGCTGAAGGGGAAAATGGACAGAATGAGAGGAGAGCTACTTTAACTTACACGAACACCTTTAGGTCCAGGGCTACCTTGTGGGCCAGCTAAACCCTGCAAGAAAGGAGAAGATTTGGTGAAGAAACGATAACATCAGGGAATTTATTTGATTAATTTGTTGTTAAATTCTAGTTGTATGAAAATCAGCAGTGATTACCACTGTTTTCAATAGCTTAACCAAGAATTTGTTTATTTTTTGTGTGTCACTGCACCTGCCTGCCAGGGAAACCCGCAGCTCCTGCCTCCCCAGGAGGTCCTGGAATGCCCTGCAGCGGAGAGAGAGGAAGAGAGAGAGAGAGAGGAAAATGTGAATGAACAATAAATGGAGAGATTAAGTGGATGGATGGAGTGAAAGAGGAGACTTCTAGCAGCTCTGTCTGAAGGAATAAAACAAGCGCTGTTCATTTTTAGGCGACCCAGTCTACTAGCTGCAGCTTCCCTCCCAATCATGAGCTGGAGGTTGTTTCCATTAAGATAAAAAAAAGATAAACAAAGGATGAAAGGAATGAGTGACTGGAGGGGATAGCTAAAAGTCTGATGCAATGGTAACTCAAACAACCTGTGTGAGTTTTGTGTGCACACGTATAAAGTTATGTGCAAGTTTGAGCATATTTTCATCACATTAATAGCAAAAAATAAGTAAAAGATGTACAGAAAAGGCTGAGCTTGAGGTGTCACATGTCTGGATTAGTTCATTTAGCTCAGGCTTTCATAGTTTTTAATCAGAAAAAGGAAAACTACCCTGAAATTTGTGACTTAGTTTTTTACACGTCCCTGCAGCTAAATAGTTATGATTCTCTGAGATTTTACACAGTGTGACCTGACATATTTGTGGTGTAGCCCTCTAAGGCTAATAATGCTAATCTAATTTTATCAAAACTCCAAATCTCTCATGTTTATCTGAATGCTCCAGCTGAACATCATTTCACGTTTTAGCTACCTAATGAGTGAATGAAATGACACCTAATGTGTTCACGCTGGACTACGTTTATGTCATATTTAGGAATGTACAAGTGTTGAGTTCGGGCATTTTTGGATGTAACCTCTGGGCAGAGGAAGAAGATCCTTTTGGATTCACTAATATTCACCATATCTGCAAGGATGGAATCCCAGAAGCATAATAACTTGTTACCACACACTGAAAACTACTTACTTGCTCTCCTGAGGGACCCGGCGGACCTGGATACCCTTTAGGACCCTTGAGAATAGAAAAAGTACTCTGAGTGCATTAAAAACAAAAGCCATACTTTTTGCCTGGACTTAGAGCAGCAATTCTGAGTTTTCATTCTTTCAGGAATCATGTAAATTAGAACTGTGTAAAAGTGATAGTCCCACTCTGTACTGTGATATAATGTAGGCAATACGTTCATTTTGCTAAGCTTGTCCTTCATCCTGTAGCGCCCGTGCATTTTTAATTGAGCAATGCTCAGCATCAGCCAATAGCGTTAGACATCCACATCGCATACCGAAGTCAATCACAGAGCATCTGTATCTGTTTGCAGAAGAATGTAGATGGCTTAGTGATAATAATTACTATGGAACAATGTGTTTTTGCTCTTTTGGCCAACTAGAGGTGGCCGTTCACGAACGAGTCGAAGCTTCCAGTCATAGTCATGGAAGTAGGGAGAGGGGCTTAACGTGAGATATGTTTTCCGCATCTACCGTATTTTCCGGAGTATAAGTCGCTCCGGAGTATAATGGGCTCAACACACGGGAGGCGGCATCGCCTCTCCTCCATTCATTTTCAATGAGACATGCGCGACAAAGCGATAATCGCGGGTCTCCCTCCTACCAAGCGAAACACGAAAAACGTGCGTATGAAATTTTGCGCTCGTGCACGTGTCGTGCACAGGCAACCCAGCGACGCAATCCCAGAAAGTTGAAATCAAGTTGGGATCTTTCCATTATGGAAAAGCTGAACACAACTGTGAGGATGGCTGTGTGAGTATAATAAACCTATTCTAGATCTGAATGCCTAAAGAAAAGCACATCACTGGGTGATCTAAATAAATCTAGTAACATAAGCCATTTTAATTTCAAATGAATATAAAATAATATGCAGCTTAAATAAAGTTCTTTTATCTCTTATTTATTAGCAGCTGATTCTTAATTTATAAAGAGGATAATAAAGTTTATATTACCAGAGATCCTGGAAGTCCTTTTGGTCCAGGTAGACCAGGTAGTCCTCTGTCACCCTGACGACATAAAAGAAGAATGCAAAATAATGTCAAAAATGAAAAATAAAAGCAGAATAAAAAGCTGCTTCTAATTACTTGTTAGTGAATATCATTTTAATCATGACAAATGTGAGAAAGTTGAACATATTTTCTTTATTTAGCACAAATTGATTTTTGTTTAATTAAAAACTTTGTTAATCGTTCACAAATGATTAAAATACAATCCAGATACATATTAAAAACACAGAGCAGCAGTTCCAGTTGCTTCCACACACTGCAGGTCCAACTAAAACAGATTCAAAGCACTGATTGGAATCGGGATTTATTTTTTGCCAAAGATGGTGTCACTCTGTAACCGGCAGCTGGACTGATGGAATCAGGATGCATGTCCTAGCTCCTGCAGCGGCGGATGGAAATCCCTGGCTGCGTGCAGAGGGACTGATTTTCCCAACATGCTGGTTTTATTAATACCTTCCTTTTCCTCTGCAGCAGGGAATGTTCAGCGTAGCTGTGTTCCAGGCAGCCACACAAGGCTGCGTGCAAAAAAACTGAATATGCTGCAAATTGTGCAAGTCTTGCAGAGAGTTACACGGTGGGCACGTCCCGGGAAGAGCCATAACATGTTAGTAAGTTTGTGACAACTGGATATGCTGGGTGAACGGAAATTAAATCAGACTTTTGTTTGAAGGGAAATAAAAGTATATTCAAGGGAGAAATGTTTTATTTAAAATATTTATAAGTGCGTCTGAGGAAAATCATTTGGAAGGAAATGAGACATTGATGGAGAGGGGGCAGCTGCTCGGGCATCCTAATCAATTTACACTGGAATAAAAGATAAACTATATCTGTGCAGGAAAGTCTCTTATTAGAAATCATCAAGCCAAATAATTACACTGTGAACATTTCAGCATCATTTTCACCACATTTCATGGAAATTATAGTAATAAATCCACAAAATACATCAGTGAGTGAAGAGTAGGTGATGAAAACACAGATGAGTAAAAATGAGGAAATGGGTTTAAATAAGAGGTTAGTGAGAAAAGCACAGAGCACATCAGGAGAGTCTATTTTTTTTTTTTTTTTTACCTTTTCTCCTGTTGACGCTTGGCCTGGAGACACACCTGGATCCCCTTTTGACCCCTGGAGTAAAATCAGGGTCACAACGTCAGGAAGAGTTAAACGACTGTGGGAACCAGTAAAAGACTGATGGAGAACTGGTTTCCAAAGACCAGCAATGGTTGAGTGTCTGATCTTTCCCACGAATCTTAAATTAAAATAAAACTCTGACCAGCGTCTGTTTAAACCCACCTTCATGGTTCTTTATGATGAATTTCCAAATGTGTTAAAATTTAAATGTAGTAGTCCAGACTGCTTTCTGTTCTCTCAGTCTCTCCACTGTCATCTCAGCTGTTCAATGTTTCCCTCAAACAGGTAAAGCGTCCCTATTTGAAGCTCGTATTACATCAGTTTTGACTGACAAGCAGTGAAGCGTGAAAAACCCTCAGACGGAAGTGAGCAGAAAAGCATAAATCATAATAAAAACCAACGTCTGTTCTGTTTGAGACAAAAATCCGTCATAACGCTGATTGACGGCTCTTTTAAGCTAAGAGCTCACACTCATAACATCTGTCGCTGAGCTTGAAACTCATCAGATAACAACATTAGCCTGATTGTGTCCTGGTAACCGGATCCATCTCGGTGAGAGATGTTTTCCTTAGCCGGGCCAAAGGGTCTCTCAGTGCTTTTCCTGTCTCCCAGAACCAGTTCCAGGGAGTCGGGCTGACTCATCGATCGGTCACTGAGGTATTAAACACACTCCGTGTTTGAAAGTGGGTGCTCAGAGGGAAGGAACAGAGAGGCGGCATGTGGCCGATGATGAGCGCACCGCCACTCTGATGCAGGAAAACTGTAACCACAAACATCTGGATGAGGCTACCCACATCCTCACTGAGCAGCGCTCACAGATCTGGTCCTGTTCTGGGAGAAAGCTGAGCAGAGATGCTTTAATCAGTGCTGCTGATTTTAAGAGCTGATTTTAGCGTGTAAAAAAAAAAGGTAGACAGGTAATATTGATGGTATCTGAGGCCAGCGACCACGTTTGTGTCCTTCCTGTTTCGGTGTGACAACATATCCCCTGCTTTTTCAGATCCTCTCCCACATCTGGCTGCGTTTGGATTCATTCCACAAGCACAGGATCTGCTCTCTTCAGAGAACAACACACTGGTCACGTCTGTCACCATAACTGAGCCCATTTGCACCAAAATAAAACCAGTTTCTTCAGTTTTCATAAGCGTGAAGGATCTGTCACGCAAATCAAGGAAACTGTGATTATAAAAGCATCAAAAAGGACGATAAAGTCCTAAAATGAATTTTCATGAGACATTCTGTATAACTGAGTCGGTTTTCCTGAGCTGTGTCAGAAACATCTGTGCTGTTAGAAATGAATGAACAGGGGCATGTAGCGGGTGGGAAAAAAGGCCTGTTCACGTTAGCACACGTCTAAGTGAAGCACATTTTCCATTCTGATGGAAACAGCCCCTGCAGACAAGGACCTTATTATTTTCTGACACATTCAAGGTCATGTTTGAGTCTCCTTCACCGGAGAACAACTCTCACCTTTTGCCCATGTGGTCCGGGTTGTCCTGGGTTTCCATGTGGACCAGTGGGACCCTGCAGAACACAAGTTCAATGTCCAGATTTTATTTGTTATATAAATTATTTTGTATTTAAAACATTAGAACTTCTATTAGAAAAAAACTATTTCATCTTGCTCAATATGTCCTATTTTTGATGTAAAAACATATAATTTATAAACTTCTTAGATGTAATTTTTGTTGTTGAAAAAAAATATTTCAACTTTACTCATATTTTTGAAACGTTTGCAGTGGAAAGTGAAAATAATGCCTTGTAAGTAGTCCTCAAAGCTCCGGTGCTCCTGTTTGAGGATGTAGAATTCAGCTGGACGAGAAAGAAGCTTCAGACAACAGGATTTAGACTTATTCCTGATATTTGCACATATCACCTTTGATTGGATAACAGAAATCCGACTCTACCACTGACTCTGTTTGCTTTGCAACGTTGATGTTTAATCCCTACAAATCACACGAGCTTGGAGGCGTTCTGCTGTGTGGTGGAGTCGCTAATTCAAACGGTTAGCTTCTACTAGCCGAGGCATTTTCGCTGTTTCCTGGATGCTAAACCAACAACAGCCTTCCCGTTGTGAGCCAAGATGGGTGAGTCGATGAATGCTAAGTGACAGTGTGACGTAGATCTGTCAGGCTTTTCTAATCCTAGAGTTTCATAGTCTGTTATCTATCAGAAGCTAATGCAGGAGATAGGTGTATGAGACTATTTTCATGTTCAGCCTGCATGAAAAACTCAGTGACTGATCATAGTCTTTGTTTTTATTTTGAACAGGCGTGCATACACATAGTAATACACACAACATAAGTAACTTCTCCTTCTGTTTTTTTTTCCTTTTGTTATACACGTGTTCAAAAGGGAGTAGGAAGAAGCATCAGCTTATCTAATCCCACCCCTTTCTCGACATCAAATAACTAATAGTTATTTAATGTTTGGTAGTTTTTTTTTTTTTTGCAAATTACTTTGCAACATGTTCACACAAATGGCACGCGGTTTATCAAGATCATGTCATAAATACAAACATTTTGTGTTTAGGCACACACTTTTGGACCTTCTTCCTTGTTTTTGGTAAACATCATGAGTTGAAGCGTTTTTTTAAACAGCATCATGTTTGGACATTGCTTTAATTCATCACTCATTCTGTTCCACAGTTTCACACCACACACGCACACACACACACACACACACACACACACACACACACACACACACACACACACACACACACACACACACACACACACACACGCGCACACACACACACACTGAAAGTTTTAATGTCGTTCGGACTCGAGCATGTTTGAATTTTAACTCCCCTCTTAACTGATACCTTCCCTCCCTTTTATGAAACAGTTTTAATATGTTGTCTGGAAGTAGTTTATTGTTTACTTTATACATTAGCTGTGCTGTTTTAAACTGAACTATCTCTGGAAATTTTAAGATTTGTGATTTTAAAACAATGAGTTTGGATGATCTCTGTAACCAGTGTTATGAATGATCCTAAGAGACCTTTTTTGTAACACAGATAATGATGATAATGCACATTTACAGGTGTCTCCCCAAACCTCTGTACAGTAATTTAAATATGTGGAAATAAGTGAACAGTATAGAATGTGGAGTACCTTTTGGTCCAGAATGTGTTTGACTTTATTTAATATTGAGATGCTTCTTGAGATTTTATTGCTTATATGTTTAATGTGAGCTTTTCAGCTGATTCTATTGTCTATTATTACACCAATAAATCTGATCTCCTTCACTATTTCAATTCGCACACCATCAATTTGGATTTGTTCTTGTAAATTTAGACTGCTGTTCCCAAACAACATGATTTTAGTTTATTCAAGTTTAGTGATAGTTTCTTCCATTCAAACCATTTTTTTATTTTTTGTAATTCTGAGTTGAGCGCATGTAGGAGTTCCTTGAAATTATCCCCCGAACAGAAAATATTTGTATAATCTACAAATAAAATTAACTTTAATGAATGTGACACCTTGCAGGTGTCATTAATATAAAGAATGAACAGTTTTGGACCAAGCACTGACCCCTGGGGAACACCACAAACAATGTCCAAGCATGATGAGTTGATTCCATCCAACTTCACAAACTGCTTCCTGTCGGTCAAATAATTCCTGATCCAGTCTAGTGCCACCCCCTAATTCCATAGCGTTCCAGTTTATTTAGTAGGATGTTATGATTGAGTGTGTCAAATGCTTTTTTTAGATCTATGAATACTCCTACTGCACACTTATTCTGATCTATAGCATTTGTAATGTCCTCTAGTGTTTCAATTAGCGCCAGTGATGTTGAACAGTTAGCTCTGAATCCATATTGACTGTTAGTAAGTAGTTTATGTTTTTCTAAAAATTTATCTAGACGGTAAGTAAACAGTTTTTCTAGTATCTTGGCAAATTGAGGAAGTAAGGAAACAGGTCTGTAGTTTGGAAAGTGATGTTTATCTCCACTTTTATACAGTGATACAACTTTTGCTATTTTCATTAAATTAGGAAATTTACCGGTCTGGAATGATAAGTTGCAGATGTAAGTTAGTGGTTTAGATATTTCTTCAATCACTCTTTTAACAGTGGTCATATCTAAATCATGACAGTCTGTGGATGTTTTATGTCTACATTTATTAATAATATCAATGACTTCTCATTCCTCTACTGCTGTGATGAACATGGACTTAGAGTTCCTCTCTATCAGATTATTGGTCCAATTTTCAGTCAAAAACAATAGGAAAATCTGACCCTTAACCCTTTAAAGGGGCCAATGTCCATATTTAGACACTTCCACTCACATCATAAATGATGTCGGTGTGCCTTTTGACAAATTCTTCGAATTATGGGATTTCACCCAAACAATCATCAGAGATCAAGCTAGTCATGGTTTGCATCATGGTGCCGTTCCACCAATCAGTGCGGGGCTATAATGCGCCAAATATCGGTGTGACTGCAGAGCCAGAAAACTGCTCGGTCTCCTCTCGTGTTTACGTTCAGATCTCTAAAACTAACAATGCTAGGTTTATGAAACTCTCACATCACCAGGTTGACTAGTTTAGCTGAATAATCATATATGTGTTGTAGATGTTAAAGTCAATGAAGTTGGTGAAAACAAAGCATGAAACTCAAATCTGCCATATTTGAACATACGCCCTGAACAAGTAAGAGAAATTATAAATATTTTTAAATGAAATCTGTTGCTTTTTTAGACATAATCTTAATATTCATGGTAACAGTAATAATAACAATTATGATATTGAATATATTTTGTGGTTTTAAACTAAGATTTGTCTGGGAGATGGAGAAGGACAGTTATTGCGCCAACCAATCTTGCCATTAGTATCGATTATGAACAGAAGGAAGATGACTATGAGGCAGATCCTCAAATATAAAATATTCTAAAATGTTCTAATAGTCCATATTTGATTGGAAAAAGTATCTATTGTTCAAAAACTTTTCAAAAATATTCCACAATAATTTGTTTTTATAAAAATATATTATATTGTGATGTATTCTGTATTTTTGAACAATGATATAATGTTCTAAAATTAGCTACATTATTCTAAAGTGTCATTTAATAATCTATATTTTTCAAAAATAATGTTTATTTAACTAATTCATGTGTTTCATTTCGGGATTTCTTTTACCAGAACAGGGCCAACGTCCATATTTGATCACTTCATTTTCTCAGATTTTCTGCATGAAAGTAAATATTTTTGAAAATTGTTACAACAGAAATACACTTTGGTTATGGACTACAATAACACCCTGGGGTTGAAATTTTAAAAAATTTCAAATACTTCAATGAGTGCCCTATTGACCCTTTGCACGTGACGTCACGCCACTCACCGCCCCCTTCGCCATGATGGATGGCAAAAATACCATTTACACCTGTAGAAACTCCAGTGAAGCTAGTCAAAACAAGCCGGTTTGTAGCCTTTTATGGCTTTTATTTAGTTGATTTGACAGTAAAATGGTTTTAGCTTGCTGCGTGGTTGGCTGCACTAAGAGACAAGGACGTAAACTCAACTCATTTTTTCTTTTTAATAACTTTGATGGAGACTGAGGACAGATGAACTGCAGCGATCAATCAATCAAGTGGACTAGCAGCCCTCAGATTTGCAGCAAACACGTTTTTACCAGGTAAGATAAACGTTCATTTATTTCACGAGGAAGACAGGGACAGGGGTAAATGTGACGTGTTTATACAAGTGATTGATAATCCTGGTGGACGGGTATTTCACCATGGAGGCTGCGCTCCATCCACTGTAGTGTAAAGCGAGATAATTATTAGCAATATTAAAGCTCCGATGTATGATTACGTGTATTAAAATTACGTTATTTATTTATATGAGCATCGCCGTTCAGAGATCTTCTCATTCCGGTGTGAGAGCAGCAGCTGAACCCGGTAACACCACCAGCAACAGAAGCTGGTAGGGATCCGGACTTTTTAAAAATCAGCTTTGGTGTAAAGTGAAACGCTGTTTATAACATAAAGTTATAAATCCAGAGTCAGCAACATGTTTACGTCGGTGAACAGCTGCAGAGAGAACGTAAGCTAACGTTGGTAAGCTAGTTAACGTACCGCTCTCTATGAGCCCCGGCTAGATGCGCTACTTCTTCTGATAACTGAACTGGGCGTGAACTAGTTGAAGGAATGCTGGAGGAGTTTTGTTTTTGTTTTGATCGCAAAAATAATTTCAGGCTCTACTTTTCTCTTTGTTTAGTACTCGTGTCGCTCACTGTTTACATGCTTTTGCCGTCCAGCATGGTGGACCCACGTGATTAGGTGATGTCGGTGCAAAGGGTCAATAAAGGGTTGAAGCCACACTATATAAGTTTTTCATGTATTTAAATCATTTTCTTGAGCCAGTATTTGCATAAATGACAGCACGTTTCCTGTATCTTATAGACGGTGAACACAGCAGATTTGTTTGATTTAGTGATGAATTGCTTCTGTAGACACTAATAAAGGCTGAGGAGACATTTCAGCAGTTAGATTGAGGTCTTAAAAAGACAAACGCACAGATAAGTTTCACTTTCGGTTTTGCTAAGAGATTCTTGGGGGTGCAAAAAACAAGCCAAACTGCAAAGTATCCCTTTAAGTTTATGACATTCTGCTACTTTCAAAATGCCTAGGAGGAAATGAAAAATGTCTCAGAAACAAAAATACCAACTGAAATGGAAACACAGTTTTTCTGCTTTGTACTAACAAAAGCTAGAAAGACTGATTAATATCTCTGTATTTTGTTTATTTCAGACTTCTGATCTTGTTTGATTAAAAACCTAAAAACAAGAGTTATAAAAGTGCGATGCAAGACCTCTGGTGCAGCATCGTCACTGCATGACAAATGAAAGTGACCCCGTTAATCACGCAAATTTAATGACCACAGATACGACATGTCACCATGATAACAACTTTGTTAGTTATAACTTCCCAACTAGTGTTGACTCGTGCTCTGGGATAAACAAAGATTTTCCACTGAAGCGCTGCAGATCTTTACATTCCTTACAATAAATGATTCATGAAAATGCTGCTATTTCTGGGGAAGAGCAAAATTCAGACGTGAACTTATTTATGTGCTTTCCCTCGTTCACACAACATCCAACAAAATTTGTGGTGTTCGGTTTCGGGACACCCCCAGGGCTCCAGGCATTATTGCAGCATTGCATCATGACAGCTTTGGCAGTTGCTTAAAGAGTCGTCTCCAGATCAGAGCGAGGACGACTCCAGCTAACGCAGCTGCTGGTTACAGCTGGCACAGCGTGGTCATTTCATGTTGGTGCTCCCAACGCTGAATCACATGAATGAGCTCATCACGATTTGCCCTTACAAAGCTTTTTCTGCAGTTTAGTCACGTTAGCCACACACGTCTGTCAGAGCTTGCTCTTTAGGACATAAAAAGGCTGCAAATGTAAGCAAAACGTGCACAGACAAAACCAATAAAGGCTAGGTTTGAAGCGTTACGTGCTTAAAAATGCCCTGAAACCGCTAGAGTCCTATATGTGTCCAAATATGTTTGTGCTTCCTGTGAAATCAGATGCTAGAAAAACTGTTCCGCTCCAAACAAAACCCATCTGCTGTGACTGATCTGATTCATCTGAGGCAGCATTCACCGTTCCACATAAGTTCTGCTGACTGCTGCACTTTTAAATCCCCGAGAGTTTCCTCCGAATCAGGATGCATCCCACAGATCAAGAAGAACCATAAACAGTTTGGATCCTGAGGAAATGACAAATTCTAACGCTTTTTTTTTCTTTTTATGTTGTTGGTCTAAATAAGAGCAGAGTAGCATATTGGTTTCATTTAATATGTTTATGTTTATGTTTATGTATTTAGCAGACGCTTTTGTCCAAAGCGACTTACAAGTGATATACTCATCTGGACTTCATGAACAACTAAACCTAAATATTTGCCTTTTCATAGCGAGTGACAACCCCCACTCTGTCGCTAATTTCAATATTTTGCTGCAACAAAACCGCTCTCTCTGGCTTTGTGTAATTCCTTAATCCTAAGTTTTCCTATTATGACTTTCCATATGCCATTCATGCTCATCCACTATAGGACACAACAGAGATATAGGAACTCTAACAAACAACTTACCCTTGAACCTCTCCTTCCAGGAGGACCAGGTAAACCAGGGGGGCCAGGAGGACCCTAAACCAGAGAATCAAGGAGGTAGGAAGAGATAGAGAATGTTGGAATGATAAAAAAAGAGTAAAGTGGAAAACGAAGAGAGAGAGAGAGAGAGAGAGAGAGAGAGAGAGAGAGAGAGAGAGAGAGAGAGAGAGAGAGAGGTGTGTTAATAACAAGTAATAACATGTAGTTCAGTGGCCAGGTATCCTTGGTAGTGAGCATATTCCCTATTTATATTCTACAGCTAAAGAAAACGAGCCAAAACCTTCATCCTAGTAGTTTTATTGTTTAACTATCCGTGATATTTAATTGCAGAGTCAACAATTCATTTGATCACGATGCAATGGCACATCCATTAAGTGGAATGTGATTCGATATTTACATGAATGAATCAAAAGGGTCAATTTTCACCATCGAATTGACACAGTAACCTTTCATGCACGCCAGAACTACAAAGTCAAGGTTACGCCAGCTGGAGGATCCAGACGCACAAATCAAACTTTTGCTCACTTATTGTTCTTCAACGCAGACATAAATAAACTGTCAAGGTCTCCAGCAAAAGCCCTCCTCTCTGCTAAAATTCAGACTGCTGGATTCCTCACTCTGAATAAAAGTGAATCCACACAAATCCTACAAGGCTTTACATCAAATCAAGTTTAAATCAAATATTTGAATAATATGTGCTTAAATCAGTGAAGTTGAAATGAATATTGTTCTTACAATGATCCATTGCAGATCTTATGATCAGCATGTGTTTGATTTAACAAGTTAATCATCATCAACACTCATACACATCTTCATAAGATGCAAATTAGGTTAAGGTTCACCTCACATAACGTTTAAAGATTCTTTATTCACAGAATTAAAAATCTTGAAGGAAGGCGTGGCTTTCTGAGGAATGTTGGTAAATACCCAGAAACTTGTCAAATTCTGATTTGCCAGAATACACCAGAAATCATAACATTGTGGTTTAGTAAAACAGGAATTACTTTCTGAGTAATTCAGTTTCGAACAGAGTTCTGAACCGGCCAATTCGAAACAAGCATCCTTGAGACATCTCTTTTGACATACAGTTAACCTGTTTGCACGCTGCAAGCTGACGCAGCCAGATGGCTCCCTAAGAGCCACATCCACTTTGGATGCAAACAAGCATTCCAGCTACTGTTGTGACCTTGAAACATCTCAAGAGTGGACGGTCGCATCACAGTTAATCTACTGGCTTCAGATGCCGTGAGGTCCACCCGACTTCTGACAGTCCGGATCTGCTGGGGGTCTCCGCCAGGGTTTGTAGACAACAGATTGCGTCTGATGCTGTTTTATTAATAATCAACTCTAGTTTATAGCGGGCAACAAATTCTTTTACACCCAGATTTCACAATTTCTTTCAGATACAATGATTCTGATAAACATCTAACTTACATCACACCACCTACACATCACATTCCATCACCGCATATCCACTCCATCACATCTTATTATTCATATCTTGTCATGCATAATCATTAGTTTAGGAAAAATAAGTAAATTAATTTTATAAACTATATACTGACTGTCTGATTTAAAACAAAGTGTGTTTATGGTCCCTGAAAAAGCAAAGAACCCTAGAATCTTCTGATTAAACATTCAAAGATCAATCAGACTGATATGTCATATTTGTATGGAATATCACATCTTATTGGTCATAATTAATATGTATTAATCATTACACAGATATCCCGATATTCAGTCACAATACCTAACTGTTTTCTCACTGCTCACCATGACGCAGCTAGTTTCTTCACCACGTTTGGTGATGTACAGGAAAAGGTGGGAAATGGCATGTCAGCGGAACTTCAAAATAAAGCAATTTTCAAATTAAGTGTTTGAAAAACAGTTATTCTATCGATTTTTTCATTTCGGATGGATGAACACATAATTGATGATTGTTTCACTCCTGAGATGACATTTTTAACATACATTTCCTTTAAAAGACTTTTGGGCCATTTGAAGTTTTTGGTGTAAAAGGTGTAGAAACTATTATCTGATGGAAATAAATTGTGTTCAAAGAAAATGTGTTTACATCCTAGAGAGCTAATGAGCTAACAGCTAAAAAAGCAAAACATCCCCTATTTTATTCATTGAGGATAACATTATTTTTCTCACCGTTTCAAAAACAGCAACTTTCCGTTACGCTATTATTTTAAGACTGCATTCTGGCACAGGTTGCTGGTTCAAACCCCAAATGTAGACTCATACATTTTTTTAAAGCAGGCATGGGGAACCCTGGTCCTCGAGGGCCGGTATCCTGCATGTCTTTGCTCCAACACTTCTGACTCAGTGGTTGATTCGCCTGTTCTGCAGCTCATCAAGCTCTGCAAAGCCTGTTAATCACCTGTTGATTGAAATCAGGTATGTTGAAGCTGGGTTGAAACTAAAATATTCTGGATAGCGGCCCTTTGTAATGTTAAAAATATCTATACAAAACCAAAGCTTATTTATCGTCAGCATATACTGTCCAAATATTGATGACCCTCCATTCGTTCATAATTTTTTCTCTGTACTCTCCGAACACTTGGACTGTCCACTTATACTTGGAGGTGATTTTAATTTTTGGATGGACACTTTAACAGACAGGCTCAGTACAGCTGGGACTCAGCACAATTGGCAATCCACCAATATAGTGAAACAGTACATGAGTGATTATGGGCTTTGTGACGCATGGCAATCTCTTCATCCTAACCGTAGAGAGTACACTTTTTTCTCACATGTCCATCACTCTCATTCACGTTTGGATTATTTTCTAGTCAGCAGCTCATTGTTGGCTGACATTTCAGACACTGAGATACACCCCATAGCTGTCAGCGACCATGCTCCGGTTTCTTTAACTCTGGTAAACAAGAAGACAATCCCACCAAACAAAAACTGGAGGAGATAATACATCACTGCTTAAAGACGAAGGTTTTATTGATTTTTTTAAAAAGGAGTGAGCTTTATATTTAGAACATAATGACCTGCCTGGAACATCAGCATATATTCTCTGGGAGGCAGGAAAGGCAGTGATGAGAGGTAAAATAATCTCTTTCTCATCACATAAGAAAAAAAAACAGAAAACAAACTTATTCAGGAGTTTGAAGAAATCATTAAGTCTTTAGAGGCATCCACAGAAGAAGAGTTACTGAGCAAATTACGTAAAGCTAAATTAGAACTTCTTGGAATTATTGACAAAAAGACACAATTTTTAGCACAAAGACTATGAATAGAAAACTTTGAACATAGTAATAAATCCGGTAAATTTTTAGCTAGCCAGTTCAGGTAAACACCCTCCATTTCCTACCAGCCATCGCCCAATTTCTCTTATCAATGTTGATCTCAAAATAATTTGTAAAGCCCCGGCAAAAAGATTAGAGAAGGTAACCCCCTTCATAATACACCCTGACCAAACTGGTTTCATTAAGGGTAGACAGTCATTCACAAACTCACGTAGATTACTTAATTTGATAGATTTCTTTTACAGTAGAAACATAGAAACTAGTATATTATCTCTAGATGCAGAAAAGGCTTTTGATAGAGTTAACTGGAAGTTCTTGTTTGCAACTTTATATAAATTTGGTTCTTCTTCATAAACTGGCTACAAACATTATACAGTTCACCAACAGCACGTGTCAGGACAAATGACCAAATATCAGCTAGCTTCTGTCTTCAGAGGGGGACCAGGCAGGGATGCCCAGGGAGGGGGGAGGTCCAGGAGGGGGAGGACCCAACCTTACCTGGATGTCCTATGTCTTATATATTCTGGAAGTTGTGCAAATGCAGGGATGGGCAAAGATATTCTGCTGGGGTGGGGCTGAGTTGGTGCCCTCGGACTCCGTGAGGCTCTGCAATGCTGCTGCTTTGGGCCCTGGCAGGATGGGCTTGAGTCTCCATGCCCTGGGTGGCATTTTGACAACAGAGGTGCCTATTGGGGCCAGTGGGGGAGCTGGCTCCCTGGAGGGCTAAGCCCAACCAGCCATTCCTCCCCATCCCCACACATTTCTCTCCTCCTGCTCCCTCACATCATCACACAAACATGCACATAGGACCTTAGGGGGTGGACAAGTCAGGGAGAGCGGGTATGGACCCCATTTCTGCATTCCTGTGGCAACCTGCCCCCCAATTTTATTTGCACCTTATACACTTCCACCGATGACATTCCACGCAAACACACACTTAGGGCCTTGGGAGTGAGCACATTCAACGGCACTTGGCAGGAGGATTTCTCAGCCTCCTCCCGTGTGCCGGTGCCCACTTCCAATTTTAAACTGCACTTAGACACCGAGGGCTGTGGGTGCAAGTGGGGTGGTGCGGTGACATCAGCTGGCATAGGCCAGACAATGCCCACACTGCCCACTCACCACAGCCATGGAATACACCTCATCAACACACAACACTATATTGGAGCAGGCGGAGAGAGACTAGGCGTCTTAGCACACCTCTGTTGTTGCTTGGCTTCCTGGGGCTGGAGGCTAGGAGGGAGATCTGGCCGTCTGGTTGGGGTCTGGGGTGGTGGGTTGCTGTGCTCAGCGTTGGGCGGGGGAGCCTGCTCATCAGCACCCCAGCAGAAAGGGTCAAACTCTGGTAACCGGTAATGGTTGTACCCAATGTGCAGCAGTACCGGGACCAGAGTGAATAGGGTGTGTATGGGGAGCATGAGTGGGTGTCCGGCGTGCATTTTTGTAAGTCTTTGGTTTAGGGCTGCAACAAACGATTATTTGGATAATCGATGAATCGGATGGGGTCTCGACACGATTATTCGATTAATCGGATTACATGGGGACATTTTAAAAAACTGCTAGGGAAATGTTATTTCTCTCCTTCCTTCACTTTATTAAACACAACATTATTAGAAAACAGTTCAATAGCAGAAAAACAACATGCCATCACCTAAATTGTCTTATAAGGTGTATAGACAGAGACCCTAAGCTACACCTATCTGTGACCTAAAATGCTTGGTCCAAGTTAAACAGCTTAAAGAGCAAGTCACCCCCTACCAGAGTCTAATTCCA